TTGCAGCACAGAATGCAACCAGAAGATATGGAAAGTCTGAGATGAGTGAGACAGCAGGGATGATAGGAGGGGAATTGCTCTTATGTGTTTATATTAGAAATCAATGTCTCCTATATTTTGGAAATAGATGCCTCCTCCTATCAGAATGTAAGCTGCTTGAAAGAAGAGACTGTTTTTGCTTTTTTATTTGTATCCTCAAGGCTTAGCACAATGTTTGGCACATAACAAAGTAAGCACTTAACAAAGGGTTTCCCAACCTAATGCATGACTATCTTCAAGGGGTTATGAGAAGCCTGTCAAAGAAATATGGGGACTATTTAGCAAATAACTCTATTATCCTACTGAAATATTAAAAAATAGTAGGGTTAGTGGAAAAAATTGGATTGTGAAGAAGGGCATGAGGAAGAAAGTGAGGGAGCACAATAGCACATCTGCAAAATCTGAAAGACTGCTGATGGACTAATTCCTTCTGACCGAACCAAATGAAAATCAAAATGGGTTTTGGACATAAGGATCTTTTAATATTAAGCTAGGGGAAAAAAAATCAGTGACAGTGACCCAGTAACAGAGCAACTGATTTCTGCAGTGACCTGAAACTCTAAAGTGATTTCCCATCAATAAAGTCACAAAATTTTTGGCATAACCTTGAAGAAGCATATTTCATTCTTCCTAAACATGCTCATAATTCCATTTATAACTACTTATCTCTGTGAATTAGAATTTTCTGTCTCATTCTTAAAGAGGCAGCTCAACATGATAACTGGCTTTTTCAATACTTATACTGAGACCAAAACTGTTAATTGCCAAGAAACAAAATCAAGGGTCTCCCAAATGAATTCATTTGACTGTTCTGATAAACATCTAATAAAATTAAGAAACTAAAAAATTTTACATACTAAATAAAGTTTTCTTTATGAAAAATTAATCTCTTATTTCTCATAGTAATAGTTTAACCAAAAGCAAGAGAGTAGGGTGACGAAAAAAGGTTGGGAATCCCTGGCTCAATAAATGCTTTTTCATTCATGATTCCCAAACTGTCCGATAAATTTATTGCCTTTTAGTACTGTCTTTATATAAGTTGTTGTTGTCATTCTCTGTATGTTTCCTTGCTTCTCTTTCACTTTTAAAAGCCCAATTCAAAGGCCTATAAGAAGTCTTCTTTGATCTCCCTATTTAGTAATGTTCTGTTCTTTTAGACCTTAAAAACATTTTTTAAAGGAGAAAAATCACAAAACTTTGCTACCTGGGTCCACTACAACTTTATGTTACATAATCTTAACTGGGTCCTCATGACTTCAGAGTAATCCTTTTATACCTCCCTAACTGATTCACTATCCCACTCATCATAGTGGCTTTTAATCCCTCCTCAAACTTCACACAGCCTCTACTTCTTCCTACCTCTCAGCTAAGGACCTTGACTCATATATATTTCACTGAAAAAAGTGAGGTCATTCATGGAGAGCTTTCTCCTCTCCTTAAAATCTCGCATCACTCAGATGCCTTCTTTAATTTCCTCTACCTTCACCCATGTCTCATTGAAGATATGGCTCTTCTTGCCAAGGCAAACCCCTCTATGTGCTCAAGTGATCACATTCCATCTCATCTTCTCCAGCAGATTACCTCCCTCTAATCCCTACACTGTCATCTTCAATCTCCCCCGTTCACTGTTTGCTTCTCTATTTGCCTAAAAACATACCCATGTCTCCCTGATTGTCTTATGTGCTCCTTCCCTTTCATAGCAAAATTTCTTGAGAAGGCTTTCTACAATAGGTACCTCCGTTTCCTTTCCTCTCACTATCTTCTCAACTCTTTACAGGTCTGCTTCTGACCTCAACATTTTGGGAACTGCTGTCCCCAAAGTTACCATTATTTCTTAAATTGCCAAATCTAAAGGACTTTTTTCAGTTTTCATCCTTCCTGATCTCTTAACCTTTGACATGGTTGCACTCTTTCCTCTCTGATACTTTCTTCTCTCTAGGTGTTTGTGATATTGCTCTATCCTGGTTTTCCTACCTATCTGATTGCTTCTTCTCAATGTCCTTTGCTAGATCTTTGTCTATGTCAAACCCACTAATGGTGAGTGTTCCCCATGGCTCTGTCCTGGGCCCTCTTCTCTTCTTCTTCTATACTATTTCATTTGATGATCTCATCAATCCCATGAATTCAATTATCATCGCTATGATGACGATTCTCAAATCTACTTATCCAGCCCTAACCTCTCTGCTAACCTCTACACTTGAATCTCAAATTGCCTACTGGATTTCAAACTCCAAAATGAACTCATATCTTTCCCCCCAAACCCTCCTGTCTTCCAAACTTCCCTAATACTATTGAGGGTACCACCACGCTCCCAATCATCCAGGCCACCAATCTAAGTGTCATCCTTAACTCCTTAATCGCTTTTATTCCCATTGCCTCCCACCCCAATCCAATCTGTTGTCAAGGCCTGTTGATTTGACCTTTGTAGCATCCCTTGATTTCTTGCATACACTGCCTTCTCTCCTCTGACACTGGCACCTTACTGGTGCTCCCTCTACTTGGACTATCACAATAACCTTTTGATTGGTCTCCCTGCCTCAAGTCTTTCACTACTCCAGCCTACCTTCCACTCAATTGTCAAATTGATCTTTGTAAAGTAGGGGTCTGATCGGGTCCCTCCCTATTCGAGAAATTCTAGTGGCTCCTTATCAGTTCCAGGATCAAATATAAAATCCTTTGCTTTGCATTCCAGTGACACTGGCCTCCTTACTGTTCCATCTTCCAACTCTTTACCTTTAAACTAGCTATCCTCCATGCTTGGAATTCTCTCCCTCCTCATTTATTTCTACCTCCTGACTTCCCTGGCTTCCCTCAAGTCTCAGCTAAAACAGTAACTTCTATAGAAGACATTTCCTGATCCCACTTAATTCTAGTTTTTTCCTCTGTTGGTTACTTCCAATTTATCCTGTATATAGTTTGTTCATACATAGTTGTTTGCATATTGTCTCCCCATTACACTGTAGAGTACCTGAGAGAAAAGACTTTTTTTTTTTGCCTTTCTCTGTATCTGCAGCACTTAACACAGCTCCTGGCACATAACATGCCCTTAATAAATGCCTGTTGAATGACATGCATTATTTTGCATTAGAGTTATCTATGCATCTGTTGAATTTCTTGCGAGCAAGGATATAGCCTTTTCATTAAACAAAAACAAACAAAAAATCTACAACACTTCTCTTAAACCAAGCTCATTCATGACTAAATTATACATTGACTTATTTTAAGCTATACAAGAAAGTCTACCATACTTCCAAATATTTGGTTTTTTAAAAAGAGCTCACCATTCCATCAGACAACCTATCCATTCCAACTCCACAACAGTTACCGTTGGTGAATCCTGTGAAGAACCATCTTGTGTTTCTTCTGGATCTACTGATGGAATTTACTAACAAAAGATTGTCACACTTGGCCAAAAATAATTGAGGAGGCCAGTGTGAAAACAAAGATGTCTTTTCTACATAATGTGTTACGTAAGCTACTCAAAAGAATGATTCATTTCTAATTTAAAGACAATGCAGCAGTGAAGATCTGCCAAATGACTGAAGATCACCTAGCTTTGGACATGTGTTATCTTAAAATTCTTCTGTAAGCAATGATAATCAACACAAACATTCAGAATAATTTTAAGGATCTCTTTTTGGTAGCATTAAATAATTTCTGGATGAAAAATAAGCTTAGCTTAATTTAAACTGTGCAACTCAGTAGAAAGTGGAGGGTAGAAGAAGCAGCACTGCATCTGGAATCAGGGGGCCTGGGTTCAAATCCCAGCTATGGCACTTACAGGGTAGGTTGTTTTGGCCCCTCTGGGGCTCAGTGTCCTGTAAAATGAAGAGGTTGAACTAGATGAGCTCAAAACTCTTTCTAGTTCCAAAGCAGATATGATGGCCTGGTTACACGCACTCTGTGTGAGAACATGGTAGGTGGCAGCCATGAAGATAATTTAACTAACGAATGACAAATCAAATTTTTCCAAAATTAGCTGTAGACCACCTTTACTGAAGTCCTTCCCTGATGCCTCATTGTGCTATGGAGTTGACCCTGGTAAAAATGACTTTAGTGGAACACAAGCTCTGGAGGACCCTATGCCAAACTGAAAAGGCTCTGAATATTGAACTGTTTGTCATCTGGGAATCAGTTTAAGTTCACAGAGGTGTGTCACCAGATTAGCCATAGAGGGATGAATTTTTTGGCCAAAGCAACTGTTTAAGACATTCTACAAAGTTGTAGAAGTATGATCTGTGATGATGGATAGAATACCCACAGCAATGAAATTCCCTTTCCCTAAATAATAGTAATGATAATAATAATGATGATGATAAACAATAGCATTTACATAGTTCTTTAGGCTTGAAAAATCCTAACATGTTGACTCATTTGATCTTCACAACTCTGTGAGGATGGTACTGTTATTATCCCCATTTTATAGATAAGGAAACCTGATGAAGAAGGAAAAGTGTGTAAATGCTTCCTAGCCCTAGTCAGATTCTTAATTGCTTGTCAGTCCACAATATTAAGAAGTTCTGGGGCAGCTAGGTGGCACAGTGGAAAGAGCACCAGCCCTGAAGTCAGGAGGACCTGAGTTCAAATCCGGCCTCAGACACTTACAAGCTGTGTGACCCTGGGCAAGTCACTTAAACCCAACTGCCTAAAAAAAAAAGGAAAAAAAAAGAAAAAAAAAAGAAGCTCTAAGTTCTCTTGTGAACTTATCATCCTCTTTCTTACAGACAGAAAAGATACCTTTGTCTGCTATGCTGTACCTAAACTTCTAAGCCTTTTAAGTCCTATGAAAATATCCCACAGTGATGATGAGGATATACAGTTACTCTTAATGACCTCTGTTGTAGGAGACATATCTTAAATTATGATTCTTCATTTACAAACTCAGGATACTTTGAAATAGAGGGATTTAACTACAAAATAAATACCATACTTCTTGGTCATAAAAAAAAAAACCAACTCACCTCTCTTTTCTTCTTCTCGTTTTAGTTTATCTTCCTCTATTTCTTTTGGTAACTTTTCCTTTTTCTCTTTCTCCACATCATTATGGAGATGCTTTGTTGTATAACTGAGTGCTGGTGAGAGAAGGATCTCTCCATTCTTGCAGAGCTCGTCACGGATTTTAATAAAGAATTGCTGAAGTTCTACTGCATCTTCGTATATTTCTGAATCCGTCCTGGAAGGACACAGGGTACATTTTCAGTTGAATTATTATCATTACCCTTCCTTTCCTATCTCCTCTCATACACACCAAATAGCATTAAAACAAGCATTTGTTTTGAGTTATATTGAATACAATTCAGGTACAGGGAAATAATGTGGATACATTTCTAAAGTACTGCTAAAAAAATTGGCTCTTACCAGTTTAACTACTATTTGTAATGTGGTCTGTTCATTTCATATCACATATGGCATATGTTCAACAAACAGACCAATGGCTTCTCAAATTGAAAGAAGCATCCAAATTCAAATATTCAAGGGGAAATCATATGTTTCAATTATTATGAGGTTTTGTTTTAAGGCTTGAAGGGGCTTTTGGTAGATCCAAATATACCAAAGCTAGCATCTAAATGCTTGCTACATAGGACATACACTTCTAGATTTTACATAATTCTTATGGGTGGCTAGCATAGGCTTTGACTCTTTATTGGCTGTGTGGGCTAGTGGGATACAAAGTGAATATTCAAAAATCTGAGTTATAAGACAAGGAATTAGAAGGGGTTCTGATAACAGTTAAATAACTTTTTTTTTTTAAAGGCATTAACATCAATTTTATTCCCAAATACCAGTTTTCATTTTATTTTCATTGTTGTTGAGAAAAGACAATTTCTGGACAACTGGGAGGATGTGAGCAGAAACTGAATCTCAGAAAGGTTAAGTGACTTGGTCCACGGTCATATCACCAATAAAATGTCAGGCCTGATTCACACCCAGGTGTCCTGACTCAAAGTCCTACTCAACACTATGCTACCATGTTACCTCTAGCAGTTTGCTAAACTTTTTTGGGCATCAGTTTTCTTATACAGAAATGTGGTGGCTGATATAAATATAAATAACTTTGAACATCAGGGCCTGAAAATTATCCAAAATGCTAGTTGTCAGTCAAATATTCTATTATATAATTATGGAATCATTTTGTCAAGATATGAGGAAAGGACACTTCTGTGTCTCCATGTCATCATGAGAGGAGCTGGGAGTGGGTGGGTAGAAAGAGGAAGGAGATGCTTGTTTTTATTAGCTGTTCCTGGGACAGGGACAGCAGCAATGTACACAACAGGGTTAAGTCACAAGTGCCTCTAATCAGAGGAATTCAAAGAATAAAACTACTATTAAGCTATTACCTGAAACTTAAACTGTTTTCTTAGGAACAAACAGAAGAGTATGGTAAAGAACTTGATGAGGTTTCGCTTGAAAGATACCTAAACACAATCCTTTTTGGGTACAGAAGTAGTGATCACTCTCAGAAATGAAAGCCATGTTTTCCAGGAAAAGTGTTATGGGTACACATGAATGCCAAATTCAACTCTGATGTGTGTTTCGGGTATTCTGAAATCTAGTTATTGAAAACATCAAATGGATAACTGCAAGTAAATAGTTTGTAATTTTAAGTTAAAAGCTAATTGTATATTCAGTGACTACATCTCAGAATAGGCTGGTAACTCTAATAGAAGAACTCTTGTGTGAGGGGGTGGTAAAGAAGCTTTCTTGGTGTAAATGGCACCAGGTAATCGACAAATTAACTTTTAAAAGAAAATGAGCCGAACAATGAGTTAGCTTTCTGTGTTTTTCTCATATTGAAGGGAAAGGTGGAATAAAAAGGTAAAAATAAAAGACCAGATTTTATTCTAAGGCAAGCATTCTGACTAATTTGTGGGAAACCTTTTCAAAGGAAGAAGATGATCTGAAGAAAGAAATGATGAACTTTTCTGGGTCCCTGCTATACTTCCCTTGTTCCTGACTTTCTGCGTATCACACAGGTCTAAAAGCAGCAGGGCAGAGCACTTACCCTGAAGCAATGCCAGAAGATGAAGGTAGAGAGTGGCCAAGTGTTTGAAACTAAAGATCAAGTAGAAAACACCAGACATTTTCCTGGAAAGTAATGAAGGCTTCCCTCTACAAGTCACCCTTGTACTTTTACGGAATGCTTCCATTCAACAACTTATTCAAGTATCTCCTCTGCCAATATAATGAAATGCAGAGGGCCAAATGCTTTGTTTTTAGTCACCTACATTGGTAGCCATCTTTTAAAATCTTTTGTTCTACTAAATTCATGTTCAAATTGAACCACGAAGCTCCTTTACTGAGTTCTGAATCATTCCCCTGCCTGCCCAACAGACATCTAGGGAATGTCTGCTGTGTGCAGTCACTGTCAGGTTCTGGGATGAAATCACAGAGAGTGGGAGAGGAAGAATTCACCAGCTCCTTGGTGAGCAATAAAGAAGATAAACCATGATAAAAACAACTAGCTAAAAAGGATGCCTCAAATCTACGAAGCCCATAGTGCTTCTCAGATGTTACTTGTGTGAAGATCTTGACAAACTATGCATTTATAATGATTCTTCTAATACTGTACCAAATGATGGACATGATTCCCTCTTTTCCCTTCTCCCACCTGAAGAACGTGTTCTAGTTTTACTAGATTCATGTACAGTCCATGGATTTCATCTCCCTAAAAACTGTTATGTCATTATTGCACAATTTTAGACTTGGGGGAGCTGTAACCAAACTTTCTGCAATCAGAATATCACCGAACAAGACAAGGTAGCTTCCTCCAGGTGATGATTTAGGAGTTGCAAAGAAGGCACACGATAGTCTGTGTGTAAGTGCAAGCAGTCTCTGAAAGAACTTGCTAGCACCAACTAGCCTGGAAACCACTCAGTAAGCCACTGAAATCTATTGGGAGAGGACACTGAAATTAGGGACAGGAATTTCTGATATCTGTGACTACTGACAATTTTGTCATAGGAGGAGATCTGAGCTTCAGTTACTTTGCTGGTAAAAAATATGAGTTGGATGAGATCAGGGGTTCTTAAATTTCCTTGTATCTCCATGGCAACTTAGTAAAGCCTATGGAACCCTTCTTAGAATAATTTTTTTTAATAATAATGACAATAATAACTAGCATTTACATAATGCTTTAAAGTTTGCAAAGTACTTTACAAATTTCTCATTTTATCCCCATAAAAACTCTGAAAGTTAGGGGTTATTATTATTTTCCATTTCAAGATGAGAACACTGAGGCAGACAGAGGTTAAGTGACTGGTCCAGGGTCACACAGCTATGTGCGGAACTCTGGTCTTCCTGACTAGGTCTTGTGCTCCATCCACTGCACCATCTAGATGCCTAATACATAAAACAAAATAAGATTACAAGCAAAACTAATTATATTGAAATGCTGTTATCAAAACATTAAAAAAATCAAATTTATGAGAGTTCATGGACACCCTGAAATCCATCCATAAAGGGGAGCCCACAGACCTCAAATAAGAACCTTTGTACTAGACGATCTTTAAAGTTCCTTCTAGTCCTAACCCATATGTCAAGGTTTTCAATCTCCTTAAATAACACAGAGGCAGCACAATGTAGTAGAGGGTGAACCTTGGAACCAAAAAAGACCCGTTGTTCAAATCCTGCCTGATCCATGTGAGCTATTTATTAGCAGGCATGTCATTCTTCCTCTCAGTGCCCCAGGCAGATCTCTACAAGTGTAAATTTCAGGCAAATGGCAACCTGCATCAGTGGAGGGAGTTCCCTATGTTGATGAAATCTAAAGTCTAGGATGACAAGCTGTCTCCAAAACAACAACCAGCAAACTCTTACCAAAACCCTAATGTAATGAAAGTACCAGCAAGGGGGTATGTCCTATGAAGTGCTAAAAGCAGCAGGTTATCCTCCTGCATGACTGTATCATTCATCATTCACAGATGTAAAGGAAACTCAGTCTCTGGAGGTGCCTCTAAATGATCCAGAGGGCATTTAGCCCAAGGCCTACCTGAACAGAAATCCCCTCTACAACATCTCTAACAAGTGGCCATCCAGCCTTCAATTCAAGGACAAACTACTATCTCTCCAGGTAGCCCTAGACTTCGACTCAGGGAGACAGGAATCTAAACCCTACCGGAGACCTGGACAAGTCACTTAACCTCTGTCTGCCTCAATTCCCTCATATGTAAACGAGGATAACAGCACCCACTTTCCAGGGTTATTGTCAGGATAAAATGAGATAACATTTATAAAGTGCTTTGAAAACCTTAAAGTGCTATATAAATGCTAGCTATTACCACCACCTCCACCACCACCATTTAGTAGATAGCCAATTCTATTTTTGGAAGTTCGTTCCCTTTTCTACATAACAGCCCATTATCCAAAGAAAGCAATAAACATAATACTTAACTATCTTTTAGCTCAGGGGTTCCTAAATTAGGGTCTGTGAACTTTAAAAAAAATATTTTGTTAATTATATTTCAATGTAGTAAGTTTCCTTTTTAACTCTTACATATTTTCTTTTATGCATTTAAAATCACTATTCAGAAAAGAGATCCACATGTTTTTATCAGACTGACTGCCCAAAGGGTCTATGACCTCCAAAAAGGTTAAGAATCTCTGCTTTAGCTCTTTACCAAGTATCTTTTTTTTTCTCCCAAGTATGCTGAGAAGCCATGTGGAATACATGAAAGGACCTTCAACTCAGAGTCCTAGGTCCTAGATCTGACTCTTGGCTCTGACTCTTATTAGCTGTGTGACTTTGGGTAAGTCCTTTAACTTAAATGTCAAGTCCACACTTGGGTTCAAAAAAATCAATTACACAAGAAAGACTTGATGTGGCATGAGTAGACATGAGTTGACATGAAAAAACCATCTGGTGATCTCAGGATCCCCCACTGAACACGCTGCCCTAGAGGCTGGTGGGCTCTCCCCTGCTGGAGCACCACTCGTGGGGGATGTTGTTGAGGGGTGGCTTAGCAGGTTTGACCAAGGCAGCCTCTGAGGTCCCTACCGATTCCTAAGGATGTGCCAGCTTTTCTGGCTGTGTCCTACGGCTGTTGTTGATGATGACACCAATGCCTATCATGCAGAATACCTGAAGATTTCCAAAGCACTTTACAGACATTATCTCATTTGAGCTTCAAAATGACCTGCTGAGGAAGGTGACATGGGTATTACCTCCATTTTATGCAGGAGAAAACTTAAATGCAGAGAAGGTAAAGGGGCTTGCGCATTATTAGACAGCTAGGAGATGTCACAAACAGGATTCAGACCCAAGCCTTTGTGACTCTAGGTCCAATGTTCTTTCCACTGTACCAGAAACTCAAATGCCAAACACTTTATCTAGCTCTACCTCTTTCACCTGGTATTTGTGCAGCTGATTAAAAAACAACAACAACAACAACAACTGAAGTACTTCACATTTATCCCTATCAAATTTCATTTTACTGGCCCCTCATACTAGACCAAGGCTCCTAATCTGAGGTCTGTGAACTCGTTTTAAAAAAAGCATTATTCTTAGATTGGGTTTCAACAGATGAGCCTGCCAAAGAAGTCTCAACACAACAAAGGTTAAGAACCTCTTCTTAGATAGAAGACATCTTCTTAGATCCAAAGTATTAGTTCTCCTTCCTCACTTCTTGCAAGTCTGAGAAACATTTCAATTTATGACTCACAGATGCTCAGCAGCTGTGAGACCAGCTGGATAAGAGACTTGCTCAAGGTTACACAGCTAGTTAGAAGAAGGACCCAGATTAAAATTTAGGTTTTCTGATATACCACATAGCCTCAAGACACTGGAAATGATATTTGGTAACGATCTCTAAAAGATCCTTAAGTCTTACATTTATTGCTTCATTTAATTAACTCATGTCAGTATGAAATACACTAAACTCAGCTCTTTAAAAATCTGCAGAAACACTGCATTAAAGCTTATGATATATTCTTATACTGTTAATTTTTAGATGATTTTTTTTTTTTTAGGCAATTGGGGTTAAGTGACTTGCCCAGGGTCACACAGCTAGTAAGCGTCAAGTGTTTGGTCTGAGGCCGGATTTGAACTCAGGTCCTCCTGACTTCAGGGTCGGTGCTCTTTCGGCCCCCCCTTTTTTTAAATGATTTTTTTTTTTTAATACTGTTAACTTTTAAAGCCCTATAGAGATGCTGGCTCCAATCTTTCTTTCCAGACTGATTGGACATTACTCTACCTCCCACACTCAGTGATCTGGACAAACTGGCCTTGTCTCTGTTTCTTACCCAAGGCAACCCCCCATGCCTTCTTACTTAGACTTAAGAGTTCTTCTCTTCCATTACAATGTAGCTTAAGCAGTATTTTCTGCATGAAGCCTTTTCTGATTCCCACAATGGCTAGGGCCCTCCCTCCCAAACTACCCTGTGTATGTGTGTATTTATTACCTTTACATTTATGCTGCATATATTTTATAAGTCCTTGTTGTCTTCATTGGCACGTAAGCTCATTAAAAGCAAAAACTGTTTCATTCTTTGTACATATATTTCCAGTGCCCAAAATAGTGCCTGCCAAATAGCAGACATTTAATACATCCTTTTCAATTAGTTGCATTTAATTAATACAATCTATGGAATATATTCTTGGATTTGTATTTGGTGAATTTTTAAAAGATATTTTGTACAATGGTTTTATTTTAGCTCCCACATAAGAGAAATGTTTCTCCTTAATGCTTGTTTTCTGATTTTTAATTGTCCTTTCCAGCATTAATTTCGTCATAAGAGATATGAACTCTGTTCACCCTCTCTTTTCCCTGACAAATTACAACTGCCCTCCAGATTTTAAAACTGGAGTTTCAGAATAGAATCCCTCCATCAGATCACCAGATGTCGGTGACAGAACTCTCTTATACTCTGAAGAATGTGAAACAAAATTGCACAAATGCATAACATTTTGCTGCCCTCTGAATAAAACTTATTTGTCTTCCAAAGGAAATAGTCTAACTTACCGATTCATTCTTCTTGCCCTTTCCAGCACGTCAAACATCTGTTCTTGAAATAAGTCCAGCCTGCGATAGCGATTATTTTCAACATTCTTCCTAATTATGTCAAAAGTCAGAGGGGGTTTGTTTGGGAAACTAGGATCCACAGAAGGGATTTCAGCTAAGGAGTCACTGTAGCACCTTCCCTCATCGTCCTGATGGCTCATTACAGACACAAAAAGATTGTGGATAAGCTCCTGGATAAGCAGTGTCACGTTAGGAACATGAGAGTCCTCATCTCCTTCTATGTCCCTTCGAGTTTCAAGCAAGACCTTATGCAGGACTAAGGCGTCTTTGTAAATCAGGGATTCAGGCTCATTGTATGTGCAAGCATTATTAAACATCATGACAAAGTCTTCAACCATGGAGTCGATGTCTTGGTACTTGTTAGCCATCATGTGGCTTCTGATCTTTTCCATGTCCACAGGCTTTTTGATGGTCAGATAGTAGTCTGGCAGCTCTGACCTGGAGGGCAGCCTCAGGAAGATGGCGCTGAGCCGGCGGCCTCGTTTATCTGTGTAGTTCTTTACCGCTTCATATACTTCATTTAGTTTCTGTTGCATTGGAGTCATGTATTTTGACTTTTTAGGAGAAATGCCACTCTTTCTACCTAAAAAAAAAAAAAAAACAGTTTCAAAAGTTATATGAACAATAAAATATTTCCATTTCTCCCACAGCCTGTGCTTTTCCCCCTGTGGCTCAGGCATCCAAGTAAAGATAGGCTAGATAATTTAGGGACAAATCTGATTATTCTGAATCCTATCTTTTATGAACACATATGCCCTATAATAGTGGCTCCCAACCTTGTAGTTACTGCAAGGAGTTCAAGAATCCATATGCAAATCCACAAATAAACCAAAATATCTCTATGGGTTAAAGGTACCGCAATATATGCAATATTATATATAGATGCTACTGTGATTAGAAAGATACAAATTCATTTAAAAGCTTTGCTGAATTCAGAGTAGTTTTCTGTCCTTAAGTATTTTTATACTATTTATACTAATTGTACAACTACAAAGATATAGGGATTAGTGAACTTCTTTGATGTAAAAAAGGGATGCTTGGGGGGGGCACCTAGGTGGCGCAGTGCATAGAGTACCGGCCTGAAGTCAGGCGGACCTGAGTTTAAATCCAGCCTCAGACCAAACACTTGACACTTACTAGCTGTGTGACCCTGGGCAAGTCACTTAACCCCAACTGCCTTTAAAAAAAAAAAAAAAAAAAAAAAGGATGCTCAGTCAAAAAGGTTGGGAATTACTTTCCTAAATGGTTTTGCTGCAGAAAAGTATCAGTTAAAAGAAAGATAAAGCTGCTAGGATGGAACCTCCTCCTTCTACCAGAAAAATATATATGATAATGGTCAGTGTCAGCTGCCATACTACTGAAGGTTCAGCAACCCTCTGACAACTCTTACAAAGTTCAAGAAAGGTAGGAGGAGTGTGGACAGAGAACTGGGCCATATGAAAATGGAACTCTATTTGGAATTTCAATCTTGACTCACTGGTTTACTTACAGATTAGTTTCTTTCCTCTCAAAATGCCAATTTTCTCACCACCAAAATTAAGGGTAACTTCTCCTCTCATCTATCTCTCCTAAGCATATTAACAAACTAGAGGTGAGATCAGATTGATCAGTGATCTGAGATCGTCAGAGAGGTGCCACACAATGCATTCATGTTACAGGCACAGCTCCTGTGAGGAAATCTCCCTTTCTCTGGACTTTGATTTCCTTGATTTAAACATTTAAATTTGTAATGCTTCACTACTTACTAAATCTTCCATAGATTAAAATTCACTCAATTAGGAACAGAAGTTTATTACAAATGAAGTCTTTGTAAAATACTGCCAAAAAAATTAAAAAGCACTCATTCTCTGTGTTCTATTACAATATCTAGGTGATAACTTTAACCTCAATCTAAGTTAAAGATTTAATACTTTCATAAAGGGGATTCTAGACATAAAATACAGTAGGACAATTGATAAATGGCTTGAAATTCTGACGCTGAATCTCTACTGTAGTTGATCAGAACTTCAAACTGGTTACTTTTCAGGTTCAGTGAAAAGCACAATGGCTTTTTTAAAAACAATATGTTGACTGATGACTCATTAAGCAGTGGACTTTTAAACAGTTTTTAGTGCTTTAGGGTTTGTAAAGAGCTTTACATATATTCTATAACCTTTTGAGGTAGATGCTATTACTATCATCTCAATTTTACATATGAGGAAACTGAAACATAAAGAGGTTAAATGACTTGACCAGGACTGAACAGCTAGTATTTTTAAGCAGAATTTGAACTCAGGTCTTCCCGGTTAAGTCCTCTGTTCTATTCATTGTGTTAATTAGCTGCCCAATGAACACACATTGGTTATATGTGTTTTTAAGCCTGGGCAAAAATATATCTTTAGGCTACACAATGGTAACATAAAATTATGTTTGGAGATTTTCTTCACCTGACATTTTTCAGTTTTTAAATTATAAAAGTACTGGGCTTAAAAAAAAACCCCATCATTCAAACATACTGATTAGAAACATTTGACACAGTATTATTCTGTTACATTACTTGAAAACTGAAAGTATCTTTTGCTCTTAATATTTTCCTACAATAAATCAAGATGAAAGAGATCTTTTTTGCTGGGTCATTATCCTGTTCCTGCCCCTAAGAGTGGTATTATTACCTAAGGCTCTTTCCTGGGCCTTAATCTCTCCTTTCTTTTTAAATTAAAATAAAGCGTTTAATAACAAATTAGTTTAATTTAAATTTTTTATCCTTTTAAAGAATAGATGTCTTATTGATACTTTTTTTCCCCTTTTAAATACTTCTGTCACTTCCCAGTGAATCTTACTCCCTTACCACAAAGAATTTCAGCTAAGAAAACAGTAACAGAATTAATGTTATCTTGAATTGCAATTCAATTTCATATTACCAACTTTCTGCTGGGCATTTCTACCCAGATGCTAGATGTTCCATAGGCAACTCAAACTCAACATTTCCCAAATTATATTTATATTTCCTTCCAGTCCTTCCCCCTCCCTGTCCTCCCCTCCCCCAATCCTTCAAATTACCCAAGTCTGCAGCCTTGGAGTCAACCTTGATTCTTCCCTCCCTCTAAGTCTTCTGCCTCTACAATTTAAATCCATCCCATTCTCTCACCCCCACAGCACCCTTGCTTCCAGTTCCCCTCTCTCGATCTATCCTTCACACTGTTGCTAAAATAATTTTCCTAAAACATGTCCCTGACCCTACTCAAAAATCTTCACCGACTCATTCTCTCTAACATAACATTGAAACACTTTCTGGCCAGTTGCTCCAGCTTCCTTTTCCATTTCACCTTTCTTCTCTTCATACACTGATCGAGTCACCTTGGTCTGTGGTCTCAGTGTTTCTGCACAAGGCGGTCCTCGCCATCTGCAATGTCTGTCCCTCAAAGCTGTTTCAGTGAGCACCACCTCCCGCAGGGTTCTTCCTAGAACTCTCTAGGCTTGCCTTTGTAACTCTCTCTACACAATGTACGTCCCTCCACACCCCCAGAGAAGTGAACGCCTCAGCCTCAGGGGCAGGGGCTAGTTCATCTTTTGTTTTTGTATCCTCAGTGCCTAGAATAGTAAGTTCTTCGTATAAATGTTTGTTGAATTGAACTGAGGAGGCAATGTTCCAATGAGACAACTATTTCTCAGTTAATTCCAAATCACAGAAGCTCAGAGCTGGACAGATCTTTAAAAGCAAACTAGTCAAAGCTCTCCCTGAGCAATGACCGCCTCGCAATACAGCCAAGAAGTAGTCTTCCAGCCTTCTGTTTGAAGATTTTCACAGGTGGTGAACCCTTCACCTCCAGGGAGAGCCCATTCTGTCTCCCTGCTTGGGAGTTGTAGAAATCTAAATTTGCCCCCACTCCCTCTTCTATGTGATGGCTATTCTAACAGACAGTTCTAGCTCTATGTAAGTGGTCTGTTCTGCAGACCTCTATGTCAAGTGATTTTTACATAATGTGCATTTACATAATGTGAATTTCCCTGTGGGGAAGGGAGGGAAGAAAGAAAGTAGGAAAGGGGCTGCATGCCCTTGGAGGGAGGGGGCTGGCACACAGTTCAAGGACACGTGGGGCTGGGGACAGAGAAGTGAATGCAGAAAGAGGAACACAGGGCTGGGGCTAGAACTGAGAGGAAGAACACATGGGAGGAAAACACATGGAAGCTGGAAATGGACACAGAAGAGGATGGGCAACATGCAGGGGGCAAGGATAGACACGAAGTACCTGAGTGTGAATGGACAGAAGACAGACATGTGGGTGGGTGAGTGGAGAGGGGCAAAAGGCCCCCTCTCGGTGCTGGAGGTCTCAAGCTAAGCCCTCAATCCAGTGGCAGCAGTCTCTCTGTGCCTCTGTTCTTCTGCTTTCACTCGAAGGTTTTTTTTTTTTTTTTTTGGGGGGGGGGGGGGGATGGGAGGCTGGGGAGCACTGAGTCAAGGGGCAGGAGCAGAGAGAAAACACAGTACTGTGTGGTGAAGTTACCATAGGTTTTTTTGGAATGTCAATTTCTTCCAGAACTCTATAGTAAAGCTGAATTTGCATAATGCAAATTTACATAAAGCAAGAACTGTCTGTACTTGAGGACAGTTATCACTTCACTCTGAGTCTTCTCTAAACTCCACCCAAGATACCCAGTTCTTTCAATCCATACATACAGCCTAAGTTCTAAGGCCTTCCTGATCTTGGCTGCCCTCCCTTTTGGAGACTCAGTAGTACAAGAATGTCCTTTCTCAAATGCAAATGCAGTCCAACCAGGCTCTTAACCATCAGGACTATCAGCCTATGACTGCTTTAGTTTTCACTGTATACTGATTACATACATCTGAAATTCTCAGCCTAAGAGCACTAGAGTTAATTTAAAATCTAACTGATTACAAAATAAAAAAGAAACATGGGCTCCTGCACACTTGAGCATAATCGCAAACAGAGAAAGTTTTTATTACTGAATCTTTTTATGTAACAAACACCCACAGTGTGTAGGAAAGTAAACTGAAGCCATATGACATTTTTTCCACCATTTCCTTTTCCCTACCTACTCTTCCCAGGTAAAGTATTTAGATTAAAAAAAAAGAATGAGGGCAGAAGAATGGTCACTTAGATGCTAGAATGCTAGTGACTTCAAGAACTATCAATTACTCAATGTCCCTTCAGTAAAATGGCAAGCTCTCATTAAACACAAAACTTAATGTATATACACAATTCTGCCTTACTTAGCTTGAGTTTGGGAGAGGCCATGTCATCATCCTCAGGGAGTGGGCCCAGCTCTTTTCTCTTATCTCTGAGCATCTTCTCCAGAATATGGGCATCATTATACACCTATTTCCAAAACAACATCAAAAAGAAAAAAAGTGTTTAAGGGATCTGACACTATGCTAACTATTTCAGCAACTGCCTATGGGCAATGCAATATTTTCTTGTGTTGAACCACATTTATGCATGTTATACTTCTCAAAAGTGTTTCTATTCCTTTGGGTCCAAAAAGTAGCAGATTAAGTCCAAATAGAAAGTATAGATGGAAACTTTGCTAATGTTGGGAAGACTGACACCCTGAATATGTGTTCTATACTAAAGTCATACTTGACATGACTGATGATAGTCAGGAGGTAAAACCACATACCATGTGGCAATATAAGTGATTGTGGCACTTATAGTTCTATTACCATCTGGATGACCCTATTTCCCTAGGAGTCATTTTTCTCAACTACCCCCTGGCACAGCTTAGGTGACATTCCCAGATATGGGGATGATAGGCTCCTGTCCCTTCTGCCTTACATATCTCTTTGTTGCTGGGGTCCTGGCAGCCAAGAGAATAATAGTAGCTAGCATTCACATAATGCTTCAAGGTTTGTTTTCAAACATTTGTTATCTCATTTGACCCTCACAACAGCCCTGTGAGGTCGGTGTTATTATAATCCTCATTTGATAGATGAGGGAACTGAGGCTGAGAGGTTAAATGATTTGCTTAGGATGGCACAACTAGCTAAGTTTCTGGAACAGGATTTGAACTTGGGTCTCCTTAATCCTCAGCACTCCATATACTTGGCCATGTAGCTGCCTCCAAAACTAGAATGGACCTCTGAGGTCATCTAGTCCAACCTCTTCATTTTTAAACTTGAGGAAATTGAGGCCTTGAGACCTAAATACATGCCCAAGGTAGAATATGAACTTAGATTTTTTCTACTGCACCACACCGAACTATACTGAATAAAAACCAATAGCCAATACTGGCGCTAACTTATAAAGCCTGTATTTACCCTTCTGCCTAGCATTCAAGGCTCTCAACAATCCTGTGCTTCCACATCTTTTAGCTTTCTACCATATTATTACCTGTAGGTAGTAGCAGGTAGCCTACCAGTAAGCCTGGACTCTCCCCTCCCCACCCATCACCACTTCTGTCCCCTCTGCCTCTGCTGTGATGAAACGTCACGTCAATAGCCATGCTAACCTGAAAGGTCTTTTCTTCCCTTTTCACTTGCTGAATTTTAGCCATCATTTAAACCTGATTCAAATGCCATCTCTTCCATTAAGTTTCAGACCTAATTTTGAAGCACTTTTTTGGATAACTCTATTATATACTATTATATATTCCATTTATTAAGTGCCTACTTTGTGCCTGGCACTGTGACTGTGTTAGGCACTGGGGACAAAAAGTCAAAATGAAACAACCCTTGCCCTCAAAGTGCTTACACTCTTTTGGGAGTCAACAACATCACACATAATTACACATAAGTAAATATAAAACACATCGATAGTAATTTAGGTGGGGGAGGAAGAGGTCTAACATGAATGGCAGTTTGGTGACACCAGAAAAGGGATTCCAGAGGGCACAATGGAGGGGTAGTGAAGAGGGCCATCTGAGGAATGGGGCTGATGTGGATGGGCAGGAGTGAGGAGCCAGTGGGAGTCAGGACAGGGAGCTGCAGCCTAGCCTGTCCACAGCTCTGAAGCACAAGGATACTGAGCAGAGCCACAGGGCAGCATGTTGTCAGAAGCTAAGGTGCCTTGGTCCGTTTTATCTCTCTGGGTTGGGGTCCTATTTCTTTACTGCAAAAATTCCTGAATGGAAGAACAGGGTCCTGTCAAAGTTGAACCCACATGAGGTACTTGGTGTTTGCTGCTGTTACAGAATGCCATACCACACACCTTAATGAGAAGTGCTAGAACGCAAGATTCTGTTGACCACTGCTTTGCTTTTACAAAAGTATTTGATTTGGTAGAACAAAATGCAGCCCTGAAGGTTCTCCTCAGATGGGGTATCTCCAAAGCACATAACAAAATCATACAAAACAATGACAGATGGAACTATGGTAAGAACCTCATTCAGCAACAGACTGCATACTGACAACAAGGAGGTACGGAATGACCCCAAAGTGTTCATAGACCTAGGCCTGGAAGGGACCTGAGAGGTCATCTAGTCCAACACTCAGGATGAGGAGACTGAAGCCCACAAGGTCAGAACTGAGGCCACCAGCAGCAGAGCTAAGACTGAACTTAGATGCTAGGACTCCAGACCTAGCACTGCCACTGCGGCCTGCCAGTGTCATGGAAGAGGACCTACACAAAGTCCAAACAAAAGAAGAATTCCCTATGGATGGTGAGTTTCTCCTAAATGTTTACATTAAGCCCAAAGCACTGAAAAGCTTCACTAGAAAACACAGCAGTGGGAAAGATTGTTTTAAACATCCACACTGCATAAAAAAGTGGGTAAAAGACGCAGTCTTTGGAGAGGTAACCTGTTGAATTAATATGTCCATCTTGTACAGGTGATTCAGATAGACAACAAGTTGAGTACAGAGTAAAGTAGGACAGGAAATCTGAGTGGACTGCACTTGAGAAAAGCTCAGTGTTTTCAGTAATTCCCTAACTGATGGCTGCCACAAAAGCCAATCTCTTTCACACCAGTATTTTCTCAGTGATACAATACTGACTACAAATCACAGAATGCCAAAAACAATTTCTACTGGAGAAGTGGTTAAAAGATGTTAAAGGGCAGGTATTACTGGAAAGGTAGTGGACCAGTCACATAGTGAGAATGAAACACAACAGATGGACAGACAAAGTGGTGCACTGGCCCCACTGGAATATTTTAAAAAATAACAGCCACAACAACAAAAAAACCAAGAGGAAGGCTGGCAGCGGGTTGGCTAGAACTTCTATCAAAGATTTTTCTATGGAAAACATGGAGAAGAGTCACACAGAATGAGAAGGTGTGGAAAGGCTATGATCTGTTCCAGTAGAGAAAAGTACTTTCCCAATAAAATCACAGATCCCAAATAGCAAAACTTAAAGACCTTTACAGGTCCCTTGATTAAGTGGAGAAGTGGAACAATAAATAAACCTTACCTTCCAGGCTTCTTCTGCTATGCTGCATTCTGAGTAAGAATTAACAAAAGCGTTGTTAAAGTCACAGAACAGTAGAGTCCACTTTATAGAGAGTGGCCTCTCCCCCTTGGCTGACACTAATCCGTTCTCCTTTCTAAGCTCTATGGACAAGTAGTGTCTAAGGCACTGACAGTAGATAGGAATGACAGTATCATAGGTGCCCTTTCCATGATGCAATCCTTTATGCCAAATCTAATCAATTATCTGGCCAAAAATGGGGGAGAGAAGAAAAAAGAGATTTATAAATGCTGTGGTATTTCTGGAAGAATGAAAAGTAGATACAGGAGAGCAAACTTATTAAACCAAAGGAAGGAAGAGGAACTTTCTCTTTGGTGTAATTGCAAAGATTTGAAACTTAATCTGTTACATATCAAAATCGATAATTTTGGGAAAGAATATGCTTTCAACTTCTGTGTAACCACTGAAATCTTATCAAACCGTCCTTGGAGAAATGTAGTCATTAGAACATGCCACACTAAATCTGAATGAATGATTCATCCAATTCAGGATTCATTGTCTAAACATGGGGTTTTTACATATGACTGGGCCTCAGTAAGTATTTGTTGAATGAATTGACTGTAAAAGTAGAACTTGTCTTTGGGTACTTTCAGAGGGGTGGTATGGTTTACTTTTGAGATTATGGGATAAATTTTAATTCTAGGTAATTCTATTCCTTCCAATTTGGGGCAGAATAAGGGTAAACAGCTAGTTAGCTGAGTAATTAACAGTAGGAACAGAAGATGTTATTTTAAGGCTTATAAGAAAACAAGATATTCCAATCTATAAAGGATTTCAGAATGAGCCAAGTTAGGCACAGAGGAGTTAAGGAGAATGCCTATGAGCTATGTATCATCCAGGCAAAAAACACGTAGTTTAATTTGCATTTCTAATTACCCTACCCTGATATATTATTTTTGTGTGGTATAAATTCTTTCTCTTGCAGTTAACCCTTAGAAAATACCATTCTTATGAGCTTATGTACATAGAGACAGTGGACAGAAGGGGAAGTGAGGCAGATTCTAGAAAAGGGCATCCAGGTATGAGACCAGCATCAGGAAAAAAGTAAGAAGTAACTGGGAAATTCTCAACCAAAGGAATCAAACAGGATTAGGAACAGTGGAAAAATCCAGAGATAGGCAGGCCTTGAGCGTGGGATGGGGCTGGAAGTGGAGCAATTAAATGATCAGAGAAGGCCTGAAAAGTAGTAAATGGTGAAAGTTCTGAGGCCAAAGTCAAAAGCCCTCTGAATTGGCTCTCAGGGGGAAATGGTATCCTGAGAAGATGCCAAAGGTCAGCAAGACCTAAGGTGCAGAGTTGAATCCTTCACATAAATGAAACTTCCCCCAATCCTAGATACCTCTGATAGGCCATTATGGCTAGATTGTCCATGGATCTGTCTAAAACATTCTTGAATTTTGAATGTTTTCAGCTTATACCACTTACCAGAATAACAAATACCTTAATTTACTACCAAATGTGTAGCCTTTCAAGAATGAAAGGAGATAACTTTAGTCAATTTAGGAGTTCTTTCAGCTGAGAAGGGATGAGAAACTGAAGAATGAAATCCTGAAGACACAAAGGAAAACAATTTCAATGAGGAAAAATGGGAGTTGCCTGGAGACCAATGGGCGAACAGAGAATTCACCTGGTAATTCATTTTTTAAACATGTATGTAAGAGATGGAAGCAAGGAAAGGTAATAGAAACTAACCATACTGTTTGTAGTGATCAGGGGGTAACATTACTGCTCAAGTGGATGGATCAGTGATCACTGACAAGAGAAGGCGAGCCCCTCAATTCTAATTTTTTAAATCTGTTTTCTTGGCCAAGGACAATGATTTTTGGATTGGAAAACAAAACAAAACAAAACCAGAACAAAATTGGCTAAGAAGGAGTAGCTATCCAAGGATGGTAGAAGTACTTAGCTACCCTTGATGAAATTGACTCACCTGGCCAAATGAAAGTTCTGAAAGAATTGACAGAAGTGAATACTGGGTAGTCAATATCTGAAATACTGTAGAGGAATAGAGGAGATATATCCAGACTGGAGAAGTGCAAACATCATCTCCATTTTTAAAACATGAAGGAAACAGCCAGCAAACTACAGGCCAGTAAACCTCACTCTGATTCCTGGAAAAATTCTAGGATATACAGTTATCCCTTACATATCACGGGGTTTGAGGGCATGGGGCCCCACAATCTGGAAAATCCACATAAAACTTTTTGGCCCTCCCTTCGTACCAAAGAAGTTGTCTGAATTATTATGGTATTAAAAGATAAAATATGTTGATTTTATAAAATATATACATACACACACACATACATATTTTATGCATTTCTGAGTTTCTAAACTTTTCCTGTGTTATCTATTGGCCTTTGTGTGTCATCTGTAGCTTTGGTAAAACTTCCAAAAAATTCCCTTTTAATTTCTTATGCCAACCCTCAGCATACCGAAACTGTGATGGGGAAAGTCTTGATGTGGAAGGGATAACTGTACTAAATGACCAGTTAGTGAACATTAGAAAAGGAAGTAGTGATCACTAAAAACAGAATGGTTTCAGCAAAAAGTAACCTTATTTCCTTTTTTGACAGGTTACTAAACTGGTAGATCAGACAAATGTTATGGTCATAGTTTACCTAGACTTTAACAAAGCATTTCATAAAGTACCACGAGATTCTTGCAGAAAAGATCAAGAGATGTATGTTCTACACATGGATTAGAATGGATTCAGAACTAGATGAATGGTCCAAATAAAAAAGGAGTTATTCACTGATTTCATGTCAACTTAGAAGGAGGTCTCCAGTGCAGTGCTTGGCCCTGTGGTATTTAACATTTTTATCACTGACTTAGATAATGGCATAGACGGTATCCAAAAAAATTTTCAGACGCCTCAACTCTGGGAGGAATAGCTAACATAGCAGATAACAAAGTCAGGATTTAAAAAGATGATAACAGGCCATAAAACTGGGCTGAGTCTAATAAGGTGAAATTTAATCGGGACAAATGTAAAATCTCACCCTTAGACTTAAGAAACTGACCTCATAAGATGAAACAGGGAAGGTGTAGTTAGAAAGAAGTTTGTCTGAAAAAGACATAGGGGTTTTAGTGGACTAAAAGCTCAATGTGAGTTAACTGGAAACATGGAAAAAAGCTAATGTGATCTTAGGCTGCATTAAGAGAGGCATAGCTTCCAGGAATAAAGAGGAGATCATCCTTCTACCTGTTCAGACCACATCTTGGAGCACTGTGTTCAGTTCTGGCTGCCCCAGTTTCTAAGGAGGAGATCGATAAACTGAAGAGTGGCCAGAATGGTGAAGGGCCTCAAGTCAATGCCATATGAACTGTCTGAGGGAACTGGGGATATGTGGCCTAGAAAAGAGATGGCTCAGTGAAGAATGATATGTCTTCAAGTATCGGAAAGGATATAATGGGGGAAAAAAACAGATTCTTTCAAGCCTGAGAGGCAGAACTTGGAGTAACGGAGAGAACTTGCAAAGAGGCAAATCTAGGTTTGATGTCATGCAATCTTCCAAACAATTTGAGCTATCTGAAAGTGGAAAGGCTGCAGGAGATTGTGGGCTCCCCCTCATTGGGAGGCTTCAAGCAAAGACTGGATGGCCACTTGGGGGCTGTAGCAGAGATTCTTTTTTTGGCTATGAGTTGGATTAGATGGCTACTGAGGTCCCTTCCAACTCTGAATTTCTGTGATTCCTCTTCATTATCCGAGCTAGCCTTCTCCAGTTTCATTTTGGTTTTCTTAAGCCAACTGTTGCTTCATATTTTATTCAACCAGGGTTATAACTTATGTTTGTTAGCACTTGTCAGGTTATGCTCTAGTGAGGATTCCTTCATCTATGGGTTGGACTCAATGACCCCTAAGGTCCCTTTTATCTCTCAAATTCTGTGATATGTGTGTCTGATAAACTGATTATGGCTGATCTATACCTTACACCTTAGGTCTTGCCTTGCAAAGCAATCTTTAAAATCCCAATCACTTTGAAAAGGGTGGTCCAGCTTTATTTTCAAGTTAAATCTTTATTTTCACCTTCTCATTTAAGTCAAGTTCTGTTTTCACTATTATACTTAAGGTTTTCACAACACATCAAAATAACCTAGCCATGCATAACCTGTAAGTATTCTATTAGCTAAATATGAAATAGATAAGCAGAAAATCCATATGAACATTATGATAAAACTTTTTTTTAGACATTTTTGCAAAGAAACGATAAAAAAATCATATCCTTTGACCCAGCGATTACACAACTAGGTACGTATTCCAAAGGGGTGAAAGACAACAACAAAATCCAATATACATTAAAATATTCAGAGCAGCGTTTTCTTTTCTGTAGTAGTGAAGAACTGGAAACAAAGCGCCACTGTTTGTGGAATGACTGAATAAATTGTGGTATATCAAAATAAGGAAATATTGTGGAATAAGAAATGAACACGAGAAATTTGCAGATGCATGGGAATTGTATGAACTTACAGAGAACATGTATGAGCTTACGGATATTGAAATTAACAGAACTAAAATAATAATGAATAGCACTACAATAATGTAAACAAAAGATCACAATAGAAAGCCAAAGTTAGAGCAAATGAAATGCCAATAATTGTCATGACAATGAATAGGCAAAGAACACAGCTCCCTCTCTCTGCAAAGAGGAAGATGAATACCAGGGAAGAATGTTATATACACATTGTCAATTGCAGTCACTATATAGGATTGTTTTTGCTTAACTTTTTTCTGTATCCAAAGTGACATTTCAATTTGGAGAGGGTAGCACTTTCAGAATTGAATGTGATTTAAAACAAAAGACATCAATTAAACTTATTTAAAAAAAACTTTTTTGTTTGCTTTTTTATTCAGGAATGGTAATTAGTATAACCACTAAATGGAATTACCTAAAAAATACAACTATAAACATTTTCATAGTACAAATATTTGTTTTATGGGTCAATGTGACCAAAAAAAATTCATAACTTTGCAGCCAACCTTCTGGTGATGAGCTTTTCTGCACTTATCTAGGCTGGTCTTCAGATGGAACAAAGTCTATCACTAGGGCCCATACCTGAAGCTCGGTAGGTTCTACCAGAACTCATACCCTGCTGGCAGAACCTTTGAGAATCCTGAATTGCCTCTGTGCTGTGAGAAGGCAATGAAGGAGGACTTTTGTGGAGGGGCTATGATCTGCTCTGGTGGACAGAATACCCATATAATGATGAAATCACAGTTTCAGAGAGGCAGAATGAGAGAGAGAGGGAGAATGAGAGAGAGAGAGAGAGAAACTCTGCCCTGAAGCCCCAAAAGGAAATGTGTTTGTGTGGTATGAACAGTACCTGTGAGCCTTCTTCATTGTAGTGTCTGGCATTTCGAAACATCAGCTTCATATCTTCCATCATTGCCTCTTCTCCTGCATACTTGTCATTACGGATGTTATGCTCAATAATTTTTAAGTCCATTGGCTCCAAGATGATTTTGTAATAATCAGGGTAGTCCTTTTTGGATGGCTTAACCATAAATAGATCACAGAGTCTTCTGCCTGTACCTGGCTCTCGAGCTTCAAGAACAACGTTGAATAAAATTTTCATTCGCTGCTTTCTTATGTTCTTTTTACTGTTAAGGGAGCAAAACAACAGACAACTTAATTTCTTCTTTTCACAAGGGTGGAAATTGAAATGGCACTGCTTTCTTTCTCTATTGGGTAGGCACTTCATAGTGATTATGCCTCCCTTTGCCATATATGTCTATAAACAATGCTACGTGCTAAGTCAATACTTTGGGAGCAGTCAGGGGAAAGGTAACTTTTAACAAACAGGCAGAGCCAAATTTCTAAAATAGTTTACAAAAGGCAGGCTGTGTAAGAACTGGCAAACAGATCTCTAGGCTAAGAGACCTTAGGGAGAGATATTTGTCTTTACAACACTTTCCAGTGAGTCCAATTTTCATGAAGAGATGTGACCTGAAATGTAGGAAGAATGAAATCTTTTAACAACTATTACCCAGTTTTAGCTTTTAAGACTCATACAGCAAGGCTGTAGTTAAACTGAGTAATGTTCTTTTCCCACAAATACGCTTAACATTTATCAAGGAACCACAGTAGAAAGAGAAAATCCCTAATGCCTGAGGTCCTCCTCACTAAGGTTTAATCATCTTGCTTGCTAAGAAGCTTGCTTAAAATGTGCATGTCTACATACTGGATTAGCGTTTCCCCACCAGCGTATGAGGGAACACCTATATGTTACACATTTCACTGGTACGTCATAGCAAATCCTAGTTTCTCTTCTTCCCCTGTGTGAACTTCCGCCCAGGCCGATCCTTTTTCCTCATTCTATGTTTCTGACCTGCAACAATCAATGCCAATCTCAAGTAAGAAGCTAGTTTGGGGTTATTTGGGGGTGTAGGTGGTCTATGGCTTATCCAAACCTCTCACTGTGGCTGGTGCCAATTTTTTAAATTAATGTGTGTGGAATTCCCACCCCACAATTTCATTTCCCCTCCAGTTAGGAAATGATAAACTTAGAAATAGATAAGGGTGATATAGAGGAGTATTATACCAGGTAACAGAATTTAGACTATAAAGGACCTTAGAGAACTTTTAGTCCAACCCCCTCATTTTACAGCTGAGGAAACTGAGGTCTAGAGAGGTTCAGTGACTTGCCGAAGGTCACACAGTGAGTTAGCGGCAGAGTCAGCACTAGAACCCAGGTCTCCTGCTTTCCGGTCCAGGGCTCTTATGTCATAAGCCTTTGGTGGTGAACTCCCAGCAGGATTGGAACCAGTAGCCTCCAAGTAAGCAGCTGAGGCAGATAACCTAAAAGTAAGAAGAAACGGCTGTGCAGAGACTTGGTGGCAAATATTTTTTGTCTGCTTCCTAGTCTATGGTTCAAAAGTTGTCCCCAGGAACAAGCTAAGTGGCTGGGAGAGTCTATCCATCCCTAAATAGACTTCGCCCACTGACACTCTTGAGTTATGAAGGTTCTAAGTGTTAAAGGTTTTCCTCTCAAAAATTCAACAAGGCATCAAAACAAACAAGCAAATGGTCAGGCAAAGACATTTCTGTGCTTACGTTATGATTCTAAAAGACATTTGAGTGTCTACTGACTCTTTAAAGCTAACATTTTAAAAGTTTATGGCAAGCTGGATGGAGCAGGTTATCTAGAAGAAAGAACACACACAGAGGCTCGCTGTTTACATTTAAAGAATCACTGTCAATGCTCTGATGGGAGGTGCATTTTCCCTCTGATCATTCAAGGCTGTTATGTGCTTCTGGAGCACTGTGACATTAGTTTTTATGTCTTTAAAAAAAACAAAAACAAAACTACATCATTTTGTTAAGTGAGCTCTTCTTGAAGGCTTTGTCTAGAACTTCAGTATAATTTGGAAGCAGTTTCCTTTGATAGATGTGATGAATCCAAAGAGACATCCCATGATAAAGACATGGTAGGAATAGCTTTCCTATCCCAAACTTTTAGCAACCAGACAATGAGAAACTTTACACCTGACATTAAGGCTTAGAATACAGGTTATTTTGCCCCTCAGACTTTATACAACAGGCCTCCAGGTTCCAAGCTGAAGAAAGCAAATATAATGTCTGCAGGTCCTATGTCACAAAACCCAAGTGTCTGACTTTCTGAGAGTTCAACTTTAAAGTGAACAAACTCAAGAATTCTATTTTGAAATCATAATCAGCTCAAAAAAAATCTCTTTAAAAATGGACTCAGAAGGTGTGTGTTTTTGTTGCTTTAACAAAAACATTCCAATGGGAGAGGACATGATTTCTCATTTTTGGTTGACTGGAATCTATCCCTGGTTATTTATACACCAAATTGCTATCAGGCTAGAGCATTGGAAGTAATTTTTTTCATTTGGGAACTTTATCAACTTTTAAAGAATGGGAGGAATGGTTTTTAAATAAAACCGGAAGCAATTATAACAAAGGCAGAGCATTTGCATTTTCCCAGCAAGCTTAACTGAATCTTTTACATTATGCTATAAACATTGAGAGGTCTGACTACTCTTGGCTGTCGTCAGATAGACAACTGATGGTGGATGGTCATTTTGTCTCCAATGACTGACACCTGCAGGCAGCATTTAGTGAGACAAGTCCCAAATCTGAAATCAAAAAGGACATAACCAGGAAACTACTTTAATCTGATGCTTAAAACTCAATTTGCTATAAGTTTTTGTACATTAAAAATACTACCCTCCCCTCCACCTAACTCACTTATTAGTACAGAAGATTTGAGATAGTCCTAACCATACTTTAGGTCTTTTTTCTCCTGATGTTCTATTAGAAGCTTATGCTAAATAAGCCTGCTTCATGGCTTTCAAAGATAAATGAGTCTTGGGAAGCTGGACAAAAAGAATGGTTGTTTACAAAAGTGGATGCTTTTCTATTTTTCCTTACCATTTTTCTTTTCTTCTTTTCATGCATTCATGATACCCAATAAGAATTTAAAAATAGAACTTCCTTATGCCTTTCTACTTTTCTTAAGTTGAAAACTTGAAAATGAAGCAATTGACTACAGGGAATGGCTACAGCAGCATTCTGTAGAAGAACTCAGATGTACAAGTCAGGAGAGCTAGGTGCATCCTACTGGCTAGGCAATCCTTGCCAAATCACTTAACTTTCCTAGGCCTCATTTACAAAGTGAGGAAATCATGTTTGTCAGGCATTTTGGATTCCACGGAGAAAGAAATCCTGGTGTACTTCCTACTATAATGCCTAAACAGCAGATGCTTAATAAACACTTTCAGCAATTTCCACACAAATTCAAGATCCTTTGTAGGTATAAGGGATCTCATGAAATTTTTATATAGAATAAACAGATGAGTGCCTAGTGTCATGAGTGAAAGCATCTAAAAATCTAGGGGAAGTCAATATTAATCTTGGAATAGAAGTAAAAAGCTTCCTTCCCCCTTGAAGTTCACTCTTAATTCATAACAGTGTTGGAGAGATATTATCTGTCTCTCAGTTAAAGAAATATAATTTAGTTTACTGCCTGTTATGACTTACCTGCTCTGAAGATTAAGTATATGGGTTGGGAGAGAAGAGGAGACTAAAAGAGTTCTAGCCCAAACTACTATCCAAATACTGTTGCCATATGATATGCTTCCAGATACTATTCCATCACTCCACAATCATAGTTAAACTCTTGACTGTTTTTTCTATATCCCTTCCCTCTTGTCTTCTCACCACTAAGTCTCTTCTGGACCCAATCTAATTGGGCTTCAGCTATTACCAGTCAATTGGCTATCAGTCCAAGTGGGAGCTTTACTCTCATTTTGCAGGACTGATTTTTAACACTGGTGACTCTCAGCTTCTGTTTCTACAATATGTGCTTTTCTGGTTTATCTCACATTCATTCATTAAAAATTTAACAGTTATTTATTTATGTACCTACTCATAAGCTCAGAACACACCTATTGAAACAGCTCCTTTTCTCTCTTTCCAATACTGACTTCTTCTAACCATTAACTCTGAACATCCTTTGACTCTCCTCATTTTGTGGGGAGCTCATCTGTTTACATGGTTTCAATGGACATTACAAGGAGAATAGTTCTCAGATGTTATCATTACTCTCTACTTCTCCAGTACTGATCTTGTACCTTCTTTTGCACGAACACCTAAAATTGAGTATGTTTAAAACTAAGTTCAAGTTTTATTTGCTTTGCTATCATCATCAACAGACCTGAGGGTAATGCTTAAAACTTTAGAGCCATTTTACACTTCTTGCTCTCCTTAGCCTTCGACATTAAGGGTTAACAATTGTACTACCAATTCTTCTAAATCATATTTTAGATCTACTCCATTCTTCCATTTTCAAAGCTAAAGCTCTGGTCCATAATCTAACTACTTCATTACTGCCCAGAACATCCCAGCCTACCTTCATTTTTTGCTCCTCCTTCATTTCACTTCTATTCATAGCCACAAGCAGAACAAAAATTACTTCCCCTGCAATTTCATATTCATTACTATTCTCCTTCTCAGAGGCTCACAGTAGATCTTAACTGCTGTTTTAATCAACATAAAAGCTCTGGGCTTTGAGGCTCTCTATCAAGTCAAAACCAACCCAATAATCAGTTACTGCCTTACTTGCACTCATCATTTCAGATGAGCAAACTTCATCTTTCCCTTTACCTTCCTCACTAATCAACACTTATCTCATTCAATGACACCTTCCCAGACTAACTAGATCTGAGCGTAGGAACTAAATATCAAATGTTTCTTTATTGAGAATTTACTATGCATACAGCTTACTTAAGGTTGTATTAAGGGGAGGGGTGTTTAAGGGCAGTATTTCACTATGCTGCAAATAACTGAAACACGCTGAATTTGCTGTTTTAAATGGACCTTATGTTGTTCGTTAATAGGCATTAAAAAATAATTTTAGAAGATTTTACTACAAGCGTTCTGCCAAAGTTTTGCTTAAATAAAACAAAATTACATCCTACCACTGCAGAAAAGTTTGAGAACTAATGTAGGGGATACCAGTGGAGGACAATCCTTGCCCTCAATAAATTTACTAACAGATAAGGCATTTTTGGTTCTCTTGGTAAAGCCAGTGACAAGTCCCTGGTCTAGGTGTCCTGTTAACTTGTATTACTGAGGACACTCTTTACACTCTGGACGTGCTACCACTTTTTATTAAAATAGCCTGGTGATAAAAATAAAGCTTTAGGTTTCCCTGTCCACCTAAACAATAGTGACCACATCCCAGAAAATGTTAACCTTTAGAAGTACGTTTATGCATAAAAAATGTGTGCACACCTGGATAGCCTCCTGAGGCCCAACATCTCATTGTCATGAGTGTTCCTGGGAAAGCAGAAACAAACATTTTACATGTGGAAAGAAACAAAATAAGCAAACATCAGAGAGACATATATAAACTAAATGTGGCTGAGAAAAAGGCAAGGGGCTCTTTGTCCCCAAAGATTAAAGATAAAAGGGGTATCTGGAAACCCTTCAACATTGAAAATCAAGCTTTATCGTTGGTGTTTTAGGGAAAGAGCAGAGGAGCTTCACTGTCATGAGGGGCAGAGAAGATCACATGCAGCTGCACTTGTACCGTGGCATTAACAAGTTGATAAGGCAGACATAGAAGCACACACTGCAGTTAATCCTCAGCTCTGGTAGCACTCAGACAGCTTATTAATCAGGGGAAGCTCTGTGAGTACATATACTGATTCCTACAGCAAAGTTTGACATTAGCCTGGTTAAGTGAGCGTGCTTATTCTACACTTTCTGGAGGCACACCTGCCAAAGTAATCAAGCTCCCAAAGGCAGTCTGCTACACTTCTCTTTTTCCTGGACTACCTTCCCCCTTCTCCCCAAGAAGGACTAGCCTATCTCACAAATATTTAATTCATCTCACAATTATTCAAGTTGTATTTCATCTCTGAATTTCTAGGCTATAGCTTTTACTGCTCCCGCATGTAATCTATATTTGTTCTGTTTTCTTATTTATGTTTGACCATTTATTGTATGCATCATTTCCTGAGGACTCTGGATAGTGACATAAAGTTTTCATCAGAGCTAGAATCATTATCCCCAAAGCACACTATTTAATTTTCTTTTACTGGTGGCTTAATGGCAAAGAAGTCTATTTAATTTGCTGGAATGAATCCTGTACACTTCAAGCCAACAACACTTGTAGTTTGTGTGGCTCTGTCCTAGGTTGGGTTGGCTTTGGAAGTTTTTAAAGACCTATCTTTTCCTTTAGTAACGGTTATAAACTGTATCATCATTTATTGCCTTCATTACTTTCTTTGCCTGAAAAGTATCTATCTTTGATTGCTGATTGAGTTAGAAAACACAGGTAGTGATATAGTATAAACTGCACTCACAGATAGTCTTGATTTGCTGTTTCTGATCTTGTTTCACGTTTTTTCCATCCTTCTCCCTCATACAAGCAATTAAGAACTTACCAGGTTGAAAGTCATAGGCCAGAAGCAGTGATTATCATTTCAGGATGCACTGACTTATTTAGCTATGGAAGTCTATCAAAATAAATGTATTTTCAAAGCAAAAGTTCCCTCCCCTGGACCCCCCAAGGTTGGTATAAAAGGGAACAGATTGAACAGCTTCTCATTTTTAAACAACTGACTAGATTTAAACCTATGTCAAGAAGTGTATTTAGAAAATCACGTAAGCAATCACCAATTTACCCCTTCCAATTCAATCTCTTGGGCTTTATGATCAACCATATTTTATTCTTTACATTTGGCTTACCCTCTTATCAATTATCCCACAAACTGCAGGGCCTGCTGTGTGGAAGAGCCTAAGACAGCAGAGGTTGGGGAGAAAAAGCATCTCACAGCATTGGAATCAATCTGAGAAGCCTCACAGAAATGCTCTAAGACAACAGAGCTGGGTGGATAGAGCTGCTGGAAGCTTTACGGCCAACAAACACCTTTCCCAGGAACCTCCTCAAAGGAAGGAAGGCAGGCTAAGAAAAGTTAAGGCTGAGGTTATGGAGAAGGGCATGGATTTTGTGTCTTAATGATTTCATGAACTGCATGAAGACATGATTTAGTATTCTGTGATTTGACATCTTAAAAATAAGATCAGAATAATAAGGAAAAATAAAAACTTACTTTACTGAAAACAGTCCAGATGTTCTTAACTAATTTTAGTTAGTATTAAATTGCTAAAGTCTTTGTAGGGACAGGATTTAAAACTTAGAAAGAACTACTTTTGATTCTTCTGTGGCTTTCTAAAAACATTAATTTTTTACAAATATGAAAATGAAAGATATAAATATTTTGTCACTTTAGTACAGCCTACTAAAAGACAGTGGAGTATTTTAATGCTTAAGAAAGCAATATTAATGTCTGATTTAAAACTGATATTCTGATATGACAAGTTATCAAAGAATCTAAATGGACAATTAAACAATTCATACTCAATAGTATATTTTCCTTAAGCCAAAAGACAAGCTAAACAAGTAAAGGGGAAAGAATTACAGCTAAGAGAAAAGTACCTTTTTCTTTTGGCACTCCCAGTGTCAGAAGTGGCTGAAGAGATCATACTGTCCCCGTCTTCAATGTCGTCTCTTCTAGCAAGCTCCTTCTTCTTTGCCTGAAAGAGAGCAAATCCCTGGAGTCAGGCTCACTCTACTAAATGCTCTTGGAATACATGAATAATAAAGAGCCACAAAGATCAGATTCACACTGAAAGATACAACTACAAGTAGGATGCATGAATATTAAAGCACCATTACAAATTTTCAATAACCACAAATTAATGAAAGTCTGCCAGACAAAAAAGTGGGTCAAAGAAGGACCTACATATTTAAAGAATCAATTCTAGCCAACAGCATTTAAGACTACAAAATACCTGAACTAGCACCTTAAAAGTTCTAACAAATGAGACCTAAGATGCCAATGCTTCCCTCCTCTGGTGGCCATATTAAGTGGTATTCTCTTCATGCAACTTTAAAAAATTCTATGAGTGCCTTTTATTTCGGAGGGGCAGTCTTGCTGAAAACAATGGAAGTTTGAAGAGAGAGCTGAAAGAAGATCTACTTTTCAAGCAACACATGAATTTTTAAAGCTCTTCTGCCAAATAGAGCAGAAGCCCTAACCTAACAGGCTGACAGAACATAGATATAGCACTTAACAACAAATAATAAGTTCATAAAATCTTTGGTGGCCTTTGCAACTACCGTTGTCCATTTAAAATTCTTTCATTCACTAAACATTAATTGAATGCCCACTAAGTATACAGCATTACACTAGGTGCTGAAAAACAATAAAACATGGTTCCTGCCCTCAAGGAACTTAAATTTCCATAAGGGAGAGATAAGATATGGCCAGAAAGTGATAGATGAATATAAGGTAAAAATACTATTCTTCAGGTGGGCCTGGTATCAGAAGTCATGGGATTCTTGCAGTTGGAGATTGGAGCTCCCTGAAAACAGAGATCATGTCTTCTCTGCTTACTACATTTTTGTGTTGTTTTCTATTGTAACTATTGTGCTATGAAAATTCAGATAAAGGAGTGTTCTCTTCTAGCTGGAAAGGCTTCATGGAGGAGGTAATATTTGAACTGGGTCTTGAGTATGGAGAAGATTTCAAGAAGTGGGAAATACATTCTAAGGGGCAAAGATAGACATTAAAGTATGGACTATATTGGGTGAATAAGAAATAGTCTGATTTAGCTGGAACATAAAATATTTTCAAGGTAGCAGTATGAAATAAAGTAGAAAAATTAAATTGGAATTTCGTAGGGGCCAGAAATGCTAAGTTCAGGAGTTTGGATTATATTTGATAGGCCTGAGGTGGTCAGTGTCTATTAATTCTCCAAGATTCCCTTAGGAGTCAAAGCCCTATGGAAAAAATAAAACTGTGAAGTATGAAAAGTTTGTTATTATCTGTCCCTAATTTTCCTTTTTATTCCAATGATTATGTCCCATCCTGCCTCTCTAGGTGTCAGTGATGTCACGTTCTCTCTACTCTCCTGCTAAGACAATTTTAAGGAAACGATCTGATAAATGAATTTACAACGTAGGATAAATGCCTAATAAGAGTTTTTGTATTTTAAAAGGGACAGATATTAACAAGATAGAGTACTGAGTCAAAAGCATAAAGCTTTAAAGGTGGAAGATTTCAAGTACCAGTGAACCAGCAGGTGAGCTACTGCTTAGAGAAGGAGGGCTTTCTAAATATCAGTGTGTAGAAAGACAGTGTCTGGTACCCACATATATGCATGGCCCTGTCCGCAGTATCAGTGGTTCCTGAAATTGTACTGCTGACCATGAGAAGATGGTCAACAGGATTTGTGTGTAAGATGAATAAAGTCAGATAACATGGAGTCTCCTGCAATTCACATCTCCAAGAAAAGAAAGAAGGCACATCTTTGAAAAATTATTTCCACTGAATATAACACAAGCTCACCCAAATACCATTATAACTTACCTGCATAACTTGTTGCATTTTTAGAACTCGTTTGTAGATGGCTGAATTGGGAACGTTGTAACGTTTGGCATTTTCAAACATCAAATTTAGATCACACTCCAAATGATCTAAAGTTTCATATTCTTGGTTCTTTAGCTTGGTTCTGTGAAAGAGAGACATATGACCTGAATTTTGCCCCATGGAGGCCAGCTACTGTGAAATATCCTTTGTTAAAATCTAACACGAATTCCTAACAGAAGGAGTCTGGGATCTGGAGTCAGAACGAAATTTGAATCCTAGCTCTGTTGTTACTCACTATCTGTGACCCTGGGTAAATCACTTAAACTCTCCAGCTCTACTTCTATAGTTGTACAATTAAGGCAGTAGCCAAGATAGGCTCCAAGTTTACTGTTAGCTCTGTTACCAGAGTACACTAAGTATACTCTCAATCTCTGACCTGGTGTCTCCAGCACCCACATTAGGGCTGTGCTCTCCTGACTGATGTGAGTCTATGATATCAAGCTGGCTGCCTCCTTTCTCCACCCCTTTCTCTGGAAATAATGAAATCAAATCAACATTATCATTCCTGGAAAGAACAGGTCACCAGTTGCCCTATGAGTTCATTCACCATCCTGGTGACTTCCCAGACAAAAAAGACCCCTCCCTGTTCCCCATTCCCCTATCTCTGTTGTGTTCTCCTATTAGAATCTAAAGAGCAAGGACCATCTTGTTTTTTGCATTTGTACCTCTAGTGCTTAGCACAATTCCTGGAATATAATAAGCACTCAGTAAATACTAAATGCTTTTTCATTCATTCATGGCATTTTTTGGATAATAACAATTAGAAAACTGGAAATGATCCAGAGACAAAACTACCTATTTCCCTTTTTGGTGGGTGATGCCCTTTCTTGAGGAATAAAACTGATTCAAGAGAGTTTTGAATTGTAGTAGCATGCCCAATTATTACACTGATATGAACACTTCTAAGAGAGCATTTCACCTTTCTGTATAAATCAAAGCACAGGCAAAGGCCTTGGAAAAGAATTCCAGGGGTAATGAATCTTTTCTAGCTGTCAGCCTGGGATACTACCAATATGAAATGTGCAGAGAGATTTTCATATCTTAGTTACCAAACCCCTCCTCTATTCGTAGGATAAACATCTTTCGTTAGTTAAGAAGCTACTGAATAAGTGTTTCTTGGATGAATGAACTGAAGTATGACAACACTCCATCCATTTTTTATTTATTACACTTGGAATTCAGACTTCTGTTTCTTTCTAAAATGACACCATTAATCCTATCATGAACGATTCTATGTACAATGTACTGTGAAAGGGAGTATGATGTAGTAGAGAGAAGGATTTGGAATTAGAAGGCCAGTTTTGCCACTTCCTGGCTATGAAAGTTGAACAAATCACTTTTCCTATCTGGACATCAGATTGTCATCCGTAAAAGAGGGGAGTTGGACTACATGATTTTAAGGTCCTTTTTGGCTCTGACATTCTGTGATTCTAAGTAACTTACGTCTGTCCTAAAACCACATAGAAAATACGGTTTAAATTACATATGCATGTGTGTGTGTGCATACACACAAAGGCTAGATTTCTAAATTCTCCTGACTGAAACACACATGTGCTAACTTTATTATAATCAGGTAATGAAAGTAGCAAAAAGAAAATAGTATAGCTATTTTACAAAGATGAATGTCAATCTTCTAACTTGACCATCAGAATAATATTATGAGTGGTTCTCCAACTGGTAAATGGCCAAAAGATATCAACAGGTAGTTTTCAGAGGAAGAAATCCAAGCTATCAATAGCCATATGAAAAGCTCCAAAGCACTAATAATAGGAGAAACACAAATTAAAGCAATTTTGAGGTTCTACCTCACACCCTTTAAATTGGCAAACTTGACAAAAAAGGAAAATAATGAATGCTGGAGGGGTTTTGGAAAAAAGATACATTAATGCACTTTGGTGGGGCTGTAAGCTGGTCTACAGGAAAGTGATTTAGAACCATGCCCAAAAAGCTTTTAAGCTATGCATTTACCCAGAAATACCATTACTACCAAAGAGATCAAAGAAAGAAGAAAAGAAGCCATATGTACAAAAATAATTATAATAGCTTTTTTTGAAGTGGCGAAGAACTGGAAACTAAAGGGGTGCCCATCAACTGGAAAATGGATAAACAAATTCTGGTATATAAATGTAATGGAATATTACTGTGCTTTAAAAAATGATGAAGAGGATGGTTTCAGGGAACCTTGGGAAGATCTGTATGAACTGATGCGGAATAAAATGAATAGAACCCAAAGAAAAATTTACAACACCGTAAAGACAAATTTGAAAAATGTAAAAACTTAATAACACAATGACCAATCATAGTTCCAGAGAAATGACAAAATATGGTACCCATATCCTCAAAGAGGTGATTGGGCTCAGGGTGAGTACACATTGATTTTTTGGATATGGCCAATACTGAAATTTGTTTAACTTGACTATGCATATTTGCTACAAGATTTTTTTCCCCCACAATGGAGAAGGGGGAAAAGGTGGGAGGGTAAGAAAACAGGGTTTTGCTCACTGAAAAAAAAAATAAAATTCAAAAGAAGGATAATATTACACATTCTGTAAGGAACTACAATTTAGTGTGCCATTCAAAAAAAAAATTACATGTGGTCCATAAAACATATATAAACTTTCAAGGGAGTATATCACATCAAAGCAAAAAAATGCATAAATTCAGCCATGAGTTATATTTTGCAAATGTAGGGGTTAAATAATATCTTTGGTACCTATTCCCACAAATGCATAACAATAAATTTTGCAAAATATCAAGTGCTCTCCACATCAGCAAGGGACAAAAGGCACAGAATTTTATGTGCTACACAATTTTAGAGACCATCTCATTCAAATCCCTCATTTTACAAATGGGGAAAGTAAGGCTCAGGAAAAAAAGTGAGTAGATGAGTTCACATAGCTAGTCGGTGACAGAGGCAGGACTTGAATCCAGGTATCCTGACTTTTATCTGAGTGTTCTTTGTCCCACAGCTTGCCGCTTCTCAACTATTTATTGACTCTTTGTGACCCCATCTGGGGTATACTTGGCAGAGACACTGGAGTGGTTTGCTATTTCCTTTGCCAGTTTGTTTTACAGATGAGGAAACTGAGACAAAGAGGATTAAGTGACTTGCCCAGTGTCTGAGGCCAGATTTTAACTCACAAAGAGAGTGTCTTCCTGACTTCAGGCCCTGCACTCTATGCACTATGGCACCATCTAGCTGCCCCTACTATTTATTAGGTATCCACTAAATTAACACAAATTATGGGTGAAGGCAGAATGGGAACACATTAGAAAAGAACTAAACAGCTCTATCCAATAAACCTAACGATGCAGCTGATGGGTTGGCCAATCCCTCGATGCCGGGAAACATGTGTGAGGGACACGGTGGGTGCATCACCGCTTAACTTGACTCATGCCCACTACAACTTATGAGGCATTCTGGCACTGAATGAAGGTTAACTGGATCACCCCAAAGGCCCCTGGCAATTCTGAAACTGTCTCATTCATCTAGCTTCTCTCCTTTCATTTTCTCCCCACCACCTCAGCCCCAACCTGGCACATCTAAATCTTGCAGATGTAGCAAAGAAACTACATAGTCAATACGCTTAGCACCTTTAAAATAAGACTCAAGTTCTAAACTACCCCTAAACAAGAAGAAATTTTTCTGACATAGTATATTTCTGTATAATTGTAGTGCAGCTCTAAATCTGTGATCCTCTGACTGAGGGCCAGTCACTTAGCAGATACTGTGCTAGGCACTGGGGATACAAACACAAAGAATGAAACAACCTCGGGCAAAAACAATCTCCTTATGCAGAGGCAGTAGGGTATAATGCAGAAACCACGTGTTAAAGAGTCAGAAGATCTGAGTTTATACCCAGCTTCTGACACTTACTCCCTATGTGTCCCTCTCTTTAACTTTCTGACCCCTCAGCCGGGCCTTCAGTTTCCTCATCTGTAAAAGGAGGTTGGGATGCACAGCCTCTGGGGTCACATCCACTTCTGGGACCATGATTCTAAGTTACTAATCCCCACAACTGCTAGTGGCCTCTCTCCCAAACTTTTACCTGACTGCTTTCTATTTTTTATATTTATATTTACTTCGTATGCATTAGAATGTAAGATCCCTGTGACTGTATACTGTTTCATTCTTCACATTTATATGCCAGGACCAAGCACTGGGTCTGACACATAGGAGGTGCTTAACAGATATTTGTTGAACATCTGTAGAATGGGGAGAATAAAACCTGTGTTATCTCACAGAGTTGTTGAGAAGTTCACAAGAAATAATTAAAAGAACTTCGCAAACTTCAAAACAGTTATTAAATCTGCAAAGATTTTCTAGGTGAGGCAATGACAAGTAATTATGGTTAAACAGTTAAACTTGTGTTATTTCAAGTTAGAACATTTGAATAAAAAGGGCTACAGAAGATCAGTCCTTCTTGTGAAGGACAAAAAGTCAATTAAAAGGTTATTTCTCTCAGGGTCTACCTGCCACTATCTTTTCTTCTGGCAGGGAAGTAAGACAGGGGTAGTTTAGGAGTTTCTAGGGCACTTCTCTAAGAAAGTATAGGTAGACTGTATTTTCATTTCATTTTAAGAGGGTGCCAAGTACACTAGTCATATACTATTTTTCCACAACATCTCAAAGCTTTCAAAAAAAAAAAAAAAAAAAAAAAAAAAAAAACAAAACAAAAAAACACCCTAAGTACTAAATTGCTGAGGAAAAGAAAAAAATCTTGAAAAACGTTACCAACTTCTGACTTGGAATCCAGCTATTTGAAAAGTTGTTACATTTCAATTCCTGGAAGACTGGGTATCTGTCCTAGGGGGTTCATGTAAAGTTTTAGCCCTTTTGATTTGTTTTAGAAAAGCCTCTCTATTTTACCCTGATGAACACTGCAAGATCTGACTTCCCCAAATGACAAAGTTCAAAACAGACTTTGATAGGGATGAAATTAAGGCAATATTCTACTTGAACATTGCATCTTTCTTATTGCTTTGAAGGTTTTATATATATATATATATTCCTTAAGAATTCTGATTTGCCAAATACCCAATAAGCTTGTACCTTAAACCTAAGTGAAAAATGGAAGTTAAACAGAAATTGTTTCTCAAATTTGGTTTTGGGAAATACAACTATTGTTGTTGTTTGTCCTTCCCTCTTGAAGAGGCCCATGGCATAAGGAAGGCGATGCCATGACTTGCCAGTGAGCGGGATTTAAAAGAGGGAGGGCTGCGCAAAGTCACCAGCCTCATAAACTCAGGAATTCAGTTTGAGGCAATGCTCATTCAGTGATTTAAGGCTAGGTAAGAAATGAGGCAAATGGGAAAAATTGAGTTAATTTCTGAAAATGGTTTATACATAGTCTAATGTCCAGAATATATCATGAACACAGATAAATGGTCATAACGAGGTATTAATGATCAGAGAAGGAAAAAAAGGTTTTACAGTTTGGTTAGTTCCAAGACAAATGACAGTTACATTTTGATTGTTTATTTTTCATACTCCATCTTCTGACCAATTAAATACTCAGAAGTAATCTTTACTTGCACTATGATAAATTAATAACTGTGCTGAGAATGCCATCTATCATTTAACAGACTGAATTTCTCATATAGAAAAAAAGGAAATATATTTCACATAAAACCTGAGAAACTTCCAAATACCCTCAACCCAAACATATTTAACTTTCTGTAACTCTTCCAGGAAAGAACACATACACAAAAGTTCAAGCTCAATCAAATGTATTCACTTGGAAATAACTAAGAAATACACAGATAAAAGACTGTTCTCTTACCTTATCTGCTGCAGGGAAATGGGCATTTTGATTTGCTGATAATAATCAGGGTATTTTTTCTTCGAAGGCAAATGGAAAAATGGTTCTGCTATTAGCTGTCCCTGGTTATTCCGGCAGCTCCTAACAGTATCATACAGCTGGTAAAGGGGATTGGAAACATCCATAAAGGAAGTAATACTCTCTGCTTCTGACTCCCCCTCTTCATAACGAGCTGCTAGAAAGACAAAAAGAAGTGTTTGCGAGGGTTTTTTGGAAAATGAAATTTTAAAAAAATCCCTTAAAACTACTTTGTTAACCTGCATAACCAAGGTATGTATTCTTAAAGAGTAATTGATTTAAAAAACTAGCATCTCACTGCAATTATTAATAACACCAGGAATGCTTAAGAGTGTGGGTAATAAAGTCACTTACACTGTTTCCCAAAGGACCGATGCTCAAGGTCATGAACACTAGGAATACCGATGATTGAACCACACCCTACTAAGTCTGTTTTGCCCATTCATTTAATGTCCTTGGACTGCTGTACTTTGGGTTCATGCCTGCTTTTTATAGTTTGTCTCCTTGATGTCACTTTTTATTGGTGTCAGTGCACCTGAGGAGTCTTCTTTTTCTAATATGCTTTTTTAGTCTATAGGCTAGGAAAGCAAATAACCAAGTTTGTTAGAATTGTTTCACAATAGGGCTCTGAGTGAGGGGCACAGGGGTGGAGGGGCTCTTATCAATAAACTGCATCTAATTTAATGCATGACCCTGGTGCCCTTTTCTATGGCAACCTTTTCTCCTTTTGGCCTTTTTCTGGCTGACTCTCAGGTTCTCTCTTATCTTCATTCTCTCTCTAGTCACAAAGTCACAAGTTTATTCCCTGATGCTAACCAACATGCCCCCAACTCCCAGATCCTACTATCCCCTAGAGGTAGTCCCCTAAAGACCTCTTCCCTTCATAGTCAAATTCCTAGAAAAAACTGTCTATCCTTGTTGTCTTGACTTCCTTCCTCTCCCACTCTTCTAAATCCTCCAAAATCAGGGTCCTCACTTCATTCTACTTCTCTCCAATCTTGCTTGACAATCGTGATGGCCTTTCTCAGTCTTGCTGACTAGCCTGCTGTTAGCCTGGATACCTGCTGCTCTCTGGGTTTTCATGACACTTTTTTCTATTGGTTCTTCTCCTATCTGACCCCTCCTTTCCAGATTTCTCTGCTGGCTCATCATCCACACCCTATTTCCTAACTGTGGTTGTACCCCAAGGCTCTGTCCTATGCCGTTTCCTCTTCTTTCATCTCTATAAAGAAGACTCTCAGATCACTATGTCCAGCCTTCATCTTTCTCTTGAGCTCTAGTCATTATCACCTACTACTTATGGGATACTACAAACTGAATGTCCCACAGGCACCTCAAATTCAATACGTCCAAAACTTTACTCATTTTGCTCCTGGCCCCCCAGCCTATCACTCTTCCAAATTCCCTATTTCTGTCAAGGGGGTGGCCATTATTTCAGTAGGCCAGGTTTGCATCTTGGTGTCACCGTCAACTCCTTACCCTCATTCACCCCCTATGGTCAGCTGCCAAATCTTCTCATTTTTATCTTTCCAACATCTCTCACACCCATCTCCTCTCCAATCACACAAGTGAACAAGGGTGGTAGTTGTGTGAGTAGAGAGGAGATGGATGTGAGATAAGAGCTCATCACCTCTTACTTGGATGATTAAAACAGCCTCAAAACAATCTCCTGGCCTTCAGTTTCTCTCCACTGCATTCCATCCTCCATATAGCTGCCAAAGTCATTTTCTTAAAGTACAGGTCACAGTGCCACCTACCTAATAAACTCCTATTACCCTAGGATCAGATATAGATTTTTATGTTTGGCATTCAAAGCTTGACACAACCTGTCACTAACCTACTTGAGAGGCACAATATTGTAGTGGATGATAAAGTGTAGTCAACTAATGAGCATGTATTAAGTTCCTGCTGCAAGCCAATCAATGGGCCAGACCAGGAAGATTCTAAAACAGAAGTGAGGCCGTTCCTGCCCTTTCTTATCTGGTGAGGGGTGAAGTGTCTACATATGTAGGTAGCCACAAGATAAATGGGGTGGAGAAGGTTGAAGGCACTAACAGCTGGAAGGAATCAGGAAAGGCCTGATGTAGGTGTTGCCACTTGAGCTGAGCCTACAAGGAAGAATGATTCTGAGAAGTGGGGGTAAAGATGGAGGGCATTCCAGGCAGGAGGCACAGTCAATGCAAAGGCCCAGAGACAGGATGGGGAGTAACCTGTGTGAGGAACAGTAGGAAGGAGGGTTTGAATGGACCAGGTTGTATACGAAGGTTAGTGTGCAGAGTTTGAAAGGTAATAATCACTAACATTTACATAAACAAAGCACCCCTCATGTATTATCTCATTTGCGCCCCATAACAACTGTGTGATGTAAACGCTGACATTATCCCCATCTTACAGATGAAGAAACAACAGTCCAAGGACATTAAACATATGGGCAAAACAGACTGTGATTGGGGTAGCTAGGTGCCACAGTGGAAAGAGCACTAGCCCTAGAGTCAGGAGGACCTGAGTTCAAATTTGGTCTCAGACCAGACACCTGACACTTACTAGCTGTATGACTCTGGGCAAGTCACTTAACCCCAACTGCCTTGCAAAAAAAAAAAAAAAACTAAAAAAACCAACCAAACAAACAAAAAAACCCCCAAAAAACGAAACAGACTGTGATCACAGATATTCATATTGTTCCTTGAGCACCAGGGTTTTAGAAAACAGTGTAAATAACTTATGAGAAAACCAGAGCCAAGAGAGGTTAAGTGATTTGCGCTATGGAACAGGGTCACACAGCTAGTAAACATGTGAGGTAGCATTTTAACCCATTTTAAATGAGTAATTTCCATGCAAAATACTAAGTGCTATGGATAATTATGAGGTTATCTTTTTTTAAGTTTTGGTTAATTTTTTTCATCTCCCAGAGTCACTTTATTTAGGAAAGATGGTTTAGAAATCCACAACTGAACAGCTAGATACTAAGTACAAATTTTCTTGTTTTAGATTATGAGCTCCTTGAGGGCAGGGCCTGACTGTCTTTTGCCTCTTTTTGTGCACTCAGTGCTTAGCACACTATGTGTCACAGTCTGGCACATAGCAGGCACCTAATAAATGTTTACTGACTTACGCAGCATGATCTCAAATATGTATCACAGGAATATTAATAGTGTTGGATGGTTTACTATATACTCTCAACAGAAGGGTTTCATTGCTTACCAATAGCTACTATTTCTTTGGCTCTGGGATTTACAAGCAAAAAGTTAAGATTAGGAAACATGTACACATATGCCAGTCGAATAGGAGATGGAGAAGGAAGGGAAAGGAAACACTATTAATACTGATAATATACAAAATGCCTAAAAAAAGGGCTAACTTATGTTTTTAACTAGACTGCCTCAACATCTCAATCACAAAGATAGAATTATATCAATCAGGTTTATTTAGTAAAATGTCACTAACCACAATGGGGTCCAAATGAAAGCCTAACAAATGTAATCATAGAACCGTTTTCAGAAGGCTATTCTATTAAAATATGAGAGCAGTTTCCAACATATTTGTCATTAACCACACACTTTGGCAACATCTCCATTTTCTGTCAGCATGGGAGGTGACAGACCAAAACTAAGAAATTTCACCAGATTTCCACATACAAACATGTTCTGCTTTCCTTCACTAGAGTATCTCTGAAAGTTTGTAGGTGTATTTTCCTACATAGAAAATTGCAGGTTAATTAGAGGGTGATGGAAGGCCACCTATCAGAAGTAACAGGAATTCTTGACTTACAGGGAAGTATACTGCTGAAGACATTGATGCAAACATACTTGAAATTCTCTGATGATGAGGGCTAGGTAGTATTAATGTATGTCACTCGTGGAAGCCAGAAGCACAATTTTTATTACATATTGCATGCTCTTATGTGCTTCCTTCTCCACACATACACACATGCATGTATTATAACTGAATATGTTGTGTAAATTAGAGAATAAAGTCAAAGAAATCTGATAACCTACTAAGTATGCAAGAAAAGAAAACAATAAATTTCCATTATCCATGCTAATAGGTGTAGGAGGAGGAGCCATGATATTGGTTTTGAATACAGTATAATACTTTGTCAATCTGAAATTCCAGCAAAACTACAAGACAGTATTTTAAAGGCCTGACTCAGAAGTTAGAAGCTGTCTAACTTCTCTATTTCACAGTTGCTGTACCTCAACTGATCTTCAGATTGAACTGTATCACCTCTCAAACTAATACAAAGCACCATTCTACAGTGGAACTGGCCCCTCTGTCTCTGAACCTGCCAATTCACATCTTTCCTGGGTAAGGTTATGATTATTTTGGCCTAGTTTTTTTTTTTTTTTTAAACAGTTGCTAGGCTAGAAACAAAAGATCTTGGTTTCCATCAGAACATGTACTTAAGCTCAGCAAGTGACAATATCAATAGCAACGTCCAAAGATCCTGGCAAATGTTTCTAATTTCTGTAATCCACTCTCAAATAATCCAGTAGTCTGGATGGTAGCAGTAATTAATGGTTTTGGTATACAGCTCCCTAAAGGGGGGCCACTAGTTAGAACATCCTGTCAATCAGTAAGTCAAGTAGTGTTTACTAAGTGCCTACTACTTGCCCAGCACTCTACAAAGGCATAAAATAGGGAGACATATGCCCACTAAAGTGTTTGTCACCATCATGAAGGATGTCCAGCACAGAGTCCAAATGAAAGAGGTATTGTCTACAGATGCTAAAGTCCTCTAAATATTCCTGCTTGTGAATGACTTTATTCTAGAAGCATCAAGCCCCATAATATTGCAGTCTTCTAAATGAGATTCATAATAACTCAGAAGAATTTGGACCAAAAATCCATGCAGGAGTAGCAAGATGAATACAGAATGCCTATTGGTTGGACCAGAGAGAAAACCTGTGGCTGCCTCTCACGCATCAGTACAGATACCTTGGACAAATGCTACCAATGAGCTGGGTCTGACACTGAACAGGAGGAGGAGGAGTGGGCTAGTTCTTTTAATGGTACAGTTCTTTTAATATCCCCAAGTTTCTTCCTTAAAAAAAAAAAAGGCCAATCTTCTTAATAACAATATTCTTCTAGTAATGGAATATTGTTCCAGGTAATAGAATATTATAGTCTCCAAAGAAATGAAGCTGAGGATCACCCAAAGGTTAATGGAGAGGTGCATGGTGAATGCGAGCAGCTTGCAACACATTATAAATAAGGAACTGTGCCAAAAAAGAAGTGTCAAGGATGCAATCACAGAAATGTGTAAGTGGAAAAAGCAATGGGCCGGTCAGGTAGTGAGAGTGAGAGCGAACTGACAGATGGATTGTGTAAGACATAATGTCAAGAAGAGGAGAAGATGGAATACTGAACGAAGTGCCTAGGAAGGCTTTACACAAGGAGGTGGACAAGAGCCGCACCAGCTGGGGAGCCATGGAAAGGCTGTGGTCTCTTGTGGTCTCTTTCACCGGAGGGAGTGCCTGCAGTGATGGGACCAAAGATTCATCAGTGATTGGGACTATGAAGTGGAAGAGTGAAATGGGATGCAATTTGGGAAATCTGTGCAGGTATGTCTTCAGTTTTTTAGAATAGAATTAACCGGTATACTAGATGATTTGTTTGTTAGTGGTCTCTCCTTTCTTGAATCGTAGGGCAGGGTTTGGAGCTTTAAGGGCCCTTAAAGAGAGATCATCTAGTTCAACCCACTCATTTTTCATTTTACAGACTAGGACAGATGGGGTCCAGGGAGGTAAAGTCACATATCTTCCAAATAGCAAAGCCAAGATTTGACCCCGAGTTCTTTGTCAGCAAATACCCATCTCTGTACAACAGACAAATGCTAAATCTCTCATACCCCTTGGTTAGGTCCTCTAAAGAGGACTGAAGTTTGCGTTCTGGCTCTGCAACCCTTGAGATGGTGACTTTGGGCAAGTCATTTAATTGAGGCCAAGAGGTGCTTTCTTCTATGTAACAGGAGAAAGTTCAATTAGATGATCTCTAAGGTCCCCAAAGCTTTACATCATATGATCCTCTTGTACTTCCCCGATGGTAGCAGTATTTATATGCGTGTCTTATTCTCATTAGTAGGCTATAAGCTTCTTAAGGACAGGGACCAGAACTTGTGCCACTTTAATATTCCTAGCACCCAGGACAGATCATAGGCTCACGGAGAGAAAAGATGAAGGGACCACAGAGAACACTAAGTGCCAAACTCTTGTTTTACAGATGAGAAATCTGAAGCCCAAAGACATAGAATGACTTGCCTACAATCACCTTAGGAGTATGTAACAGTCAGAAAGTGAATCCAGATTGTTGGACTCCAAACTCAGCAAGTTGTTTCACTCTAAATTTCAATGTTTGTTGAACTGAATTACAAATACAAATATAAAGGGTACAAATTTTAGAAATCTAAAACTGAATTTAAAAGTAAAACTTGTCAGACAATGAGATATACCTGCACAGCTGTTCCGTTTAGAGGTTGCTTACTTTAACACTGAACCCACAATATTAATTTTTATTCCTTTGGTTGGGTTTCTTTAAAGAACACTAGCAATTTAAGGTATTATGTTGATTCCGGGCAATTCTAGGCAGTAATGCATTAGACTTGTAGCTAAGCTATACTACAATTCAGTAGTCAAGAAAAAATGATGTTACACTGAAAATATAACCAAACTCCTGGAGATTCTAATATGATGTGAATTTTTCTATATGAGATTCTGATTGCTTCTGAGATTTATCCAATTAGCCACTATACTTTCTAAATTAGGATCTATGTCAAGAGAATTTTTTTCTGTCTTTATCCAGCTACAAGTCTCAAACGAAAATAAAACGTAAACTTTTGCTACCTTCACCAATAACATCAGTTATTCAAAATTTAGTCAAGTAGTCTAGTTGTAAAACTATAGAAACTATTAACAGTCATAAGTGTGCACGCACATACACACACACACACACACACACACTCTCTCTCTCTCTCTCTCTCACACACAAAACCACATAGCACTTAAAAGCAAATTGGGACAATTTAACTCATTCAGCAAGATTTCCTAAAGAAAGGTTAGAATTGTTCAGGACTCAGTTCCTACCAGCTAAAGCAGCATCCTCATCGCTTTCTGACCCGTACTGGAGTGCCATAGTTATTGCTGATAATCGACCCCCTTGGACTGCTCTTTTATTACTGCAAATAAAAATGAAAAGCAAAGACAGAAGAAAAAGTTAGGGTAATTTAGCTACTTTCTTCAAAAAGATATCACTCAAAAATATATACACGTATATGCATACATACATGCAAACATAAATACAACCAGATATGTAGAAATTCCTCTTGCCTAACTGCCACTTTGGTTATCTTTGTATTTTCTAACATGCACCATCTAAGAACTGTTGGGCAGCTAAGTGGCGCAGTAGATAAAGTGCCGGGCCTGAAGTCAGGATGACTCATCTTCCTGAATTCAAATCTGGCCTCAGACACTTACTAGCTTGTGACCCTGTGCAAGTCACTTAACCCTGTTTGCCTTATCTCCTCATCTGTAAAATGAGCTGGAGAAGGAAATGGCAAAACATTCCACTATCTTTGCCAAGAAAACCCTAAATGGGGTCATGAAGAGTTGGACACAACTGAAAAAGAACAAAATGTAAGAACTGCAATCAAACCTGAGAAGGCAGACAATTTTTTAGTGTGGCTTTATTATGATTAGGTACTGGTGATGGAAATCACTACAATACAGAATAGAAAGATCACCTAAACTTGCCACCTGACTCCCTTCTAGTACAGGCTAGCAACACTTCTAAGTTTCAGAACAAAAATAACCTGGTTTTAACTATGTAGTAATTCCTCACTGAGGAAAATGACATGACATTCTTCTGGTATCTTATTCACTCAAATATGCATGTTATTTTATAGTTTGTCTCCTTCAAATAAAGTATATTTTGGGAGATTATGTTCTGTCATTATATCTCTGCTGATTACTGGCTAGAATTAATATCTACCCTCAATGGCTTCTGCTTAGAATTTTTTTCCCCATTAATCATTAGGCTTTTACTTTTTTTCTAATTCAAAATACCAGATAAACATTTCTAAGAGGTGTTGTGGTGTAATGGATAAAGGACTGAACTCATAGGCAGGAAGGCTCGGGTTTAAGTCTTTTCACTGACACACAGTGACTCTGGGCAAGTCATTTAATAGCTCAGTGCTTGAGGCAACTCTCAACACTCTTAGACTATATGCAGAGAACAGCTGCGGATCTGCACTGAATCTCCTGGGAATTTCTCACACTAATGAAATAACAGGTCTAGACCAAAGATAGAAAAACTCTCCGAAACAGAACAAAATCATTAGTGCCTGAGAAAGTAACCAAAAAGACGCGTGCATTTATCAGTGTTGAATCAGTAACAGCAAACACTATACAGTCTTCCTCTTCGTTTAAGATACAGTTCAAGTATGAGTCTTAATGCATGAAAAGGTCTTTAAAGTCTTCATGAAAGATATTCCCTCTTCAGGCATGTAAAAAGAATGCTTTAAAAAGCTCAGAATTGGTTTGCAAGAAGCATTTCCTGATCTCCCCAAATGCTAGTACCTTCCCTCCCAAACTAACTTATATTGAATTGCTTTGTAACATTTTTATTTATTAACTTTATATTTACGCTGCATGTATTTCTATATATACTTGTTTTCCCCCATTAAAATGTAAGCTTATTGTGAGTGGGGATTGTTTCTTTCTTTTTTTTTTGTGCTTATATTCCCATAGGAACACAGTAGGTGCTTAATACTTGTTGACTCATTAAGAAAAGTTCAATTAGTGATGGATTAGGAAGCAAAGGGTTTGAAATAGATATCTTCTGTTCATCTTACTAAGCATGTAAACAATATGCTTTTTAAAAAGATTATACTTTGTCATTTTCACAAACAGCAATTTTTTTGACTGAAATGGGATATCACAGAAATATCCTTATCTGCAGGTTAAAGGACTACCAGAAATAAGAGAAAATTATGAAGTAATTTAATAATTCTTTTCCAGAGACACTCACAGTACACAGCAGTCAATAGATTTCAGCTATGTAATATCAATGAAGGACAGTTTGGTGGCACAGTGGAAAGAGTGCTAAGGCTGGAGCCAGGAAGACTCATCTTCTTGAGTTCAAATCTGGCCTCAAGACACTTACTAGCTGTGTGACCCTGGGCAAGTCCCTTAAACCTGTTTGCCTCAGTTTCCTCATTTGTAAAATGAGCTGGAGAAAGAAATGGCAAACCACTACTACATTATCTTTGCCAAGAAAACCCCAAATGGGGTCATAAAGAGTCAGATACAACTAAAACTACAGAACAACAACAATGTCAGTGAAGGAGAATAATTAAAAGTTTTAAGGCCTTTATCATAAAAATGCTAAACTAAAACTCCAAATTTGGAGTCTTCTAAATCATGATACCTCAATGTTTTCTGGGAAGCCAGTATTTTAAACCATGGAAGGATTAATAATATCTTTTTATATTTATATAGTACTATCTACTTTTAAAAAGTTTTTTCATTGATGCCTTTGCTTTTATACATCATTCTTTTTTGAATATATTTCTACCCCTCTCCTATTCAGTTAGCCACTCCTTGTAAATAAGATTAAAGAAATGAAAAACAAAAAACCGTACAGCAAACCAAACTAATATATTGACAATGTTTGACAATGAACGCAACATTCCATACACCTAGCTGCCAACCTCTACAATGAAACGGAGGGAGGTGTAATTTCTTGATGTTTCAACAAGGCCAAGGTTGGTCACAATTACACAGCATGCAATTTCTTTGTTGTTATTTCTATTTAGTGCTATATACTTTTAAAAGAACTTCCACATGTATTCTCAAAAAGTTCTAACAGCAGCAATGACTCTATTTCAAATTAGTATCAGGCAAAGCTATTGAGATTTTGCAACCAATGTGCAATGCTCAATTATTTCTCTTACCGATAATATTTGCTGGTAGGATTTCTCTCTTCACTAAGGCTGCCCTTACCCTGTGAAGAACCTGTCAGCTTGGCTGCAGCCAAATTGGATGGAGTCCTGTTCAGAAATGAGACAACTGAGAGGCCCAAGTCCCAACTGATACAATAAAGAAATCATGACACTCAGCAAACAAAAAGTCAGGAAACAGTGACAAGAAGTCATGGTGGGCAGGTAAGAAACCCAGAACTTAAGAGCTAGAAAGGCCCTTAGAGACAGTCTATTTCAACTTCCTCATTTTATAGATGAACAAACAGACTGAGCTGTCTAAGCTTACAAACTAGTGAACAGCCCAGTCAAGACTAATTCTTTCTACCTTTCCACAGTACCTACCTAGACTTGGTTTAACAGGAATGGGTTAATAATGTAGTTTGGCAATCTTTTTGCTAGCAGCTTTTTTTTCCCTAAGAGAATGTAAAGAGATGGTGATGGATATATAGAGCCATGGGAGGTGTCACTGGAAAGATACTGAGTGTCAGGGGTAGAACTCTCATTTAAATTATAATAATGTCTCTGCAGAAGAAGGGACTGTGGGTAATTTATATGGAACTCCATCCAAATCCCATGATTAATTTTATAAATATGAAATGAAATGTGAAGACTGTTTTAAAAAACAAAACTATATTAATCTTCCTGAAAGGTAAATATACCAGGTCATAAAAACCTAAGGCTCATCTATATCCCAGGTTCTGAGAAAAACTTTTGACCCACCTTATTCGAAGGCTTGATTTGGCCATTTCAACATGTTCAATTTCTGCCTTTTTCAAATGAAATATTTTTTTAATTGAATTTGCATCCTGTTAAAATAAAAATTATTTGGTTTAGTAAGTGGATAAAATTTTTAAAAGGTTAAACAAAGTCTTATTCCTTCTTCTACAGAACACACTACATGAAGAGCAGTCTTCTCAGTCATACTCAAACTAACGCTCTTTACTGCTTTTACAAGGCCACCTGATCTCCCCCCAAGTCTCCACAAAGCTGTCACTGATTCAATGGAGCTACATAGACCTTTCTGGATCTGTCACAGAAAGTATGGCACACTAAATAAAAAGAAAGTAAAGCACTGATGATAAATGGAAAGAAAAGGTAAGATAATATAATGACCAATACTTGTTTACCTTATACTAAAAATGGAAAGGTATGGGCCTTTTCAGTTTGGAGATGTCAGCAGAAAGGCCTCTTGGGTGAATACAGAGGCTCAGACCAACTGTAAGCTATTGGCTTCCATACCTAAAATCCAAACTAACAGCTCATTTTAGGAACAAAATATTTTCCCTTGTGTTTTAAATTAAACTATGAAAATTAAAGCCAACTTCTTCATTCAAGGCAATGGTCTAGAGCACCACCAAGTTGTATATCAGATAGCATTTATATAGCTTTAAGGCATACAAAGCACTTTACAAATATTATCTCAATTTATCCTCATTTTACAGATGAGGAAACAGAGGCAGACCAAGTAGCTTGGTTAGGGTCACACAGCTAGCATCCAAGGCTGGATTTGAACTCAGGTCTTCTTGATTGCAGGTCCACACTATTAAATATGGTCTCTGAATCAGATGTTTTTGTATTTCTTTGTCACAAGGGAAGGTTTGGTTTGGAGTGAGGTAGGTGGGAAATGGTTATGATATAAAGACAACTGCATCAATAAAACTCTTTTCTTAAAAGAAGAAAATTGAAGTCAAATAAGAGCATGAATTTTCTATTAGCTACAGTAGCAAATAAATAATTCTAAAAATAGGACTATAAAAATGCCTTAATAAAGATACCATAGGACCAAAGAAAAGAAGCTCATAAGTCTAACCTGATCCAACTTTGAAGATTTTTTTTATGTCTTTTTAAAATTAGTGTCATCTGCTTTCCAACAAGAACTGCAGGTGTTAGGATCAGCATCTTCAAGACTGGAGGCTATGTCAAAAATTTTCTAAGTCACCTTGCTATGCTTTGCTGACAGGTACTTTTGCCAATTCCAAATGAACTTTCATTAATTCGGAGTGAATCTATAAAAGGCTCAAAGAGCTTTAGGGGCCTGCCCACACTCATCTTACTATGATTGTAGCCAAGACATGTACCTACATCTCCCTTGACCCTAAATTCAATGCTTTTTTCCCCACCATACTTTGCTACTTTTATTAAACCTCAAACCAAGGAGATAATGACAACTCACATTAAAAATATGCTATATGAATTATTTAACACATTTACAACTTACTTAATAACACGAAAGTCAGAAAGGGGCAAAAATGGACCCCCTAATCCCAACCACCTATTAGAAACTAACCTTGAATACTTGAGACCCAGGTTCATTGTAGGTTTTGGCATTTTTAGCTAGGAGATCTATATCCTTTGCCATTGCATGGATACTTTTATAACTCCCATTCTATGAAAATAACATAACAAGCCAATAAATGTTAGAGAAAGTCATTAAGAATTTTAAAATCAATTATCTATATATTTTAAAACTTCAGTGCAGGCTCAAACATTTTAAGAAAAAACATTCAAATAACTAACAAATGCAATAATTTAATCTTTTTTAAAAACCTTACTATTATGGGCAATTAAGCAAGTTTTTAATCATTTAAAGCAAAACATGATTCAGTTTTTAGACAATATGAAGCAATAAGCAGATTGGCTGTTTTGTCAAAACAGGCAAGAAACAGGAAAAGGGGAGGATACTCATAAGCAAAGGCAGGAATAGACAGGACTTTTTCTGGAGACAAGAGGAGAATGGGGCTGTGTGTTGACAATAAGGTGGTAAGGCCAGACTATGGCTAAAAGAAAAGCCAGGCTTCTCACAGCCCCTCTACATCTTAGTTAATGGGTTTCATGAGTAGCTGGGCTAACAAAACGTATCACCTGGGTATCAAACTTCTCATAGGGAGCCATGCCAAACCTAGTTGGTTAGGTCTTGGACAAGAGATACCTATTATATCCCCATGTATATACTTGAGATTTTCCCAGCTCCTTACCAAGAGTTTGTGCTTCACTGACAAAGTCTCTGGGAACTTAGGGTCATCTCCATGCCATGACGAGGCACTTGAGAAGGGCTACTGTGGATCAGGCATGTAATTGTAATAATGACAATACTAAAAGCTTGCATCTGTACAGCACTTTGACATACAAAATGCTTTACATACTCATCTCATTTAATCCTCATAACCACTTTTTTTGTGGTGGGTAGTAATTTTTCTTTATCTCTAATTTACAGAGGAGGAAATTTAGGCTCAGAGTATTTCAATGATTAACTAAGGTCATGAGCAAGGCTGACACCTAAACCCAGGTCTTCTGACTCCAAATCCACTGTTCTTTTCATCACACCAGGGAGTAATTCTCAATTCTTGAATAACAGGAGTGACATGGTGGAAGGTGTGTTTTAGAAAGATCAGCCCAGCAGTATGTAGGATGGAGTATAAAGAATCTGGAGTTAGAGAGATATGCAATAATTCAGGTGTAAGGTCATGAGAGCCTGGATTAATATAGCAATAGAAATAGCAAATCTAAGAAAGTCTGGAAGGATAAAACATCAGTACTTGACGACAGAATAGATGCAGGACTCAAAGAGACACAGGTCTGGGAATAACCTTTGAGAAATCAAAGTTTATGCTTCAAGGTATAAGCCAATTTTAAAGGTCATGAAAAAATATCCTTCTCCTAGGAATACGTTAAAAATCTAGGATGATGAGGGATAAGGAGATTGCATTCTTCTCAAGATCAGACATTGGCTGTTAATGACATAGTAAGTAGGCCGGTATTTTAAAATACTGTGAAAATTTCTGTGCTCCCAAATAATTCATAACAAATTGGTTTTATTATTAAATATTAGCCAACTACATAGAAATAATATAAATGAGTTTTCTAAGTCAGAAATGACTGTGATATGTTTTATTTTTGGTCAAAGAGCAGCATTTATTCTGCCAATGATAAAGTCCTGTTTTCTGGAGAAGCAGAAAGTAGATACTACCTCCTCAAAAGCTGTAATCAGTTAACATTGCTCTTATCTGTTTAATTACATAAGCCATATACTACAGAAACATTTGCTTCTAAATATATATATACATACACACACATATATATATGTGTGTGCGTGTGTGTTTAGGCAATTGGGGTTAAGTGACTTGCCCAGGGTCACACAGCTAGTAAGTGTCAAGTGTTTGGTCTGAGGCCAGATTTGAACTCAGGTCCTCCTGACTTCAGGGCTGGTGCTCTATCCACTGCACCACCTAGCTGCCCCCCTAAATATATTTTTAAGAAGTGATTTTGTACTCTAAGCCCTTCCCTCAACTTCCCCACAAGTCCCCAGGCAGATCTACTCAGACTTATGCTACATACAGTACATAGACCTCTTCATACCTGTATCTTCTGAGCAATAGTCTTAAGATCAATGGGCTCCTTAATTATTGCATAATAGTCTGGATATTGCTGGAAAACAAAACACACATACTGCATTAAGCTTCAAGCAGCCAGTTAAAGAAAGCATCATTCCATAAAGTCAAACGAGCATTGGTTCCCACAAGATGCCGAAGAGCGAAGGCCCAGATGGCACACCCGCGTTCTGTGTGAAGCTGCAAAGCAGTTCTGGACCCCTGTGGCCTGTGGGTTGTCAGTGGCACTAGGCAGGCCAAAGGATTTTGGGCAGCCCGTGAAAAAGGTAGAGGATGTTTTCCTCTGCTGCTGCAAGCTGCCTGCAGGTCATAGGTTGTGCAGGCCTGCTAAAAAGCATTTGGATTTTAACATACTATATAAAATATCCATCACATAACATTGCACAAGTGTGCTATTTGCGATCCTCACGAGAGTGGTATAACTTGAATACTTTTTATCCCAAAGAATCACAGAACTTAAAATATAAGAACACAAATTATCCATGCTCGGAGACAAATGGGGGAAATTCTAGAAAGGCTGTTTACACATTCTTTTACTGCTGTACTGTGAGTAAAATGGATTTTTTAAAAATTTGAATCTTTAAGATTTTAGAAAAGGTAAGAAAGGCCTTCTGTTAATTTTATCTTGAATTAAGTGTTTTTGATGAAAAGAGGGTAATGATATGTAAGTTGAACCCAGTTACAGCTTATGTGATCATTACTACTTTAACAATAACAGAAGAGGAGGTCTATTTAAAACATACAAAAGGGTCAACTTTAAGAGTCAGGAAAATCTGAGTTCAAATCCTGCCTCTGACACATACTAGCTGTGTGACTGTGGGTAAGTCAAGAATTTCTCAGCACCCAAGACAACTCTAAGACTAAGGTTCAGCTAAGTTGCAGAACCGCATCAGTGGAGGGAGTTTCCAAGTCAGGAATTCCTGACACTGACTGATGAAATCACAGATTTGGACCAAAAAGCAAAAAGGGAAGCTGGAGCATAAAACAGAGTTCCAATCCATGAGCCCTAGGGACAAGACACAGAGACGATCTCTCTCTGCCTCGGAGCTCCTGCAGTACTTGTCTCGAGGCTCTTCAGCCTTCCAGAGGAGGATGGAGATGGCGTGGAAAGGCACTGAGCCGGCTGGCTGACATACTTATGCTCCAGGCCCACAGGTGACGCTAACCAGAGAGAGACAGCGTATCTCACCAGCGTGAGCCTGTCTCCTCATTTTAAAATGAAAAGACTGCACTAACTGACTATTAACGGTCCTTCTGAGGTTCTGTGACTGTCTTCTCTTGCAGGTCTTTGTGTCCATCTTATCTTCTCTGCTAGAAGCAGAGCCCTGGGAGCAGACACTGTCTTCTGGGAACTCCTGGGAGCTGTTCTCACAGCATTGTGCTCAACAAATACTGACAAATGCTGACTATCAGTAGAGCTAACTGATTCCCAGAACAGAGAGGTTTTTGGTTTATTTTAAAGCACTACCTTCTATGGGTCAAACACCCTAAAAAAGACAATAAAAATAAAGCCATAGAAATGAAAGTCTATTTCTGTCCTTTTTACTGGTTTATTTTGTTTCTAATCCCTTAATATGGATGTTCTCCTAGGGTCCCCTTTGGCCCTCTTTCACTCTCCACACTCTCCCTTGGTGAGCTTATTCTCATGGCTTTAGCTACCACATCTGTCCAGATGAATTCCAATCTCCATCTGCCATAAACATCTCAAACTCAACATGTCAAAAGCAGGCCTCTTTAACTTTCCATCTAAACCTGCTTCTAATTTCACTTTCCTTTGGAGTTCAAAGTCCTTCATGATCTAACCCAATCCTGCCTTTTCGGGACTCTTCCTCCCCCACCAGGGACAATGGACTCTCAGCTCGTATTCAAACAACCCCCCCCCCCCCAACTCCCACATCTAGGTGTTTTTACCAGCTGTCCGCAATGCTCTCCCAGTTTATTTCCATCTCCTGGCTTCCCTTCATTTCTTTAAGTCCCAGCTAAAATACTACTTACCACAAGAGCCTTTCCTGATCCCCCAGTGTCCCCTCACTTCCCCCATTTATTATCTCCAGTTTATCCTGTATATATCTTGTTTGTAAACAGTCATTTGCATGTTGTCTCCCTCATTAGACTGTGGGCTCCTTGACAGCAGAGACTTGGCTGTTTTTTTGCCTTTCTGTCTGTAGAACTTAACACATAGTAAGCATTTAAGAAACAATTTTTGACTCTTTCTGTGGTACCTCCATTCATCAGGTTCCCAGTTCTGCTATCTTAGGCTCATCTCCTCTCTTAATATCTAATTGGTGACCAGGTCCTGCCAATTCCAGCTCTTGAATTCATTCCTTCCTCTCTATTTCCATTGATACCATCCTAGTACAGAGGCCCTCACTACTACCTGCCCGGACTATAACAATAGCTTCCTGAAAGATTTTTCCATCTCTACTCTCTCCACTTTTCAATTCATTAGACCACTGAATAATCTTTCTTATGTACAAATTTGGTCACGCCATTCTTCTACTCAAAAATTCCCCACAACTGCCGCCTAATTTTTATTAAGTAAAGTTCAAACCTCTGCCTGACATCTAAAGTCCCACAACTTCACCTCCTACCCCCACTTTTCCAGTCTGATATTATACTTCCCCAGAGGAGTCTATGTTCCAAGGAAACTGGATACCCCCCCATATACCCTGTGCTTGTCCTTCTTGGCCTTCTCTTAGGCTATCCCCTGTTCTTGCAATGCCCTTCACCCACTGGAGTTCTCTCCATCCTTTAATGTTTCCCTAGTGTGAATAATAAACTGAAGTTACCCCAAAATCCCCAAAGTCACAGTTAACAGAGTTTAGGAATGAAAAAAAAAACATAAAGAAAGGAGGTTTAGCAGTACCAGATCTTAAACTATATTATAAGGCAGCAATCATCAAAACTGTCTGGCTAAAAAATAAAAAGGTGGATCAGTGGAACAGAATAGACACACAAAACACAATAGCAAATGAATAAAGTTACCTTGTGTTTGACAAATGTAAAGTTTTAAACTTTTGGGATAAGAATTCATTATTTGGTAAAAATGACTAGGAAACCTGGAAAGCTGTATGGGTTCAGACCAGTATCTTACACCATCTACCAAGATGGTCAAAATGGATACATGACAGTGATATAAAGGGAGATATCACAAGAAAATGAGAAGAACATGGATTATATTACCTATCAGACTTATGGATAGGAAAACAATTTATGAATAAATGAGATAGCATTGTGAGGTGTAAAATGGATAATTTCAAATACATTAAATTAAAAAGATTTTGTACAAATAAAACTAATGTAGCCAAGATCAGAAGGAAAGCAGAAAACTGTGAAAAAAATTTTTATAGACAGTTTCTCAGATAAAGGCCTCACATCTCAAATATATAAAGAACTTTGTCAAATTTATAAGAATGCCAGTCATTCGCCAATTGGTAAATGGCCAAAGGATATGAACAACCAGTGTTTCAATAAAGAAATCAAAACTACAGTCACATGAAAAAATGCTCTAAATAATTATTTATTAGAGAACTGCAAATTAAGACAACTTTGAGATATTATTTTATACCTATCACATTGGCTAAAATGATAGAAGGGGAAAGCAAAACATGTTGAAGGGGCTATGGAAAAACTGGGACACATTCACTGTTGGGTGGAACTGTGATCTGATTGAACCATTTTTGGAGAGCAATCTGGAATTATGCCCAAAGAGCTATAAAACTATGTATACCCTCTGACCCAGCAATACCATTATTAGGTCTCTTTCCCAAGATGATCAGAGAAAAGGGAAAAGAATTTTTATGTTCTGAAATGTTTATAGCAGCTTTCTTTGTGGTGTCAAAGAACTAGATATTGAGAGGAATGGCTGTCAATTGGGAAATGACTGAACAAGTTGTGATGGAATACCACTGTGCTTTAAGAAATGATAAACTGGTGGATTTGATAAAGTGTTAAGTGAGCAGAAACAAGAGAACATTGTACACAATAACAGCAATATTGTTCTAAGAACAACTCTGAACAACTAAGTAATTCTAAGTAATTCTGAGTATTACAAATACTCAAATCAACTACAAAGGACCTCTGAAGGAAGGGACTACCCACCTCCAGAGAAAGAAGTGATGAACATAAGTATGTACAGTATGGTTTTTACACACACACACACACACACACACACACACCCCCTATAATACATATAATGGGAGGCTTCTTTAGGGAGAGAGAAAAAAAATGCACAGTAAAGAACAAAAGAAATTTTCAAAGGAAGCCAAAAAGGAAGGGTAGCTTTGAAAATGATGTGTAGTACTCATTACATACTTTTAAAAAAAAAGTAAACAGTGTGAAATGGTAATTCATGGTTTTATGCTGAATCCTCTTTTTATGTTGTGCTGTGTACGTGGAAATTTTTTTGGGGGGGAGGGGTCTTTATGTATTGAAGTTCAAAATGAATAGGGAAAAAACAGAGCTTAAGATTGCTTTTCAATCACACGGAAGAGAAACAAAAATAAACATCTTACTGAGTGCCTCCTACATTATAATCCCATGGAAGAGGAGACCCCAACACCAGCCTTCTCTAAATCCAAGCTCTGGTCTGATCATGATCCCTGTACATGCTTTGCTTTTATCCTCTCTTCCAAGTTCCTTAGCCCGGGCTCTAGCCTACTTCCAAAGGCTTCGAACTTCCCATTTCCTAGGTCTTCTTAGACCTCTGAGCAAGCAGCCTCGGCCTCTCTATACTACCAACCAAGGTAAAGGAACAAACAAGAGGGAAAAAAAGGGGCAAAATGTTTTGGACTAGATAATCTTTAAGGCTTTTCAGGCTCTAAATCCTATAACCCAGTGTCTCCTCCAACCCCGATCCTTTCTTCAGGTCTAGACAATGAGGAATTGCTTTCTCTGTCCTTGTCATCTTTTAGTTTTCTCTACTGCTTCCTTCTACTTTCATTAAAAATACAGTAACAACAAAAGGAAAACAATAACCAAAAATTCTCTATATGCTTCAATCCTCTTGCTTCCTTTCTAGTACTGGAAAATAGGCACAGCCCCCTTTTCTTTATTGTTCCTTCTATAAGAATGCTGATGTCATATATTTTGACAACTCTCAGATGTACTGGGTAAGGCCTCTTTAGGTGAGCTCACTTTAAGTCATGCTCTAGACACTTTGAAAGTGTTGGACTTGTTCAGAAAGCACCTCCTTACTCAGAAAGATCTTTTCTGATGCTGCTTCTTTCTACTCCTCTTTACCCGGTGATGGGAAAAAATGAATGTGATGAATTCACTTCTCCCTCACCCTGTCCTCAAGGTCTGAAGGGCCTTCTTCTTTCTTACTTCAAAAACAGCTAGGATTCTTACATTTTTGTATCAGCAAACATAAAAAGTCAAACGTCTTTAGTCGCAACTCACCACTTTTGAAGGAAGTTTCTGAAAAAGCTCACTTATGAGACGTCCTGATGGGTTTGTAGCTATGGCTATGGCTTCAAGAAGCTGCTCAAGGATCTCTTTCAGGTAACTTGGAGAAGACTGGCAAAGGCAATAAAAATGAAAGTGACTTTGTGAGTGCTGAGAAATCTAAAACAAATTTGGAGCAATCAGTAGTTACTAAAAATATAAGTCTAATTCATGGAGGATTTTACAATAGAGAATATAAAAATTTCTACGCACGTTTAAAGAATACATTGCAAAACTGTTATACTCACATTTTATCAGGTAGAACCCTATAAATGAAACTATCTTGTAACCAAAATCTTTTATTGCTTTAGTAAATAAGTCCTCTGCCTTGTATTTAAAATAGATCCACCTTATATTAAATTCTGTTCCCAGTAAACTAAATTATGCCAAGATAGTAATGTCAGAAAAAAGGAAATGCATATTCTCAAAGGATGAAACCTAGAAGAAATAAGTCTTTATGACAATCTGTTCCTTTTCCATCTATTGTTTATGATCCAAAGATAGCTGGAGTCATGAATGCTACGAAGAATTAACTCCCAAATTTACTCTCAAAGCTGGCATTAGGGGCAGCTAGGTGGCTCAGTGGATAGAGCACCAGCAGTGAAGTCAGGAGGACTTGAGTTCAAATCCGGCCTCAGACCAAACACCTGACACTTACTAGCTGTGTGACCCTAGGCAAGTCATTTAACCCCAACTGCCTTAAGAAAAAAAAAATAGTAAAGAAAGCTAGCATTAGGACTTCCTACTTTTCTTCTTATGTCTTGGCATTTTGATCATTACCTGCATTTACCACAAGTCAGTGTATATGTGAAGGTTAACTACCAGTTTGTCAGTAAATAAACATTTATTAAGCACCTACTACATTCCAGGCACTGTGCTACGCACTGGGGATACAAAAAAAAGCAAAACACAATCCCTGCCTGAAGGAACTCACAACCTAATGGGGGAGACAACAAGCAAACAAATATGTACAAACAAGTTCTTTGTTTCTCTCTAAATAGATCTACCTATATCTCTCTCTCTCTCACACACACACACACACACACACACACACACACACCATAAACAGGAAATAAGAGAAGAAAAGCACTAGAATTAAGATAGGTTGGGAAAACCTTCCTGTAGAAGGTAATAATAATAATAATAATAGCTAACATTTATAGAGTAATTACCACGTGCCAGGCACTGTGCTAAGCATTTTATAACTATTATTTAATCTGATCCTCATAATGACCCTGGGAGGTAAGTGCTATTATTATTCCCATTTTATAGATGAAAAAGCAGAGGAAAACAGAGGTGAAATGACTTGCCCAGGGTCACACAGCTACTAAGCGTCTGAGGCTAGATCTGAGTTTAGTTCTTCCTGACCCCCGGCCTGGTGCTCTGTGCACTATGGCGCTTCTTAGCTGCTGCCCCCAATGTTAGGGTGATTTTAGTTTTGGTGAACTACCAAACACCAGTTAATGCAGCAGATGAAAGGATACTAGCAAATTTATATAGTATATTTCTGTGTACCTTCTACTCCCAAAGCTCCTTGGCTACATAAGAGCTTCTAACTTGATTCAGCCTCTCGACACAGGAAAGCATATGCCTTAACACAATCTAACTTGCTCAACTGCAAAATTTAAGTCCTCTTAGATTTACCTCAACTTTTTCTCCCCCTACCCCATTTAAATAAAAAACAAAACAAAACTGCTTACTATGTACCACATTAACCTGAATGTGTAGGTCATTTCTTTCCATCCCCTCAATCTGGCTTGTATAAAGCCTGAGTAGAGCCTATAATTGGTATAGTTAGTGTATCTATAACCCCCTACTGTGTAGTATGATATTATTTTCTGTGAATTTTCCCCATTCCAGGAGATCTAATTTAGGTAGGTGTGGCTTGTATTTGGGGGCAGGCCCTAGCCTTAAGGAATCTGCTAAATTTTACTTGAGGATGAGAGATGTGCAGAGAAAAGACAGGGGAATTTCAGGAGCACAAATAACTGGGAGGATTGATAAAGGCCTGGGCTAATCCTTGAAGAAGTTAAGGATTCTAAAAAACAGAGGTAAAAGGAGGGTGCATCTCAGGCATGGGCATGGAGATGAGAGATGCCAAGTTGTATTCAGGAAAAGTTTAAGTAGCCAGTTTGGCTGGAATGCAGATCGTGTGAAGAAGGGGAGCGTAACATGTCTAAGACTGGCAACGTAAGTGGAAGCCACAGTGGAGCAGGGTTTAAATGCTTGGCTGAGGAGTTTATATCTTATCCTAGAGGCAATGGCAAGTCACTCCAAATTTCTGAGCAGGTTATTTGAAGCTAGTAATTACCTTCTCCTGAAAATTTTCTCCTCTCTGGGTTTTTGTAATATTGAACCTTCCTACTTGTCTGACTGCTTCTTTTCACTCTTCTTTGCTGGATCTTCATCCATATCAGAACCAACAAATGGTAGGTGTCCCCTTGGACTGAATCCTTGGCTCACTTTCTCTCTCTCTATACTATCTCGCTTGGTCAGGATGTGTGAGATGTTCAAGAGGACTAGCACCTCTGGTGTGATGGCTTGCCAAGCCCTTTTTAGTGCTGCTCATCCACCTTTGGTTTCCACCTGATTCACTCAACTCTCACTCGTTGCTCCAAGAAGCTATAGCACTCTCAGAGGCCATACCCATGTAAACTGTCTTGGCAGATAGGCAAAACCAGGCTGAGGATAATCGACAAGCCTCAAACCTGTGAGTGAGTCAGGGGGATGTCTACCCCAAGTTATGTGAAGACTTTCCCCAATGAAATGGGCGGATAAGGGGGCAGCGAGGTGGCCCAGTGAATAGAGCTCTGGCCTTGGAGTCAGGAGGAGCTGAATTCAAATCCAGCCTCAGACACTTAACACTTACTGGCTGTGTGACCCTGGGCAAGTCACTTAACCCCAACTGCCTCACCAAAAAAAAAAAAAAAGAAATGGACAGATAAGAACAATTTGTTCCAACAGCCACAAAGGCAGTTGCTACAGCAGGTGCTGCAGAGCACCTGACATCTAAGATGCCACGGTCATCCACTGCATCCTGGACAAAAGCCAGTTGTCTGGACTTTTTTGTCCCTCCACTAGATTTCAATGACTCAGGGACAGTGAGGCTGACTTGTATACCTCTCCCTTGGCTGAGTTTAATCAAATTCATGCACAAGTCAAGACATTAACCTGAGAGGACTTCAAAAACAAAGGACAAACAACTACCTCACTTGGTAATCTCATCAGCAGCCAAAGATTCAATTGTTATCTCTATGTAGACAATTGTCAGATCTACATATCTAGCCTTAGACTTTCTCCAGCTCCACTCCCACCTCATCAACAATCTACTGGAATTTTAAACTTGATGACCCATGGGCACCTCAAACTCAACAGGTCTAAAAGGGAACTCGTTATCTTTCCTCCCAAAAACTGACCCCACTTCCAAATTTCCTCATCATTGATGAAGGCTCATCACCTTTAGAGCCACCCATGTTTGCAGCTTCAATGGCATCAAGGACTACTTGATCACTGTCACTTTACACATGAAATCAATGGTCAAATCTTATTGTTTCTACCTTCTCTCACATATGTCACCTTCTCTCCATTCACTCAGCTACCACCTCTTCCTTGGACTGCTGTATTAGCCTCCTATTTGTTCTCCCTAACTCAAGCCTCTCCCCAGTACAACATCCATCCTCCACACATCTGACAAGTGATTTCCTGAAGGGTAGGCATGACTACGTGAGCCCCTCACTCACACTCCAGTGGCTCTGTTACCTCTAGAGTTGAATATAAACTCCTCAGGTCATTTAATCTGGGCCCTTGCCTGCTTTCCTGTCTCCTACATCACTATCCTCTATATCATCTATAGACCAAACACACAGGTCTACATGCGGCTCCTTATATATCTCTGGCTGCTGCCCCAGGCCTAGCATGCTCTCCTCTCATTTCTTCTCTGCCACCCCGCAGAATCTCTGGCTTCCTGTGAGTCTCAGCTAAATGCTATCTTCTGGAGAAGGATCTCCTAAAGACTAGAGCTTTTCTCTCTAAGACTGCTTGCTAATCTTCTATTCTGAATGGATCTTGCATATGCTTACTTACTTACAGGTTGTGTTCCACTTAGTATGCAAGTTTCTCTCTATTCTGACTAGATCCAGCATTCAGGTCAGTGAATTGTTAGATGGGTTGGTCTGGGTGCTCAGAGATGGTCTGCATAATCTTAGCAGTTCTCTGGCTTAGAAGGGACTGCTACTAACACTTTTTCAACTTGTTTATTTTAAATCTAAGATACCAAAAAAGGAGGTATCTCTCTCTCTCTCTCTCTCTACACCTTAGTACATGAAAAAGGGGATAATATATGAAACTGTGAATTTCTATTTCATACTGCTATATATGGATACATATATGTTCATACACATTCACATATACATATAACATCATCAAAACTGTTCGCCTGCCTGTGCTTTTTTCTAAACTTTCTTCTGTTTTTTTCCTTACGAATTTTAAAAAAAGGTTTAAATGGCCTTTTTTCTTTTTCATCAGTATTGCCATGCCTCTCCCTCCCTCCAACTAAAAAAACTGAAAGAAAACAAACCCTCGAAACCAACAAGCACAGTCACTCAGAATGAACCTGCTCAGTAGCCACACTCAAAATCGAGTACCTACCGCACTGAGTCTAGGTAACATGTTGTGAGCTAGGTTCTCTGGCAATACAGATAGTCACTGCATTGATTAGTATTCTTAAATCTTTCAAAGTCATTTTCCTTTACATTGCTGTTGTCCTTGTATAAATTGTTCAGCTTCTGCTGACTTCATTCCTTATCAGCTCACACTCACCAAAATTCTCTGACATTGCCTTTTGCCATTTCTTATGGTACAGTAATATTCCATTTCATTCATATACCAGTTTGTTCAGTTGGTTCTGGTTCTCTTTTTCCTTTTAGTCTCCCCTTTCGGATGAGTTTTTTGCTTGCAGCTATTCTCTCCCTGGTATCATCCTCCCTCTTATTCCTACTTGTTTCCTATTGAGTTTTTGTCTGCACTAAATTCTTTGAGAGAGAAAGAAAAATAGAGAGAGTGTGTGTCTATGTGTGTGTTCATCTCTCCTTTCAGATGAAGGTAAAGCTCAACTAATGCCTGCTCCCCTCCCCCTCTTCTCCACATTTACATACTTGTCTTTTCACGCAAAAGAATTATGAGAAATAGGAAGCTCCCATATCTTCTTCCTTTCATACTTCTTTTTCTCCCCTTAAATTTAGAAAAAAGCCCCCCACCCCCACATCTTGTTTTTCTTATTTAACCTCCTTCAATAATCTTTGAAGACAGTAATGGTTGTGAAGGGAAACTTCTTTATTTTCCCCTTATTAGAATGTTAGCACAGCATCATCTTATAGCCCCTTCTAATTGCTCAAATAAAATTACCTACCTAGGGTTCTCTAGACTTGTATTTGCATTTCAAAGTTCCTACTCAGCTCTGGTCTTTTTATCATAAATGCTATAAAGACCTCTGTTCCATTAGAAGTTCATTGTTTTGCCTGTAGGATTATATTTAGCTTTTGTTATTTTTGGTCATAAGCCTTTATCTTTTGCCTTTTGGAATACTGTAGTCAAAGATCTTATCTCATTTTTTGGCAGAATCTGCCATGTGCTGTGTGATTCTGAAGTTCCTCGGTACCTGAACTACGTTTTTCTGTATGAACTATAGCATCTTTTCTTCGATGTTAAGAGTTCTGATTTTGGCTATGACATTCTTGGGACTTCTCCTTTTGGTGTTTCTTTCAGAAGATGATCAATTCTTTCTACCTTCACTTTACCGTCAGGTTCTAATAGATCTAAGTAGTATTCATTTATGATTTCTTAAAATACAAGTGTCTAATCTTAAAAAAAAAATCCTGGCATTCATGGAATCTGATAATCCTTAAATTCTCTCTCCTTGTTTTGTTTTTTAGGGCCAATGTTTCTGAGATCAGATTTCTTACATTTTTTTCACTTTTTTTTTGATCTTTTGATTTTAATATTTTTTGCTGTAACATGAGATTACTGAAATCTGTATGGTCTCATTTAGTTTTCAGTATGTCTATTACTCCAGTTACGTTTACTACTTTCTCTTCTAAGCTGTTTATTCTTTGTCTAATTCCTTTCTCCAGAGTTTTCATTTTTTATCTTTAGCTTCAAGGTAATCATGTAGAAAATCCATTTGTTCTTTTAGTTTCTGCATACAGTTCTTAGGAGACTTATTCTCTTCTTCTTTGGGAAGATCTCTAAATTTATATTAATTTTTGATACTGGTTGGTATCTTCTTTGAGTTATTCATCTCTCCAGCCCTAGTTCTAAATTGAAGCTTTGTGCTTCAGACTCTGACTCCTATTGCCCTTCCAGGGGGTGGGGTGGTTGGCCCTATTTAGTCGTACCCTAGGTCACCTGGGTTCCTATTCCCAGAGCGAGGCTCCTCAGGATCTTTGAAGTTTACATATAGCTTTTAATCTTGAAGTCTTTTCTATCTCAGAACAGGGCGATGGGACTGTGGAACCCTGGGGTATCCTGATCTGAGTCATGAGCTCCCACTAGTCACTGCTGCTCCAAGCGCCCTACTCTGGGTTGACAACTATTCTCGGGTTTTCTCTGGGAGGTTCTCTGCTCCTGATGCCTCCAGACACCGAATCCAGTAGACTACAGGTGTCTCCGGCCCTCTTCTGATTATACTGAGAGGCTACTGGCTTGCTTGCCTGTGGTCCCCTTTCCTATTGCCTGTAAGCTAATGACTGACTTTCTGTATGGTTCTCATGCGGAAGAAGTTTCTAACTGTGGTTTCATGATCATCATCATCCAATCTAGTGGAAGCTTCATGTTTTGCTGAGTTAGGTGTGAGGGGGCTGGGCAGTCTGCCTCAGTTTAGGCAGCCACCCCAAGCCCACGGGAAAACACTTTCTAAAGGCCTCTTAAAGGGTTATTGTATTGAATGAGCTTATAAATCTTATGTTCAAATAAAAAAGATTTGCCTAACTAGAGAGCAGTGAGGATCAACAACCAAAAGTGAGCAAACAAACAGTTTTGTGGGGTGCAAATGTTCCTGAAAGGACCAATGACAAAGACTGTGTGCAGGGCAGAGCTGAGTCACTCTAAGCACAGACGTTTTCCTTCCTCACGTGCCTCCTTAAAATGGACTGGTGTAAAAGGGTGATCCTGGTGTGGATCATGAGATATTTTATTATTTATGCATTTGCTTTAATACATATCTATTTGTCTTAAGTAAACAGTTATTTTTTTTCCAAATGTAAGGTCCTGGAAGATACGGCCTATTTTTGCTTTTCCTTCACGTCCCAGTGTGCTACCCAGGTCATGGCACACATTAACAGATGCTCTGGCCAACATTAAGACCTGTGCCTTGGGAATGTCACTTTAGCAGCTGCATGTAACAGGAAGAGGCCACAAGTAGAGGATGAATGAGAAGTGCATCCCACGAGCCCAGGCTTAAGATAATCACATCTGAACAAGGGCGGTGGCTGTGAAAGTAGAGGGAAGGGGATGGAGATGGAGAGCAGAGATAATATGGAGGCAGAACTGAGAAGCCTCAGCAACTAGTTAGCTATGAGGCTGGGGAGTGAGGAAGAGGAAAGAACAAGGGTGAAATATAACCTGAGTAACTGGAAATGTGGCAACTCCCTCATCAGAGAAAGTATGGAAGCAGGGAGGATAACGAATTCTATTTAGGACAGGCTGAGTTTGAGATAAAGGGACATAGGTTGAGATGTACAACAGGCAGCTTGCAATGGATTAGGACAAGACATATAGATTTTGAAGTAATTTACACAGGTAACTGAAACTATGGGCTACGATTAGATCAAGAGAAAGTATGCAGTGAGAAGAGGGCCTAGAAAAGTCCTTGTTGGGAACCAAAAAGCGGAAGAGCCAAGAGAGCAATTTGACAGAAGCCAAGGGAGGTTTTAATTCTGCTGGCGTAGTTTTATCTGTAGCACACTCATCTCAGGAAAGAACGTCCCCTTTGGAAGAAGGGGAAATACTCTATTTGGCTTCTCTGATGACTCTGCGGCAGAAGAAGGTTTCAAGTCATCCCTTCCAGTGACCAAGTACAGAACCAAAGAATCTAAGAGGTGGAGGGACCTTAGCAGTCATCCAGTCCAAACCATAGCCCATAAAAACGCCCAACATACCTGAAAATTGGCCCTCCGATCAGAGGGAGTGTGTCCCCCCAACCCCCACTGCCCCGGCTGTGCATTCCACTTACTCTAGTGCTTAGGAAGCTTTTCCTAAAATCAGGTCTCAATCGGCTTCTTTGCAATTGCTGCCCATGGAGCGTGGCTCTGCCCTCTGGGGCAGGACAGAACAAAGCTGATCCCTCTTCTGCATGACAGTCCTTCAAATACTTGAGGACAGCTGTCATATATCCGAGTCTTCTTTTCTCCAAGGTGATCACCTCATCTTCAACCACTCTGGTTTTTCTCCTCGGGATGCCACCTAGCTTGTCAATGTCCTTCTTAAATCGTGGCCCACAGAACTGAGCCCAGTATTCCAGATGTGGTCTGACCAGGGCACACACTGGGAAGCTATGCTCTACTTCTTTCTGGAAGCTCTGTCTCTCTCTTGGCTGCCATATCACCCTGCTGACTCCCACTGGATTTGCAGTCCACTAAAACCCCTACATCTTTTTCAGACAAACTGCTAACCATCCTGACTTGGGAAGCTGATTTATTTAACCCGATTGTAAGACTTTATATTCATCTCTACTGAATTTCATTTTGTTAGATTCAGCCTTCCCAAGATCTTCAGGGTCCTGACTCAGTCATTCAAGGTGTAATCCCTTCTAGTAGAGCAGACCTGCACAACATACAACCCCCCAAAAATGTAGAGGATATAAAAGACAGTAAAGATGTATGGAGTGCTTTGTCTGTGACCCGCTTCACCTGCCTTCCACTAGTTAGGTTTGTATAGATTGTCCCCATCATGTAACTTGGCAGATGGGTCGGCACTGTGCACTCTCTCCTGTTTGACACGTGTCCAATGGTGACCAACCATTGTCAGTCTGTCTCTAAAAAACTATCTGCAGTCCAAAGAAATTTAGCCTATTTTAATTTTGGCTCCTACCTACTGCAAAGTTGTGTAGGTCTGTAGTACCGTGTCAGTTGCACAGGAAAGAGGCAAGACGTGACTCTTTCCAAGTCAATAAAATGTTCAATAGAACACCCCACTTTATTTTCTCCACAAGAATAGTATGAGATACTTCATCAAACACTTTGCTAAAGTCTAGGTAAACTATAACTAGAGCATTTCCTTCATCCATGTGTTTGGTAACCCTATCCAAAAAAAAGGGCAGTAAGAATCAAGAGTATTGAACAAATGTATCTAGTAAAGAAGACCTCACAGTCATGAACAGATAGTCTGGCTGAGCAACCGATGAAGACTTCCTGCCTCTCTGTCGTGTCAGTCTCAGCTGAGTAGTACATGATTTGTCTTTGCTCAGATTTTGCAGTTGTTCTATAGCTTATTCACATATGAAAAAAAATTTTGGAAAGTTGGATTAAGGCAATCAATTCCCACCTCTGGACATGCCTTCTGATATAGGGCTAGAAGCATCTCCTTTGGAGAGCATTATTGGGGTGGGGCACCTGTGACCTCAAGGCCACATGTGACCCTCTGGGTCCTCAAGTGTGGCCCTTTGATTGAGCCCAACTTTTATAGAACAAATCTTTTTATTAAGGGGATGTTTTGTGTGAAGTTTGGATTCAGTCAAAGGGCCGGACTTGAGGACCCAGATGGCCACATGTGGCATTGAGGCCGAAGGTGCCCCACCCCTGTTAGATATTACTTTCACATGGGATGGAGAGAGTAAAAATGTCTCTGGCTATGTAGCCTCTTCTACTCACCAGCAAACTTGCTGAAATTTCAAAGGAGACACTAGTTGCTCATGGTATCACAACAGGAAACATCCTCCTCAGAACCACTTGTCTTCTAAGAATCCCATCCATTAATGGTTCAAGCTATTTACTTACCACTTCAGACATTGTCCCTTGATTGTCATGCCCATCTTCCTCCTCCTCATCCTCATCTGCATCTCCTTTCTGAACAAATTCATTCCTTGTGCGGAGGTACAAATCCCAGAGTTTACAGGCAGCTTTAAATTCCGGAGAATCTGGCTGTGCACAAGCAAGGCAACAACACACACACAAATGACCTCGACAGTTACATTAAATACCTCCTGTGTGCCCTACACAGACTACCATTTTGACATCCTATTTCTAAAAGGTTAAATAGAGTCTCTGAAGTTAAATCCCTTGATCAAGAAGTGGGCAATCCCTTTTTTATTGTTGTTAAAAATATATTTTTATTCTGGGCCTAAACATTAAAAAAAAAATACATTTCCATAAATATAGAACAGAAAAGGATTATACATGAAACTCTGGATTTCTATCATGTACAGCTTGCTTTTCTCTTAAAATACATAAGTTCAAACTGTAGCTTTCAAAGCTGTCCTGCTTGTCTGTGTTTCTTTCTGATCTTTCTTCTGTTCTCTTCTGGGCACTTTTTAAAAAGATACCTTAATGACCCTTTTAAAATTTTTGTTAGCCCATCCTTGTCTTCTCCCTCTCACATCCCTCTATTGGGGAGAAAAAAAAAAAGAAAAATAAAGTCCTTGTAACAGAAAAGCAAAACAAATTCACTTGGCAATTCTTATTTGTTTAGTATAAGAGTATTTATGTGCCAATTTAAATGATAAAAGCTCTTTCCCACTTAAGTTACTCTGGTGTCTGTATTTCCAATTTAAAGCAAGTTCTGGACATCAAAGTATTAGCCTAGACTTAACACACATCAAGTTCAAAAGCATTATTTAAAAATCTCACTTAAGTAGCACTCTGTGCAACATTTATTTAGCAATAAGGATGAAATAATTATGTGAAGATTTCTTTATGTGGACAACAATAAAGCTATAGTTACTTGACAACAAAAATATTTAAAAAATCTTTAGAAGATCCTTCAGCTCGAATACTTGGATGCGTAAATGCACAGCCTCTTTATAGAGAGGTAGCAATGAAAAATGTTCACTAGGTCTCCTTGGCCCACCTGAGGAACAAGACAAGATGTGCTGCTATAAAATAAACTCTAAGTTAATATGGATTTTAAAAGATTGGTGAACCAAATATCTAAAAAGTTATTAAAGGTCAATTAATGGATGAAAGGATATGTTGAAGAAAAAGAAAGAAAAAACCTAAAACTAGCTAATAAGGGTAAAAGAGTAATATATTCTTTAAGAAAGCTGGGTGGGTAGAAGGAGTGGGTCTACAGAAAAATGTCATGTTTCATGAGACAACAAAATGATGGAATAAAAAGGAATAGGTTTAAGTCTCCAAATTTTACTAAATGCTGAGCAAGGGTAATCTTTTAAAAACCTGTTAATAATAATTTACTAAACCATCTGTGTATTCTTCTCACAAGCTTAAAGTTAGGCCATGGGGTCAAATAAACATGCAGAATTTTTGCTAACTTCATGGGTCTTTTCTGCTTTCTCTATCCATTATTTTTGCCTGTAGGCCAGTCATATGACCCTTTTGCAAGTCTTCCCTTCTTCCTTGGTGGTAGTATTAGTCAACAAAGAAAAAAGGAAATTTCAAAATCTATACAAACCTAAATAATATGAAATAAAAATTTCAATTATATAAATTATTATGTTAATATATAAATTTAATCATACAAATAAATTTAATTAAAATTAATGTTAGTTTTAGATCCAGTAGGCTTTTCCAGGTATCGATCAATTAAACTTGTGAGTCTGAAGTTTGACATGGACAAAAACCTAGTTCAGGGTGTGGCCTCAAGGCTTCAGATTCCCCACCCCTGGGCCCTAGATGCACATTATCGTAACTCTTCAACTTCTGAAGGCTGACCTTCTCCATTCAACCTTCTCTGGCCTGGAGTGACTAAAACCCAAAAGATCAGGCTTGTCAGGGATAAGCCTGATCTCTAAAAGGAAGGAGGGTATGTGTGCACCTAGCATTAACTTGGGTACATTCTGCTCCATGATGGCATTTCCCATGTCCTTCTTTATTTCCTTTGTACCATACTCAGAAACTAGCCACTAGATATTAGCAGTTATAAAGACTGATCCTTCCCATCCATGATCTCACCAAGAACTTAACTTAAAAATGGCAACTGAAGTTCTCCTTACACACTATGACTTGGGGTTAATTATAAATATGATAACCAACACTTATATGGCTGATTGTACAGATGTCTCCTAATTTTTAGAGAATGTGATTTACAAAAATACAGAGCTACAAAACAGATAAATCAGAGATTCTTTGCTTTATCAAAAAACTCATTACAAATTTCCTTTCAATTAGATATGGATCAAAATGCACAATGTAGAGAGTCCAGCCTTGGAGCCAGCCAGACTAAATGGGACATGCTAGCACTGGGACCATATGAAAAAAAAAAAATCACTTAATGTCTCAGTATCCTAGGTAATTCTTTAAGATTAAAAACTGTAAAGGAGTCAGTGATCTGCACAGGTGAGAAGAAGAAGAGGAAGAAGAAAGATCTCATGTAGTATCCTGAAACATCTGCTCACAGATCAATGACTTGAGAATAAAAACAGACAGAAAAGTTTCAAGCCAAAATGTTCAAAGTCATTGTCCACTGAAGACCAGTTCAAAATCAACTGTCTCAAATTACAATGGAAATCAGTGAGAACATATTATTTGAATAGCACATAACTTGCAAAAGACAAAGCTGCATAAAATGTATTGTTCTTCAAATCACAAGAGCAATATGGAACCTCAAGATCCACAGGGCCAAAATATTCTTTTATACAGGTGGGACTATCATCCTCCTTAGTGGATGAAATACATTTTGGCTTTCATAAGGAAATGTCAATTCAGACTTTCAAAAACTGCTGCTTTCTCACCTTATAATAGGCCTTGGCGTTGTTAAAGAGCAGCTGAAAATCAGCAGTCAGCAGGTTAACGTCATCATACTCTTCCATTTTTAGTTTTTGTTGAATTTTCATCAAGTCGATGGGCTGAGAAACCACTTCATAATAATCTGGTTGATTTCTGTCATAATTTATAAGTGTTACATGTACAAATTAATCCAAAATCTATAAATGAAAACATCTCTTCAAACTTTTTCTAAGGAAACTGTAAACAGTATTTTAATGAAAAATGTGTAACTAGATTTATCTATTTCAAATAAAAGACAGCAAGAAAGATATCAATTTTCATGTCAGTACAACTGAAAGTGAGTATTGTACATGAAACTGCAGATATCTATTATGTACATTGTTTTACTTTTTAAGTATCAACATCTTAAAGAACATAATAGCCTCTAAAACAGATGAGGTTTAAGGGCATGTATGTTAGCCCATTACTCATCTCCCCTGTGTAGGAAAACCAGTAGCTTTTTCATTGTGCAAGTGCAGTTGAAAAGGCTGCTTCTGGCCTCACAGCTCTTTCTAAACTTATCTTTAGTTCACGACTGCAGGACTTTTTACAGCCAAGCACCCTTTATTGGGTGTTTACAATGTGTATGACATTGTGTTGGAGCACTGAAGAAAGATACAAAGGACTAGGTAGGTATATGCTGTTAGGAAGCTTCTCTAGTCTAATAAGGAATAACTCAGGTGAAAACACACACATAAAATATGCATAATCTATATTATATGTACATATATGTACACTATATTTGTGTACACACACATTCATATGGAGACGAACCCAATTTTGTACAACATTACTTGTATTAATGGAGTAATTAGAATGTTCAAAGACAGACTTGTCAGAGAAAAGTTTAAGAACAAAAAAAGTCTTACTGCTTCAGCCAAGTCCTTATTCTGTCTGACAATGGCACTTCTCATGCGGTCATTACTCTCCACGTCTATTTATTATTTTTTAAAATTTATTTTTATTTTGAACTTAACAAACACCCTGAAAATGGACATTCCTGCATACATAGTACAACTGAAAATAAGTATTGTACATGAAACTGCAGATATCTATTATGTACACTGCTTTACTTTTTAAGTATAAAAATAAGTTCAACTTGCAGTTTTCAAAGCTGTGCTGCTGGTCTCTGCTTCTTTTTGGCCTCCCTTCTCTTCTCTTCTGTGCACTTTTAAAAAGATGTCTCAATGACCCCCTTTCCTTTCTTTCTTTTTTTTTTGCTACTATATTTCCATACCGTTTTGCCTCTTCATCCTCCTCCAATGGGGGAGGGGGAACAACAAAGAAAAACAAAACCTTTCTAACAAATAGGTATAATCAAGCAAAACAAATTGCCACATTGGCTGTTATGAGGTCTATTTCAAAGTCTTAGATCTGTATTCCGAACAGCTGTCTCCCTTTTGAATCCACATTCTCACGTTTTTCTAAACCCTCTTTCAGCTAATAGGACTCTCAAATGAGGAAGGCTGGATCTCTGAGAGGAAGAGCCTCAAGTGCCTGAAAACAGCCTTCTCCATAATATCAGTGGGCCCAGATCTTAGTTAGGAGAATTGGTACCAAGACTTGTTACTGCCCTGCCAAGTATTTTGAATTGGTAGTTTGAGGGAGTTAGTCTCAGGGAATTTTCACAAAATTTGTACACAAATGACACCTTATGAAATACATGGTATATTAGGAAACACAGTTGACTTAGAGCTGGGAGACTTATGTTCAAAGCCCACTCTGTTCTTGACGATGTGTGTGATGCTGTGTAAACCACTCTTGTCTCTGAGCCTTATTTCTCTATCTGCAAAACTAGGAGGATGGAGGAGTTGGCTGCTGATTTCATGATATTACTTGTAATCTCACGGTGCTTAGTTTTTTGGAGGGAGGAGTTTCACGAGCAGGGCTCACAGAGGGACTTCCACTTGGGATTTTAAAGGCTCAAAGGTGATGCAAACTAGTCACATTAGGGAGACTATACAGGGAATCCCTTGGATAGAGCTCAAAGTCTAGGGCCAAGAGTCATGAGGAGGGAGCACAGTGTCTTGCACATAGCAGACACTGAAAGTTTGATAAACTGAATTTTACTGAGAGGCAGTATGGCGTAGGGGATAGGGCACAGGGTCCCAGACTTTGAGTAAGCAAGACCTGGGTTCAAATCCTACCTTAGACACTAACTGGGTGACCCAGGATAAGTCATTTAATTTCTTTGTGATTGGTTTCTTCACCTGTATAACAGGGGGATTGGGCTCAATGGTATTTAAGGCACTTTCCAGTTCCAAATCTATGATTCTATGAATTGAATGAGGGAAGTTAGATTAAAAACGCACCATCCTCTGGCCTCTCTGCCACTTTCAGGCTATTCACACCTTTGTTCCAAGCTACAGTCTTGTTTCAAGATGTTTTTCCTAACCTGGAAAGACTTACATGAACTGATGCTGAATGAAGTGAGCAGAACCAGGAGAACATCGTACACAGCAACAGCAGCATTGTGCGATGATCAACTATGATAGACTTGTTCTTCTCAGCAATACAAAGATCCAAGACAATTCCAAAAGACTCATGATGGAAAATGATAACCATATCCAGAGAAAGAACTATGGAATCTGAATGTAGACCGAAGCATACTACTTTTGCGGGGCTTTTTTGTTTTTTCTTTTTCATGGTTTTTCCCTTTTGTTCTGATTCCTCTTTCACAATATGATAACGTGGAAATACATTTAACATGATTGTACATGTATTACCCACATCAGATTGCTTGCTGTCTTGAGGAGGGAGCGAGGGAGAAAAATTTGGAACTCAAAATGTTACAAAAATGAATGCTGAAAACTATTTTATATGTAATTGGAAAAAAAATATCATTGGGGGAAAATGTGCTTTCCTGTATCCTTGACAAACGAGCTCAACACCTCTTCTCAAATACTATTTGGGATCATTTCTCCAAGAAAAAAAGTGGCAGACATTTTACACACTGGATGGCAACATATTTGTTCCCATCAAAGCTATCCTTGTTTTACCTTCTTTTTGGTGCCCTGATAAAGAGTTCACACAGGAGCCTGCCCTGCTCATCTTTGTAGTCTCTTATGGTGTTGTAAAGTTCATGGCACACAGCAATCTAAGAGCAAAATAAAGAATGAAAGCAATCAAATAAGAGTACAGAGGTGTGACAGCAAAGGGAATAGCTAGTACTTTTCAATAAAAAGAGTTATTAAAGTCAAAGAGGCCATGAGTAAGAGCAAAAACAGATGGACTCCTAGGAAAAGACTTTATGTCCCAAGGAAATTTAAGCCTGAAACATGTTTTTAATACTTTTATTTATTTTTGGAAAGATGTTTTTGGTAAGATTTATAAAAATATCCCATAATGGGCAGTAAGCTATATATTAATAATCTTTATTAGTTAACAAGACTTAAAAATATTTTTGAAGTCTTCTGAATTAATTTTTTTAAAGGAGGGAAAAAACTCACACATCAGTAAACTTCCAATAAAAAGAAGTTGAAGCAATATCTCTTGAGAATACCAAGCAAGGGTGGGGAAAAAATTAGCCCTTAAGCCTATAACCGTCTGTATTATTCAAAGATAAGCAAAGAAGTCATGGAAAATGAAATTGGTTAAGAATGTCTGACTTACAGGATCTACAGTTGGGAGATTAGAAAGCCGTCTCCTTTTCCTGCTTGGGCCTGGTGTTGGTACTGAGTGGTGACCATCATCAAAATCCCCACTGATGCTGCTGGAAGGAGATGTAGCCCTTCGTCTCTTGGAGCCCATTGAATCCAACTTCTTCTATAATAAAACAATTAGCAATGTTCTTATATTTAAATTTAGGACTTGGGAGCAAAGCCTTCTGGGGACTACTTGCTACCAAGCTTTTGATTCATTTAAGGCACATTATGGTAGCTGTAGAAAGTTTAGCAACACCCAAATCATTCCAATGCAAGTTTCTGGGCTATACTATTGAAAAGCCTCATGGCAAGAACAATGCTTTTAATTAAAGGCAACTTTCAGCTGCACATCAACTGCAGTGTGACAGATACAGTAAAAGCTCATTAACTCGGACTTATTCAACCAAGCCTGAGCTAAGGTTAACCTTAGGCAAACGAACAGCACGTACATGGCTATAAAGGACTAGGGGATATTTTATCTGCTTAAGAGGACTATTCTCAAGTTCTTTAGCAATATCTATTTACATACTAAAAATCACTGAATTTTACCTGTTCATTCAAGCAGATCAATAGAATTATCCATAGAAGCACAGTCTGGCTTGCTATTCATACTTGGAAGTATCGAAACCGTACCTTTTTAAAAAGTCTGTAATTCAGATTGACCTTCCTCATTGAAACCAAATTAGTAAGGTTTTACTGTATTCATGCATTCTGAAACTAAAGATGAAGGATCATTTGCCAAGAGGGTGAAACCTAGGAATACAATGCTTAGTCTCTAGTGAGGAGTCTAGAAACTAGCCTTGAGCACAAGCCTTCCAAAAGGTTTTAAGCCTATCATTCTCTAAGGAGATGCAGGCAAGGCATGTATCAAGAATGAAAGAACAGACAGATAGTCCAAATGCTCCAATAGTACTCTCAAGATGTTAAAAGGTGGCCTCTAGAATGTTCAGTGGATTCTCTGTGAAGGATTTATGGAGAGTCATGAATAAGAATCACACAGGACTAGACAGAGGTAAGGGGTGGATAGGTGGTGAGCTTATCAGTGGAGGGAGTGCCCACATATCTAGGTATCTCTCCCTATCCTTTTCTTCTCTCTAAACAAAACAATACAAATTTTATCATTTAACAAACCATTAATACCATTATTATGGTGCCAAAACCATGATAAATCAAGTGATATCTAGAAGGTAGGTATTATAAACTGTCCTGAGATTCTAGAACATGAATACAAGATCATGTTAAGAACAACCATGACTTGGTTGCTTAAAACAAAAATCAACTGTTTATGAATCAAACAAAAGGCAGTGACATCCAGCTATGAAAAGCTGAAAATCACCAACAGCTTGGTTGTCTTGTAGGCAGAAAACATCCTACTCTCAAAATAAAACACCCTTCAAGACCACAAAGTTGTATGGCCAAAATTTAAATGGTAAATTGTACAAATTCCTTTTGATAATTGTATTCTTTTGCTATTTGTCTGCTGAGACTTTTATAGCCATACCCCCACCTAGAGCAATCTTCCAAAAGAAGACCAAAGTATAAATGCTGTATTTCACAATTATATTACATTATTATATTATTTGTACTTATTTGGAAGTGAAATTGTGTTGTTTGTTTTTTTTTTACTACAGGCCTTAGGACTGACCTTTGAGAGTCAATAAGTTTTACCAACTGTTTAGTAATGGAATATTCTACTCAATGTTCATACTTGTAAAAAATAACATGGCCATTTATCATAATTTTTTACCCATTATAGTCAGAAGAAATTAATAGCATTTGAATTTCTCTTTAAGTTTCAGGGCTGTTGCTAGGTACCAGTCTCTAACATGGGAGTTGTGATTACTAACTGTATCTCTGCTAAAGATAGAAGAGACTGACAAATTAAAAAGAGGGGTGGGGGGGTGGGAAGTATTTCGTACTTGTTTATTTAATTCAATTAGAAGATCCTAGTGTCAACTGAGATTCCAATGACCCTGTTCTAAAACTAAAGATTCTAGACCACTTATTCACATTCAATTTTCCTGTGAAACTAGGAAAAGTCAGAACATAAGGAGAAACACCCTGGTTGCCAATAACATTGGGGAAAAGTGCTGTTAAAGTTTCTGCCAGGCTATGGTCCAAGTCTTCTACTGGGTTCTCACAGAAGCACAAACTAGGGGTACAAATAATCAATAGAGGAAAAATGTGGGATTCTTACAACTCTTCACCTGGATGAAAAGTCTCTACATTGAGTTTTTAATGTTTGTTTTATTTGCTCAAGGTGATTGTGAAGGTATTTAAAAAATAACACAATAGTACTTGTTTCCTGTATGCCAGGTCTACTATAGGTATGAAATTTTTAAAGGAGCTAAAATGTATTTCATATATATAGGCCAAGGATACAAAGTTTAAAAAAAAATCTGATAAACTGTCAATATATTATAAAAATGATGAGATACTCTTGATACAATCCAAGAACAGCAATCATATGAGTTCGATGAATGTAAAGAAAGGGCTCATTAAATGAAAGGTCAAAAATGAGCAGGGAAGGGTGAGCATGGGAAGACAGGAATAAAGGAAGCGGTGTGTAAATGACCAGTAATTTACCAGATTTACCAGAGTACAACCAGCGCCTCGAAAAGCCAGTCTCCTCATAATGTCTGAAGGCCAAGTTAAGCTAGTGGGAGAAGGCAGAGCTTTAGAAGTGCTGAATCGGCAAAGGTGTTACTATATTCAAAACTGAAAGAGAAGAACAGAGATAGAAAACGGAAAATAAAAAAGGAAGGGTCAGAAGAAGTAGAAAGGAGTGAGATAGATAGAAAGCATTTAAGTAGAACTGTTTAAGAAGGATACAATGGAAAGCTGGAAGAAGGGATATTAGTTAACACCTATAAAACAAATTCCTGCAAAAAGATTTTCTTCACAGAATAACTAAAAATCTTCAGTCACCAAGAGGTGTTGGATCAAATTAGTTTTTTAGCAATTGTCCTACTGTACTTTTTATGATGTAACTATATAAGTGTATACAAAATACTATTTGAAGCCTAAATTTTAAAATATGGGGGGAAATATGCCCTTAAGACAGCATTCAAACACTTACTTTCTGAGAATACTTTCTATAAGCATCTTCAAAATGTGTGTTTATGAAAAAGTATGTACGGAAACAAAATTTGTTTAAAAAGTAGCTACTTATTTATGTAGTTGAAAAAAAATTTGGAACACTTCATCAGTGTTGTTCCCATGATGCAAAAAGGAAATTTCTGGAGCTCAGTTTTCAATGTTAAAACAGCCTTGGCTGTAGTCATAAACTTGAAGGCTAAAAACAGTCTACAATGGGCTAAGAGAGAAACATGCTAATGTCGTTTACCACCTGTTAGTAAGGACTGCATACCCTGGGGACAGGGAAACCTAGTACATTTTGAATAGCTTGAAATTTTTTGAACTCACCTGTATAGCTATTAAAACTTGATATCCTTCAGAAGAAAACACAGTTATATTTTAGATACCTCATATGTCTCCAAAAGCTACAGAAGATAGTTAAAGACTTTTGAACCACTAAAATGTGACAAATCATACCTTACTGATTTTTTTTATTCAAAGTATCTCTTCAGACAATACTCATCAATTGTTTAAATGAGCATTTTTCTTAACAAATTAGATACAAAAAAATGCATTGACATCCTTGCTGGTTATAATAAATTAACAAAGAATATTTTCATGAAGTTCATGTGATTCTTAATGGGATCCACACAAAACTTAACAATTTGCTTTTTTCTGAAAAGGGCAAGACCTCAATGAATTACAAAGAAATGATAAGGAATACCATTACTCTCATTAACGAATATCATTACTCTCATTTTCCAAATACAACATAGACTGGGGAAAAAAGATTCACCTGGGATGTGGGGAATACAGTAAGGTACTTGAATAGTAGAGAAGGTTATGGGGTAAGGTAAGAAGGGGAGGCTAAATTGTCCAAGTATAAGTAGATTATAACATAGTTTAGTTTACGATTTTTACATTTTTGTACATTTGGTTTTTTAAAATCTTTATGAGTTTCCTATGTAGTACTTATCAATACTCATTCTTTTGATTCTTTTTCATAAGAATTTTTAAGAGCAGTAGCATAAGATGTAATAAGAATTAAGACTCAGGAAGATCTGTGTTCAAATCCTTCCTCTAACACTTCACTGGCCAAATCACTTATTCTCTTAGTCCCCTAAGGCAACTCCCTTAGACTGTAAGTGACAAGATCAGTAGCTGATCGGCAGCAGCTAACAGTTTCCACAGTGGGACGGTCTTACACCAATGAAATCAAAACAGTAACAATAACAACAATTCACATAGTTTATATGTAACTATAAAAAATTGCATTTCTTTTTTCTGTTAAAATATTTTGAGAAAAAATAAAAGCATGTAGAAAAATGTTCACAGTATTCAAAACAATCTAATTTTTTTGTAATGCTATAAGTATTATATGTTGAAACAGCTGGTCAGAAAGTAAGAAGAAAAACACTAGGGTTTTAAGAGGCTAGTTAGGAAAGTACAAAAAAAAAAAATAGCTGGGGAGAATTCTTGTTACAACATCCCCACGAACAAAAACAAAAGGATACCGTAATGACGAATGAAATTCAGAAGGTAAAATGAAGGATTTTTGACACTGGACGAACTGGAGGAAACAACAAAAGAAAATTACTTGACACCATAAATAAAATGCCAAAACGAGGGACACAATACGGAAGCAGTCCTGAGCCCAACTGGTTATTAAGGAGGGAATTTCAAGAAGGTGGTGACGGGTTCTGTTTGGAACTCTGAACTTTCGCAGAATTTTAGCTCCGTTTCGCATCTCCTCTTTGTTTAGCAAGGTAGAGAGGTGGGGTGCAGGGCTCCCCAGGGGACAGGTCCCTCGCGGCCACGAACTGCGTCTCCCACCTCGGAAAAGCCCCTCTCCACTTCCCCCTCTGGGACCCCAGGCAAGCATCCTCTGACAGCCCCCGGCCCCAGCTCCGGGGCAGCCAAGATCCCGAGAAAACTGACATCTGGAGACCTGGCGGAGGCCCCCCCGGACTCTGGGGAGCCGGGACCCCGGAGGGCACGGCCCGTGGGGGCGGGGGTGCAGGGGGCTGTCCTGGGCTGGACGGAGCGCGCCGGGCGGGACTCGTCCCCATTTTACAGAGCCACAAGACAGAGGCACCAGAGACGGAGGGGGGCCCACGCAGCCGAAGCTGGGAGAATAAGGGTGGGGGGCGTCGGGAAGAGTTAGGAAACTCAGGAACTCCGGGGGAGAGGGATCCAAGTCGGCGAGGAGGCGGGAAGGGGACCCTCTCGAAGAGAGAGGACCCCGATCTCGGCGGGGGGGTGGGGGATGGGGGCCCCGTCCTCGGCGGGGGGCCTCAGAGAACAAGGGGAGCGGGCGGGCGGCAAGGGGCCCACCGGCTTCGGCTGGGCTCCTGGGGGCCGGGAGGGCTCCCTGTCCCCGGGGCCGCCACACAAAGGGGCCCCCGTCCGAGCGGACCCGGCCTCGGCGGCCGCGGCCTCCTAGTCTGCCGCCGCTTCCCTGGAGCTCCGGCCTTACCCAGCTGCTCCGCCGCCTGCAGCCCCTGCCGCGGTCCCCGACCGCCGGCGCCGCGCCCCGTCCTGTGGCCGCCACGGCTAAGGCTGGCGCTGCCGCTGCTCGGCCCGCTCCTGCTCTCAGACCCTCTCGGCTCAGGTCCGACTCAGCTCCTGGTGCCGCCGCCGCCGCCGCCGCCGCCGCAAACCCAGCCGCACGGCCGCCAAGCGAGACCGGCCCCGCGCGACCGTGCGCGTGCGCGCGCCCTGGGGTGAGGGGGCAGGGCCGAGCAAGAGGGAGAGAAGGGCGCGGGGGCGCGAGCGGCTCTGAGAAGGAGCGAGCGCGAGCCCAGCCAGGTTCTGGCGCGGGGCGGGGCGGGGCGGGGCAGGAGAGGAGGCTCTGGCACAGGCGCGCTTTACGGCAGCGTCTTCACGTCGTGACGGTTCTGCGCTTCAGTATGCACGTGGCATCCGAGTCGGCTGGACGTGGGAGCTGCTTTCTCCGTCACCATGAAGCGGCCTAGTGAGTGTCTGTTCTCCGGGTGGCGGGAGTTCCTGGGCTTCTAACGTCCGCCTCCTGGGTCTCCAGCTGGCTCCCTTCGCCTGCGGCGCTGCTTGTTCCTCTCGGGTGCGGGGTGCGGGGTGCGGGGTGCGGGCCGGGGAGCGCGCTGCGCTGAGCGCGCGGCTCGGGCCGGCTTCGGCCTTGGAGGTTGGGGGCGCTGGAGAAAGCCCTGGAGCGGGAGTCCCGCTAAGCCTGGCCTCGAATCCCGGCTCTCCGCCTCCCTCCCCGGTGTGTGGCTTAGGACAAGGAGCGGACGCCGAGGAGGTGGGCCTGACGGGCGGGCTCTGGCTGCGGCCTCGCTCGTCAGCCCTGGCGGTGGTCCAAGGCCCGGGGAATGGGGAGGGGGGCACGTCGGTGCAGCTGTTGCAGCATTTGTATGAAGTAGGGGCTTTGGGCTAGGGGGATTGACACCCTTTAAAATTCGCAATTCGTTTTCCTGGCAGTCTTGTGAAGACGGCCAGTGCTAGTATGACTTTGCCTGTTTTAATAGGGAAGGAACATCTGAGATAAAGGGACTTGCAAAGTGGTCGCATAGCTAATAAGTAGCTGACCCATATTCAATCATCAGCTCTTGACTAATCTTTTCCATTACTGCGTGCTGCCTGTATGCAAAAATTAATTTGTAAGCTCCCAAGCCACGAGTAGGGGAAATCGGCAAATAAGTAGGATGAAAATTAAAATGAGTACGAAGTGCTGTGGAGTCAAATAAACTTCATTTTATTTTGGATGGAGAATGACTTAATCAGGATTTAAGGGCCTTGAGGGTTTGGGAGGTTAGAGTTTAGCATATTATAGATGAAAAGGACAGCATGAGCAAAGACAAAAGGGTGGGAAATGGAAATTAATCTAGTTTGGCTGGAGTTAAGGTCTCCCTAATTGAAAATAGATTTCTCAAAATCACAAATTAATGCTTTAGGACTTTTCCTAGTCATTTGAGCATAGCCATATGTGGAGGTCAGGAAGGTCATGTGTTTCATGTATTTTAATTATAATTGCTGACTCTTTGTCCCCCTAGTACCTGTAGGGTACAAAAGAGGAGGGGATGGACCTATAGGAGCCCTAGTTCTGACCTTATTATGAATTATTTTTTGTTCCTAGAATTAAAAAAAGCAAGTAAGCGCATGACATGTCATAAGCGGTTTAAAATCCAGAAAAAGGTGGGTCTTCTGCATAAGCTTTTGGGGATGTATTTAGGCTGGACTTATGTCATCTACAGCAACTGTGAACAACAAATGGACTTGTATCAATAGCGGCAGGCAGTACACACTGGGTACTGGATTAAAAAAAACTCTATAGGCATAAATTTCTTTTGGCAAACATTCTTGTCTTTGGGTGGTGGGGGAAAAATCTCATCTGTGGCATGAGAAAGAACTTTGTTGGTCCAGTGTGTACATTGGGGTGATGCTGTCTGACCAGGTTTGATATGTGAAAGCTAGATGTCAATGAGGCTTCTAAGATCTGCAACCACTTTGAACCATACTTGTTGCCTTAATAAAAGTTCAGTTAATACTTTCAAAGTGAGTTGTGTTTGGAATATGACTTGGAGCTTAGTAATTTTTTTAAAAAATTATTTTTGTTGAATAGATAAAACCCTGGCAATTTTTAAACCAAACTAAATGACTTTATTAAAATAGGTACGGGAGCATTACCGAAAAGTGAGGAAGGAAGCCAAGAAACATGGTCACAAAAAGCCAAAGAAGGATCCTGGTGTTCCCAACAGTGCCCCCTTCAAAGAGGCCCTTCTTCGGGAAGCTGAGCAAAGAAAGCAGCAGGTAAGACTCAGTTCAGAAAGAGGCAGGGTTTTGCTTATTTTGAGAGGCTTCATCTAGGCATTCTTATAAAGATTAGGGTAGACACTTTTTAAAAAGAGGTAATAAGAATATGATTAATGATCCTAAACTTTTTTTTTTTGGCCTGAGAGAACAGCTTGAAGAACTAAAGGAGAAGCAGAAACTTAACAAACATAAGGAGCAAGCACAAAAACGAAAACATGATGAAAACAATGTTGCTTCGTCAAACACAGAACCACCAGAAAGGGTAGGATTGTCTTTATTTTTGAGGGGAGAGAGTTGGGTTACTCATCTGTAAGAAGAACATGGTGTCCCCATCCAGTCCAACAGCAGCATTCAGTTTACCTACTAGATGGTGGGTATACAAATTATCTCTTTAAAATAGAATACTCAAATAGAATTTGAGTAGAGACTTTTTTGTTTTTGCCTTTCTCCTTACTGAGCCTGGCATGGTGCTTTGCATATATAGGTGTCTAATAAATACTTTTTGAATTGAAACCACCAAAATGAATTGAAAGATGACCATGTACAATATGTAATTTCTACATGTTTTCATTTTGAGTTTGCAGCCACCTTAAGCCTTTTTCATCCAAATAATAAAAAGTATATGTAAATGAAAAAAATTGGTAATTTAGCACTTGGGCTGAATACTTGGCATCATATGGTGAAATGATAAGAAAGCATGGTCTATTAAAAAGAAAATTGACTCTGGATAATCAGAGGATCTGGTTCAAATTCTGTTTCTTACATTAGCTGTGGAACTCATCGATTCACATAACTTTGCTGGGCTCTGGCTTCTTTATCCATAAAATGAAGGGGTTAAATCAGAAGGCATCTGAGGTCCCCTCCAGCTATATATAGATCCTATGAACTACTGATTCAAATGCTTTCTCATCTTTATAAGACTGTTTTCCTTATAAATGCATTGAGGGTATTTTTGATGAAATAAGGGACAGGGTCAAGCAGGCTTTCACAAACTAATTTCTAGAAGCAACTAGTTGGAAAAGTGGAAAGAGCACGGGGTCTGGAATCAGAAAGACCTGAGTTCAGATGTGGTCTCAGAAATTTTCTAGGTCTGTGACCCTGGCCAAATCACTTAACCTCATTTTCTGCAACTGTAAAATGAGGAATACAATAGCACCTACCTTTGTGAAGATCAAATGCTTAGCACATGCCCAGCACATAGTAGATGTTTTATAGATATGTATTTATTTATACCTTTCATACCCTTCTCTTTCCCTTCCTACAACAAAGTATGTGTTTCTAGGCAGCTAGCTGACTTTTTATTGTTGAAAGAGCATTTGGCTTGGTAGAGCAAAACACAGCTGTCAAGTCTGTCTTCTAGTAAGGAGGATTTTCATACATAGGTGAAGAACAGATATGTTTCCTTGAAAGATACAGATAACTCATTTAGTTGGATCATTAATGCTAGAGTAAAAATGATCCGGCCTTTTTGTTTTATTTCCTGTATAATTCTTTAAAATTCTGATTGTCTTGTTTTTCTCTCCTCATCATTTAGGAATTTGTGGGAAGAAAGGCAAAGCTATCTTGCAGAACAGTCAAGCAAGGCTCAAAAAAATCATTTTGTAGAGAACTTCAAAAGGTATTTTTCCCAACAGGTGCTAGTTTTCCCTCCTAATCATTATATTAAGTGATTTTTAAATGTTCATAGGATCATATGTGTAATTGGAAGAGACTTTTGACTCACCTATGCTTAAAAGACTAGAGAGGTACGCTCCTTTCTTGTGCGTGTTTCCCTGATTCATAAAATGGGGCTGGTATTTATTCCTCATGACCTTCATAGAGATAGAGGTTAAGTAAAGGAAGTAAATTTAGTTTTTCCTTTCTAATTTATCCACTATGTAGGTAGCTCTGTGATTTCTTTGTTCTTTACTTTCCACCAAGATCAGGAAAAAAAACCCTTAATACCTGAGATCTTCCTATTTCTAGATTTTCCTAATTGAGTAGCTGCTTTCTTGACTGATATTTATTCATCCATTTATTTATTTATTTTTGACTGATATTTAAAAAGATAAGATTTCTATTGACTTCTGTGAAGTGGAAGAGGTGAAAAGTTTTCATGTCTAATGGGATATCCAAATCTTTATAGTATGAATAAATTCTTGACCTACCCAACTAGAGTCATCTTAAATGGAGAGTCAAGTCTGTAAGGAATAGAAAATTGAGAAAGCTGAAAATGCTGTTGTAATTTAGAGAGAAAGGGTTAGAAGAGCAGCTATCTCTGTTATAGCTAATTTCTTGTTCAGAACCCATTTATTGAGTTGAAGTAGATTGCAAACCCAATATGCATTAGAAGTCTGACACGGCAGTCAAAAAAGATGATATGATTTTAGGCCGTATTAACGTGAATAGAAAGGTCTGGCTATATTCTGCATTTAGTCTATGTTTATAATATTTGGTTCTGGTATCTTGTTTTAATAAGAGCTTTTGTCAGGGGCAGCTAGGTGGCACAGTGGATGGAGCTCCAGCCTTGGAGTCAGGAGGACCTGAGTTCAAATCCAGCCTCAGACACATAACAGTTACTAACTGTGTGACTCTGGGCAAGTCATTTAACCCCCAATTGCCTTGCCAAAAAAAAAAAGAAAGAAAAAACAAGAGCATTTGTTAGGCTGGTAAAGGAACTGGGGTTGGTTCTGTTGAAAATAAGACTTACACATATTGCCTCCCAAGCATTTGTGTATTTCTAATCTTTGTTCCCGTAGGTGATTGAGGCCTCAGATGTTTTGCTGGAAGTTTTGGATGCCAGAGATCCCTTAGGATGTAGATGTCCCCAGGTGGAACAAATCATCACACAAACTGGAGGAAACAAAAAACTGTTGCTTGTCTTGAATAAAACAGGTATGCCATAGATTTGCTCATTAAAAATGACCTTTATATCTTCCAGATGTGAGGTATGAGGAAAACATCTATCAGTCTGAAATACCATTGAAGACTGTAAGATCCAACTCTGACCTCAGCCTAGTTCGTTATTTCTAGTTGCCAAAGATGATACCACCTAACATCACAGTGGCGTTTAGTTTTTATAGCATGCTGATGCTTACAGAACTTTGTTCTCTGAATATATGTTAAGCTGATTTATTTTTTTTCTTTTGTGAAGATGATGTCCTTAATGGATTGTCCAAGTCAAGGATGACCTCCACCTATTTTACCTTTATCATTTAGCAGATTGCATTTTAGTAGCACTCAATAAATGGTTATTGATGGTATGTGAATTCTTGGTGTTGAAAATTCAAACCTAGAGCTTGGACAAACTTCACCCAAAATATTTCCGGACCCCAAGTTAACCTGGGACACAGATCTTAAATTATTCTTAGGAGTAGAGGCTTAAAATCATTATCTGAGGATGGTGCCAAGGTCAGAATCTAGGTATGGATAAACCTTATAGCAAACATGTATCTTAAATTTTAGCATGTAAATTTTCTTACTTCCTCCAGATCTGGTGCCAAAGGAAAGCTTGAATAAATGGGTCCATTGCTTGAAGAAAGAACTCCCAACAGTTGTTTTTAGAGCCTCAGCATTTGGAAAGGAAAAGATAAGGATGGTAAGGATAACTCTTTGTAATATTGGGAAGATGTTCAGTTCTCTGCCTAATGGTTGTTTGGGTTGAAATGTGATGAACACTGACAACTTGATGGAATTGTGAAGATTACAAGATCCAACTCTGATTTCACCCAAAGAGAATAAGATTAAGAGAAATTCTGATTTCTGTCAAAAACTATCATTTTTCTGAAATCAGCTATGCTAACCTTATTCATGATGGTATTATCGTTATTGTCCGGGTATAGACTTGGAGATAGGTGGATTGAGGCAAAGACAGTAGTAACTCATAAAAGGAATCCTAGAATTGTATGTAATTAATCATTCACAGACAGGGAAAGGGACCAGTCAGATTGGCTTACTCAGGAAGGAGAATCATGACTATTTGAACCTATTTGAGATAGGTTGTTCTTTTCGATTCTGCAGTGAATTACTTTAGGGTGGGGGCAGTGGTGCGTGTATTGTGTGTGTCAGAGAATTAAGTGCCTTCTGTGTGGCAGACACTGCTAAACACTGAGGATACAAAATTTGCAAATATTTAATTATTACCCTCATTTCACAATTGAGGAAACTAAGGCAGAGAGAGTTTAAGTGACTTGCCCAGGGTCACACAGCTAGTATCTAAGGCTGGATTTGTATGCAGATCTGCCTAGCTCTAGGCCTAGTGTTCTGTACACTGTATCACTTTTATATCTAGATGTCTCTTTTCTGCTATACAGTAATTTTTTTTTCTTGCCTAGAATGTTTACTATTCTAGACTAGAGAGATTGACAAACTAACTTGTTTGACCTTGAAGCCAGGGAAGAAGAAGCTGGACCTCAGCAGGCATGGCATGTGCTTGGGTGGAAAGAGCCTTTTGACACTCCTCAATGATTTTTGCAAGACTCAAAACAAGGCTATTCGAGTTGGTGTGATTGGTGAGTTGATGTAATCATAACTAGCAACTTTTCCATGGAAACTAACATCACAAATTTACTTTAAAAAAAAAAAAGGCTAGAGGAAGTGGGAAATACTTGGAAAGTAATATCCACAGTGTGGATGTGAATTACTAGTCTCATATAACTCTTCTTGTTTAGTTTGAAAAACAAACCATCTGATACCTCAAAAAAAACCTAATAATTGAAATTGATTTAATCTCCCTTATTTCTTTAAAAAAAATCAGTTTTATTGATATCTTTATTATTCTCCCTCCCATAAAGCCATCATATATAGCAAATAGTATTTTTTTTTTTTTAAAAGAAAAAGAGGAAGAGAAAAATAAGCAAAAACAAGTAATACCTTTTTCAGTGTACTACCCCTCTGGACCTCCCACCTCTACAAAAAAAGAGTTGGGGTGGGGTTTTTTAATTTGGAATTTTGCAGCATGTTCCATTTTGATTGTTTTGTGGTTCTTTTCCGTTGATATTGTTGCAGTAATTTGTTTTCAGTTCTGCTTACTTCTGCTTCACATCATTCACAATCTTTCTGTGCTTGTTTTCATCTTATTTGTCATATCTTAGGGCACAGTAATATTCTATTATGTTCATGTTCTTTGCTACCACAAAAAGTACTGCTACCCTTTTGAGGTTAAGATTAGTTTTAGACTATTTGGGTCAATGATTATCTGTCCTGACCATTGTTTGAGTGAGAAATGAAGATAGAAATGATCTTACTATTAAAATGAAGATATGAGATCCAACTCTGATCTCACTCTGAGCAGGACCCTCCAGATTGCCATCAAAATGTCCAGTTTTATTTCACATTTCAAAAGATGGTTTAGTGTGAGTATTCTATACACAAATGCAGATAACCTTTCTATGCCATGTGAATTTCTAGTTAGTTATTTGCATGGTAAATAATGACATATTTATATTTCCATTTGAAGGTTTCCCAAATGTGGGCAAAAGCAGCATAATCAATAGTTTAAAACAAGCATATGTGTGTCATACTGGACCAGCCATGGGTCTTACAAGGTAAGTGTCTGAAAAGTGAGAGATCTTGGGGATATTCCATGGAGAATGTTGTAACTGTTTTGGTGTGTCCTTTTAAACTGGACATGATTAAGGAGGTCCCAATATTTCATTCCTTTTTAAGGGTTTCAGTTAAAGGGAGATTTCATCTATCATGGCTTTGGTAGAACCTGTACTCATTTACCAGTTTTTTTAGTTACACGAACACCGGAAGACATATTATGTTTTCCCTACATATGAGATTCGTTTTCTGTGTGAAAATACTTAAGGGTTTCAAATGTCATCCACACGTGAAGCATATGATGACAGACTGGATCTGATGTTCTGTGTTGAATTTATTCAATCCAACCCTGAGCTTCATGTTTGCTTAGGTTCTCTTTATCTCTCTTCATTCTTTGAAGGTTTTTAAGTTTTTACTCACTGTTATTCTTCTTTAGATACATGCAGATTGTCCACATTGACAAGAATATCACGATGTTAGATAGTCCGAGTATTATTGCATCTCCTTCTAACTCTCCAGTTGCTCTTGCTTTGAGAAGTCCCACAAATATTGAAAAAAGAGAACTATTAGATTCAGTAACTACAATCGTGGAACACTGCAATAAACAGCAGGTAATATAGTCTTTTACAATTTTAATTGTATCTTCATGAGTCTACTTTTATTCAGAGTTCTTGATGGCCATTCTATAGTGATATAATGCAGTCTCATAGCCAGAGATAAATGTTCTTGGAACCACTTGATTGAAGACATTGGGTTGTTTACTAGATGAGGATTTATTCAGTAATTTTGTTGTTGAGGGTTTTTTTTTCCTGTCACTGAAAAGGCGCTGACTCTTCATTTGTAAGGAAATGGGAAATAGGACTGTTTGACAATCCTGTGTAACCAGATAGTGCAGTTCCTACTGAGTCATTTCCTTTTGTCTTGAATACCTGCGTATCTAATGATATTGTACTTAGTTGGTTTTAACAACATTGCCACCTTAAAACTCTTGACAAAACCTATGCCGAGCCAGATAAAGGGGATTTATTTTCTTGTTTCAGCTAATGTTACGATACAACATCCCAAGCTATAGAGAGTCTCAAGAATTCTTGACTCTGCTAGCACAGAAGAGAGGGATGGTGCGGAAAGGTGGTCTACTCAAAGTGGAGGAGGCTGCTAAATTGTTCTGGTCTCATTGGACAGGGTAAAGGTTTTATTTATTCCAGCTGTTGAAAACTTTTTTTAGTATTGTATTGGATTAGCTGTTAATCCATTAATTAGCTATTAATTTTTATCCTTTTTTTTTTTAAATACTAGCCCCAAAATGAGTTACTATTGTCTGGTTCCTCCATCATTGACTTTTTCTTCGCATCTTACTGAGAATATTGTAGGAGATATGCAGCAGGGTCTTAATCTAGAGGAGCTAGAAAAAAACAACTTGGGTGCCATTAGAGGTTAGTAAGACCTGTGCTTTCTTGTTTTGTTTAGATCTCATGCTAATCTATTACAGATTCATTAGATTTCTTTTCCTAGCCATCAGGGGTCCCAGATTGTCAAGTAGCATCCTTTTCCAATGCTCTGGTCTGACCAATGGCATAACAGAGGAGAGGGATGTGCCTGAGGAACTACCGAGACAGGAAGAGAATGAAGACTATGATGATGCAGAAGAAGAGGAAGAGGATGATTTTCTGTACGAAGAAGATGAGGACAGTGATGATGAAAATGTCGTCGATGTAAGATTGGTTTTAGAATTCCTTTGAGTTTTAAGCAACCAGTAGAAATCTCCTCAGGATTTCAAAGACCCTTCAATGTTGCCTTTGAAATTACGATTCCAAAGAAAAGGGAATCTCTAACTAGCTTTGTTTTGTATCTTGCATGGAATGAGGGGAGATGCATGAAAGATATTGTGGCTGTGAGCAATGATTTGTCTTTGCCAGTTATTCACTGGGATACCCTAATAAGAGCCCTTGGTCCCTTCCATTTGCAAAATGAGGAAACTAAATTAAAGAATATCAGAAGAAGCTATCTAGTTTAGGAGTTTTAAACCTAGGGTCTTTGGATATATCTCAGGGCATCCATGAACTTGGATGGGAAGAAAAATTGCATTATTTTTACTAATTTCTAACTGAAATTGAGCATTTCATGAAATTAATAAGCATAGGTAACAAAGATATTCTGAAAAGGGGTTCTTAGCCTTCATCAGACTGCCAAAGTGGTCAAACACAAAAATGTCAAAACCTTCAGATTTTTAGTTTAATGTTAGTATAATGTAACACTTTAAGAGATCATCATATCATTACTTGACAAACTCCAGATCCACCCCCTCAATACTTTCTCAAGGCAGCCTATCCTGTTTTGGAGATCTTCCTTCTGTTTTTCCCTCTCTTTTGGGCCATCTTTTGAAGGTGGCTGCTGGGTACTCCTTAGGCAAGCCTTCACTTTCTCAGACCAAGTCTTCACAGTTCCTAAAGCCTTGATCTCAAGGTCTTTCCCTTTGCTGGTTGGTCTCTTACTATCAATGTTTTCCCAAGACATGACACCTAGAAGTGAATGTAACACTGGAGAGGTGGGAGATCTGCCTCCAGCCAGGCTGTCACCTTTTTAAACCATACACTGTTGCTCTTGAAGCAGCTAAGTTGGCATTTACTTTGGGGTCATTTTTACCACTCTGTTGATTCATGAGTTTGCAGGCTACTGTATCTTTTTGTTGAGTTGATTTTTAGCAAAGTGAACTCTTACCTAACATGTTAAACTGTCCCAGGTTTGGCTCATCTGCAGTTCAGATAACCAAGTCATAAATTTAAAAAGTGCTGAATAGCACAGAACCAAGTAAAGCTTCATGGGACACCTCACTAGAGACCTTCCAAGATAACTGAATCATGAGTGACTATCACATTTCCAAATCCACCTAAATATCCTGTCATCTAACCCACATTCACTATCTTGTCCCAAGATACTCGCTAGAAAATCTTTTAAATACCTTGTTAAAAATCTGGGTACACTAGAAGTATTCCCTTGATCCATCAGTCTAATTATCCTTAATCCCGTCAAAAAAAAAGTAAATGAAGTTAGACCAACATTACCTGTTTCATGAAGCAGGCCGTGGTAGCTCACCATCACTTCTAATAATGCGTTCTAGAATTTTGGTAGGAATTCAAGGCCTATAATTCGTACTTGTTCTCAGTAGCAACTCCCTTTAATGTTTTTTGTTTTACATTTTGCAGTCTAAAGAGTCTCAGAGAAAACAAGCATGTTAAGAGCAATCTTTTCTCCATTGTCCCTTACTTAAAAGTTTTTCTCTTGTCTTATACTTTACTCAATAGCCTTAGTTCCTTCTGAGAAGACTTCTTACCCAAAATTTAGGTGAGGCAATAGGCTGTGACTGTCTTTTCATTTTCTGTCACCAGTCCCAGGCTTCTCTCGTGTCCACCCCCAAAACAGATTGTTCTTGCTCATGAGAATTGGGTTGAGAAGAGAAATTTCCACTTGTTTCCTCCCCCCTTACCTTTTGAATTATGGAAATTAGGGAGACAGATCAAATAATTAGTAGCTGGTCTACTTTAAGTGATGTCCAGATAATTTGATCTGTTCCCCAAATTTCTCTCTTCATCCACTTAGTCTGGAGCATAAACTCTTGTGACAGTATCCCCTCTGTCTCTGGTAATCCTCACCCAAACAATTTCCATCACACTTCTCTCTGGTCCCTCATGTGAGTACATCATTATATAAAATGTTACTGTTCTCTCCTATCCCACTTCTCAACTCTTTTTTTAACCTTTTGAATAAAGTTCACTTCTAGAGTCATTTGGGGTGGGGGGGGTGTCTCATCCCACCCTGTTTCAGTTATACCTTAGGGGTAAATTTGGTATGCTTCCCTTAAATTAGGATCTCTGGTTTATCTTGCCTACCTCTGCATATTTGTGTGAGATGGTCATGGATTTTATTGCTTTAATGAAATTAATCTTTAGTGCTTGGGGGCTGGGATGGGGAGGTGTCTCCTATTTACTAAATTGTAGCTGGTTTTTTGTTTGTTTTAAACGATATCCACCTCAGTAGATTTTCTTGTCAGTGCTTCATCCCTTCCTAGAAATCATTTCTATGTTTTCATAATCACAAGCTCCACTGAGAGGAATCAACTGACGCTTTAATATTTCCTCACAGGAAAGAAGCAGGGTAGGGACCAAAAGACTTAAAGTGGAAGAAGAGCTCCAGCCAGGTAGGTTGAGAGCTAATGGATCCTACTGTTTGGAATATCGGGATTTGGTAGACATTTTCACCATGCGGTTTTCTCTCTTTATAAAGGTAAAAAGTTTGGTGCTGGAGCAGAAGAAAAGTCTTTTCATGTGGATAAGATGATAGAGGAAGACGATGACACTTATAATTTTAATACAGATTACGTGTAATGCAACTTAGTCCGTTATGAACTTACTGAATTGCTATTAACTTGATTGCTAAGTTATCTTGATACAAGATATTATGTATATACTACAGCAAAAATGATTATGGTATGAGAAACATGTACAGAAATTATTATTTGTAGATATGTAAAACTTGAACAAATGGGTAATAGATAGGATGTCTGGGATTTTTTGCTAAAGTGAACTGTTTGAACTGATGAAAGACTTGTCATAAAATAAATACTTTGTCACCATTGACTTATTTGTATTATTTGGGCTTCATGATAGCTGAGGCAATATCCCCATTTTACAAATCAGGAAATTGAGGCTCAGGTTAAGTGACTTATGTGGATTAACAGTGTCATACACACTGACGCTATTTGTCCTAACATTAATTCTTAAGGCAGAAGAACAGATAATTTGAAGGTAAATGTGTTCTTGGATTTTATTTATTAGAACAAGATGAAAAACCATCTTTAAATAATGATTTAGTACTGGGGAATTCTAACTATGTCAACAAAACTAGGAGACATAACTTGTTGAAAGGAACAAGAAATCATAACTAGTGTATTCTAAAAACTAAGTTATAAAAGAATGTAAACATGCTTCAAGTGGGTTTCATGCAAAGTAAAGTGTCATATAGGAAGCCACAGGTTACAGGAGTAGAATAAAAACAGCATTTAACTAATTGCAAGATGGCTCATCAGTCTTAGGGAAGGTATTCCATTCACTTCTGTGGGACAGATTCTCTCTGTAGTAGCAACAAAAATTAACTATTAAAATACTTTTTCTCAAGTAAGACAGGTGTAAATTGGTTTTCATATTATAGTTGAGAGAGTTTACAAGAAACTTCATAATAGTTGAGTCTAAGTTGGTTTTCCCATGTTGCACACAGAAAAGTTCTCAATATCACATGGAAGACATTTTCCCAACTAGTACTATTCCTTCAGTGTTTCCTGAGAAAATAATGGTAGTCCATATTCTATTTTACTTTGCATTTGCAATTTCTACATGTCTTCGGATTAGGCTGAATTTTCCTGTTGGATCTGGAATATACCATTTTTCCCAAATGTCAGCATAGGAAGCAGTTCTTCCCCATGGCTTAAAGTGTCCGTTCCAGTGGAGTAGTTTGGCAGCCTTTACAAACTGAGGTGAATATCGATTTCCAGCACTAGAGCCTTCCATTAACAAAACAAAATATACACATATTAACTATTAAACTGTTAGTAACTAAAGACATGCTGAAATTTTAAAATCTGATTACTTACCAAGGTGTCGGACGTTCCACATGGGGTCAATATTTGAATGTTGTTTATAAAACACTATAAGTAGAGGGGGTGTTGTAATGCTGCCTGCTAGTGTTCTACTGTATAATTCTTCTCTGGAGGGACAAACAAAAAGCCATTAAGGTAGTACAAGCACCAGATGCTGAATTAATTTAAATGCTCACTACAACTCTTACTGTCTCTATGTACTTACTCTACATTAAGTTTCATCCATTTTTCCAGTTGATAAGTAATGTTTTGTTGTTTCCATTCTGTTAAATTTGCGACAAAAACCCCAGGATTAAAAGAGCAGGTGCTAGCTTTCATGGCCAGATTTCGAATCCTTTTTTTCTTATAGTCCAGAAATCCAATATAATTATACTGTGAACAGAATTAAAATGCAGTTTATTTAAACAGAACAATGAATATTTTGTGTTAATCACTGACCCGACCAACAAAGTGAACAAAATGATCAGTATAATTGACAGCTACATTATTGAAATATTGTACAGTCAAGCCTCAAATTGATATGGAAAATACTCCTGAGAATGTGTAATATGAAATTCTATAATGAGGGGAAAGAAATGGCCTGGTAGGCAATTACTGATGCTTTTAGCCACAAAATACTTCAATGAAAAAGGTAGGAATGAATATGTGGGTGTAGTTTTTGAAATCTGGAGAGCAGCATAAATGCCAAAAAGGAAACAGAATATTGTGCTTAAGGCTCTGGTGACACTGCCATTTTGTTGACACTGGTCTCAATAATTAAAGCTGTGTCTTCAGTTACTCTTTAGCTTATATTTTGATGGGTGATTCACCTGATTCCCTGCTCCATGGACAAAAACTTTCGCAGAAGTTGAATCACAGTCTTCTGAAAAAGCTGCTGCATGCCCAGGCTTCAAAGGTGTATTATAAAGGGCACGAATATCACCTGGAAGAGTAAAAAGATGCCTCAAGAGAGGCCCTGAATGCACCAAGTTTTCAATGAAAACGACTTATTGCCACTCACAGTTAACAAGTGTCCTAACAATTTAAAATGAAATCTGAGACAAGTTCAGTTAGCTGGATTAAAGGGGTTGAGAGCATGATGGAAAAAAGGTACCTTGTACTATTACATCATCATCCACATATATTGCCTTTTCTGCATTTGGAACCAAGTTAGGTAGGTAGAACCTTGCAAAGGTTAACTGTTAAAAGAAGAAATGTACACGGCTTGTAAACATTAATACAGCACTTTAAAGATGGAATGCTAGTTTTCTAGGGCTAAATAAACACATTTAAAGGATCAGGGCTGGTCCCAAGAAGCTGCTCATGTCACAGTCATGACAAGCTTTTTATTTATATGTATGTGTGTATATACACACACATGAAAAGTTCCAAGCACCCCTGGGTCACGTGAACCCCACAAGTTGTTATTGTGTACCAGCTTCAGGCCTCTCCTAGACACAAATGATGGATTGTACTCACTGGCTTCACGGAGTCCACCTGTTTAGGATCCACCTTTACTTTCCCTTCCAAAAGTTGAGGGTCAAAATCCACAATTTTGTATTTGATGTTTTTCAGAGAGCCACTATTGAGCCAGGATCTGACCATGGTAAAGCACCAAATGTCATGTCAGTCTTAGTATGTACATGATCATGTTTCAATAAAAATCAGACAAATGTGTCTTGTTCCTTAGCAACAGTACCAAGCATTTCAGAGTGCTTCTAAAGGGCCTGTGCAGGGGACAGAGTATTCTACCTACCTACCTACAGTCTGGAGCCCTGAGAAAGTGCCAGGGGTCCCCATGTAGAAAGTTTTCTTAAGAGGAAGGGAGGCATCATGGTAAAAGGGAAAGAGCACTGATTCTTGAGTCAGAACCCGAGGTCAAATCCCATCTCTGATCCTTACTGCCTTTGTGTGACCTGGGACAACACCTCCATAAGCCTCACTTTTCTGTAAAGTGAGGGGACTAGACTAGATGGCTCCTAGGGATCCTTCCATGATGCCATGAATCTGGGATTCAGCTATTGCGTTTTACTAGAGCCAATGCCATGCTACAAAATGCTGATTCTTCCAGTAAACATATATGTAAGTCTAAAATGGACAAACCCCAAGGGGAAATTCTAGTCAGCAAACTCAGACCCGAGCCAAGGACACAATGTAGTTGAGAAAAACAGGGTTCCTCTAGTCCCACTGTCTTACTGACTTCCCAAGTGAATTTGGTCAAGTAGCTTCCCCTCTCTAGGTCTCACTTTCCTCTAAAATGAGAAGCTCAGCTTTTATCTGAAAATGAATAAAGAACTTGAGAGAAGGTGTGTTTATTAAATTTGTGGCACATAAATGTAATGGACCATTACTGTGAGAAAAAGCAAATATGTGCCTCAAAAGATGCAAAGGGAAGTAAAAACAACATAGACAATGCCTACAACAATGTAAGTGGAAAGAATAATCAAAACAAAACAAATGTAAAACTGCAGAGAACCAATTTGGTCCCAAAGAAGAGCTACAAGATGCCTCTTCCTACATTTGCAGAGATGGCCTGGGGGAGGGAGTAGTGTTCTCATAGATATGAAACATTACATGGGGCAAATTTTTTCTATGTATTGATCAGTTTTACTGAAGATTGTTTATTTTTAATGTAAGGAGTAGCTCTGAGAGAGGAAATGGTACAGAGAAACTGAGGTAATGTAAAAACAAAGATATTAAAAATCTATTAAAATCTTGGGGTGGGGGCAGAAAGGAAATAGATCAAATCAATCAGTAGTTAACACTGATTAATTTCTTCCTCTTTATATCCAACACACTGCCTCCTAAATATATTCTCTGACCCAGGAAAAAGTGAGTTCAAAAGCGTCTACCAAAGAAGTGTCTTCCTACATTTACGATTAGTTTATAGCATACTTTGGGTTCTCAGTACATGCCATTTTAATAGTTTTAAAGCTGTATTTGTTCCTGGACTGGGTGGCGAGCAGCAGGGATAGGAATGAAAGACCCTCCAAAGAGCATTGTAAAGAGTGCCTATGATACCATGTCGAGAGTGGAGGGTGAGAATCCTGCTACCAGGCTAGTTGTGTTACTATGGGCAGGTCATGTATCAGCTTCCATTTCCTTATTTTGTAATGTATCCTAGCACTGTGTGATATTTACAGTGTTATGGTGAAAAGAGCTAGAAAAAGCTACCTTTAGAGAGTAAAAGAGTGAAACATTTTCCAACTCAGATGAGCTTTTAGTTTTTTCTTTACTAAAAGTTTTTCTTTAGGGGAAAGCTCTTGTCATTTAGGACTCAGCCTCAGCAAGGGACTTTAATGTTTTATGTCTGCATATATTGCATTAGGTGATGTGGCCTTCCAGATCTTCCCAATTCCTCTTCTCCTGCAGCATGGTATTAAGAACTGAGATAGGAACTTACCTAAGATGGTCTGCAGTATCATTCAAAGTAACAATGTAGAAAACCACATTGGAGTGGGTATTATGGTAAATACTATTCATCACTGCAATTGTGCCCCCAAGTCTGTCTTCAGATGCTGCAATGACTACAGGAATCTCCTCTTCACTCCTATAGATCAAGCTTTCAGGAGCATTAGGCACAAAGGCTAATGGCTGAAATCCCACAAGATTTGGATCTGTAGAGGGTAGAAAGACAAGGGTAAAGGGAAACAAGTTTGGTCAATAACACTAGCTACAAAACCCAAGAAATGGAGAGGTGTGGAAGTCAGGGAACAAGAATGGTAAAATGCCATAAATCCTCTCTGTAAGTTGCTACAGTAGCCTTGTTTCATTTATTTATTTATTTTTGGCTCTGGCTTTCTATTCTAAAGCACTATCCAAGTCTAAAGGAAAAGCAGACCTGAAAACCAATTTATGGGCTTGTTTAAGCTAATTGAGATTGTGCTGGGGGGTGTGTGGGGGGGGGTCTGTATGCTGTATGCCAATGTTGGAAATTAGACTTGAGGAACAATTCTATGCTTATTAATACACATGCAGTGCTTTAAGATCTGCAAAGCACGTTTCTCACAATGAGACAGGTAACATCTCCATTTTAAAGATAAGCAAACCAAAGCTGTGAACAGTATAATAGCACCCCTCTCATTTTCCAAAGTCTGTAAGATCTACAATCACAACAGTTTCCTCTTCCTTTCCCCGCCCTCTCTCCTGTAGAAGTAACTTGGTATGTAGTAAGTAAAAGATTACAGAACTATATTTATCACCTTTTAACCCATCATATCAATGGAAGAGAATGGCAATCTGAATTGTGATTTACTTTATAAGACCAATAAGGTCACTGTACCTGAGATCTCCCTCTTCAACAAATCACTCAAACCAAGGAAATTATGATGCAAAACTAGTAAAAAGAGAACAACAGCAAGGACTAGGATGATGATGTTCACTAAAACAAAAAAAAAGAGAAAAAAGAATTAAATGTCTTCTTTGTTATTTAACCAATTTCAAAAAGCTACAACTTGGAAAAAGCATGTACCTTTACGGAATGACATTTTTCCTTTCAAGCTTAAAAGAATGTCACTTAATAAGCCTGCAAGAGAAAACAGTAAAAATTACTGCGTGCACCTAGCCCTTATGGTTAAATTTTCTGGTGGCATTTCCATGAAGTTCAGCAGTAAAGATCCCAACCTATGATATTTCTATAAGTGATCTAATGTCCAAGTATGAGCTTGAAGTGCTGCTCCAACGGTAAAATCAACCGAAAAATAAAAGCAGGTTCAATATCAAGCAATTCACAATATTCTTTGGTGCTATATTACATTAACTTTAAAATTCCAAGTCCTCTACTTTATAGTGGTGCTGAAGTACAATTCTGTTATATGTCAACCTTCAGGAAACTTTCACCTAACTAAATTGATACCAACTGCTATGCCAGTCATTATGCTCTTGGCTTTGTTAGAGTGATAAAAAACAAACAAACAAACAAAACACCCCTACCATCGAAGGAAAGGAGATCAACTTAAGAATCAAACAAAAAAATTATGAAGGGAATAGGAGAAAGTGAAGTAGAGGGGGAGGAAAGCAAATTCAAAAAAGTTCAGGTGCTGATACACCTCGATTGACAAAGCACAATACCTCTTCCTTATGAACCGATGAGTCCTGTGGCTGTGTGGCACTGCTGGAGCCAGTGTATCATAGATGACAGAAGATGGAGTTTCTGGTTTGTGTATTTTTTGCTTTTATGCACAGGATTACCATCAACATTGAGTATCTGCTAAGCACCTGCTTTATGCCAGGTTCAGCTAGAGATATGAATATGAACAACACTGTGCGTTCATGGAGCTCATAACTTAGACTAATTGGGGAGTTAAGACTTGCTCACAAACAACAATAAAGGCAATAAATGAGAAACACAAGAATAGAATATAAGCAAAATACTCTGGGAGTGAAGAGATTGCTTATCCCTTACCAACCAATTACAAAATCTTGGGGTATTTTTCTTTCTATCTTACTGTTCTTGCTCAGTATCCTTTCTACTATCTCATATACATGGAGGTACCCCAAGGTTCTACTCTGTGTACTCTCTTCTATCAATACTCATGATTTCATCAGCTCCTATATATTCAACTATTATTTCATGCAGATGATTCCCAAATCTACACATCCAGCCTACTTCTCACTCCTGAGCTCTAATCCCACATGTCCAACTACTTGGTGGACATTTTCCACCTGAATGTTTCTTAGGTATCTCACACTCAACACACACAAAACTAGTCAGTCAGCCAAAAACTTTTATTACACACCTACTATGTGCCAGGCACTGTGATAGGCACTGGGGAATATAAAACAACAACAAGAAAAACCAAAAGACAATTCCTGCTCTTGAGGAGTTCACAATCTAATGGGGGAGACAACATATAAACAACTATGCACAAACAAGGTATATGCAGTATACGTTGGCAATAACAAATAGGGAAGGCCCTAGAATTAAGAGGGATGAGAAAGGCTTCCTGTAGAAGTGGGATTTTAGCTGGGACCTGAAGAAGCTAGGAGGTGGAGATAAGAAGGGAAAGAACATTCCAGGCATGAGAAACAGCCCGTGAAAATGCCTGGAGTCTAGAGATGGAACGTCTTGTTCAGAAACAACAAGGCCAGTGTCACTGGATCATGGGAGAAAGGTATAAGAATATTGGAAAGCTGGGGGTCGGGTGGGGTGAGAAGGTAGGTTATGAAGGCCTTTGAAGGCCAAACAGGTAACAAGGGGTTATGGGTGTTTACTGAGTAGAGGGATGATAGGGTCAGATCTGTACTTTAGGAAGATTACTCTGACAGTTGAGTGGAAGATGGATTGCAATAGGAAAGACTTGTGGCAGACAGCCCAATCAGCAGGCTACTGCAATTGTCAGGCATAAGGTGCTGAGGGCCTGCACACAGGTGGCTGTGTCAGGGGAAAGGAGAGAGCACATGGGAGAAATATCATGAAAGTAAAACAGACAGGCTTTGGAGAGTAAGAGACAGTGAGAAGTCAAGGATGACACCTAGGTTGTGAGCCTGAATGACTGGGAGGATAGTGGTATCTTTGACAGTAACAGAAAGGGCTGGAAGGAAAGGGTTTTGGACTTGTGAAGTTTAAGATTTCTATAGGACATACCGTTTGATACATCCAAAAGGCAGAAGAAGATGTGATACTAGAGGTCAGCAGAGAGGTTAGGACTGGATAAATAAAACTGACAATCAGCAGCAGAGATAACTGATTCCATGGGAGTAGATGAGATCACTAAATTGAAATAGCATAGAGGGAGATGAAAGCCCAGACAGAACCCCACGGGATAGCTATAGTTACTGGGCATGACATGAAGCAACGGAAATCTGAGAAGGTACAGTCAGATAGGTAGGAGAACCAGGAGAGAGTACTGCCATGAAAACATAGAGAGAATATCATATCAAGGAGAAGAAGGTAATGGGCAGTGTCAAAAGCTAAAGAGAGGTCAGGAAAGATGAGTAGTAAGAAAAAGACAAACTCATTATCTTTCCCCCTAAACCCTTCCTTCATAACTTCTCATGACCGTTTCCAGTCACCCAAGTTTATAACTTGACCCTTTAAGTCTAATACTCCACACAGCCAATAGGTTTCCAAGACTTGTTGATTAGATCTCCTTAACATCTCTCACTTCCAACCCCTTCTCTACTCACATCAGAATACCTGGACTATTATAACAGACCCCTAATTGGTTTCCTTGTATCCTGCCTCTTCCCTCTCCAATTCATTACATACACAGCTGCCAAACTGCCATTTCTAAGCATAAGTTGGACAACACCATTCCCTTGCTGAAGAAACTTCAGTAACTCCCACTGCTTCTAAGATAAAATACAAACTCCTTTGGTGTGGTGTTCCTTCAGTCTGCTTCCAGTCTATGTCTCTAATCTGTTACAAATTATTCTCCCTCAATCTACATTCCAATTAAAGTGGCCCACTTGATGTTCCTTATATACCCTGTCTCTGAGTCTTTGCATGTCTGCCCCTCACGCCTGGAATGCTCTCCCCTCCCATCTCTAGTGCCTGAAAACCCTAGCTCCGCTCAAGGCTCAACTCAGATGTCACCTCATCCAAAAAGCCTTTCCACTTTCATATCTCTCTCTCTCTCTCTCTCTCTCTCTCTCTCTCTCCCTACACACACACACACAGAGTTTTATTTTATTTTCAGTTCCAGGTTCTCTCACTTCTCCACCCCCCTTCTCCATCCCACTAAGAAGGCAAGAAAAGGAAAACCCATTACAAATACGAAGTCACGCAAAACTAATTTCTACATTAGCCATGTTCTGGGAAAAGAAAAAGAAAGAAAAAATTGCTTCAATCTGTACTCTGAGTTCATCAGTTCTCTCTCTGCAGGTGGATAGCATGTTTTATCCTAAGTCCTTCGGAATTGCAGTGGGTCATTCTATTGATCAGTTACTAAGTCTTTCACAAATTATTGTCTTCACAGTATTACTATTACTGTGGACATGTTCTTTTGGTTCTGCTCATTTCAACTTTGCATCAGTTCATATAAGTCTTCCCAGGTTTCTCAGAAACCATCCCCTTCATCATCTCTTACAGCATGACAGTAATGCATCACATTCATATGCCATAATTTACAGACCTAGTAGTGGTAGCCTATGTCAAAGAGTATGCACAAATTAATAGCGTTTGGGGTATATTTCCAAAATGTTTTCCAGAATGGTTGGACTAGTTCATAGTTCCATCTGCATTAATGTACTTATTTTCCTATATCCCCTCAAACATTTGGCATTTTCCTTTTCTGTCATCTTAGCCAATCTAATGGGTTCAAGGTGGTACTTCAGAGTTGTTTTAATTGACATTTTTTTAATTATTAGTGATTTAGAACATTTTTTTCATGAGTATTGACAAATTTGATTTCTTTTTCTGAAAACAGTCTGTTCACATCCCTTGACCATTACTTTGTATTTATTTTGTGCACGTGCTGTTGTTTACTTATGTGAAAATACTGCATTCTTCAGAAGGATATAAGTTTGTTGAGAGTGGAACTATATCAATTTGGTCCACAGCATGTACTTAATAAATGCTTGAAGAAATACATTCAATTAGATGAATGATCTAGTTGTAAAAATATATGGCTAGAACTTACAAAAACAGGCATTGGTAACATGTCCATACATTGAAAGAGAGGCCAGTTGCAAGCCTGAGAATAGAGAATGAAAAGGCCAGAAGGCAGAAATATACCCAATAGTGAGAATGATTTTTGAATACAAGCAGACCTAACCAGTCAGGTGAAAAGGTGCCTCTTTCTGTTATAAACTTGAATCATAGGAACAAGGAATTTAAACCTGCCTATCAAAAACTGATGTAGTTGTGTGTAATAACTTAGGCTAGGCAATAATTTTGGGATGGTTTGAATCTGTGACAGCAATGATCACGCAGGTGTGCTTCTATTGACATAAGGCTGACTCAAACTGCCCTACTTTAACCACTTGAAATCAAATTGATCTTGTTACCTAATCTTTCGTTGACTTTCTATCAGTTGGGTGATGGTGTTCATGCTATAAACATCTGTTTTCATTGATCTCTTTCATTGTGGTTTTAATTTTGTGGTTTTAAAGAACGGATATATTAGTTCTGATTCTTCCTTACAACATGACTAATGTGAAAATATGTTTAATAGGAATGTATGTGTAGAGCCTATATCAGATTGCATGCTGTCCTGGGGAGGGTGGAGGTGACAGAGGGGGGAAAAATTCAAAACTCAAAAGCTTATGGAAGTGATTGTTGAAAACTAAAAATAAATAAATTAATAAAAAAAAAATAAAGAATGGATATCAATCCACCACAGAAACATGCAAAAATTGTAGTTATTAAAGAGTACACTTCAATAACTATTAGAGAAATTGCAGAAAAAAAGTTGGTTTGGAGAAGTGAAGCATTTTAGGTATCATTCAAAACCATAATGAAACATGATTAGTCACATGGAAGCACAAAAAAAAAGTGTAGTAGAAAATGAAAAACACCAGGAGATGACAAACTATTGCTGGAAAATAGTAATTCATCCTTAGAAAGCAAACAAATACATTCAGAGGGACTTGGCAGCTAAAGGGATTTGTTACTAATTCCTCTAGGGGTGGCACATAATTCTTGGTTGGAAGAACAACTTAAAAAACAGCCACTATCGCTATGAAGCAAAAATGCTTGTCATTAGCAAAACAATACAAAAACTGTATTGGAGTACCTAAGATTTGACAAAGGTAATTTTTACTTATGAAACTCACTTTTCCTTCAGGGTTATACCAAAATCACTGTCAGAAGTGCAGGTGAGCCTGTAAGATCTGGGCATCTTCATGAGACTAAAACATCTGCCCCCAAAAATCTTCTGGAGATTTTTCACTTTCAGTGGACCTGGAAGTCTTTTCCCCATTGAAATAATGATGAACTCTGATAAACATAAAGGTATACTAAGAAGCAGAACTGTTCCAAAATTATAGAAATTCGCAAAAGGAATATGGAAACAGATGCTACAAGTTGTGAAAGATTAAGAAATTTATCTGAGATGGAGATAAACATATTTCTTTGGCTTGGGAAATCCAGATTTAAACCACAATGAAAATGAGAGAAACTTGACAAAAAAATGTATTGTTCATAAAACATACATGTAATATCTAATGTGATGAAAGTATATTTTTATGATGAAGAAAGTAATAATTTCTCCAATATGCCACTGTGAATCTTCTTAGTTATTAATGTTCTTTATATATTCAAATTATCTTATATTTACTTATTCGTGTAATTTCCTCAAAAACCTTTTTGTTTTATCTTCCAATCCCTAGCCACTAGTGAAAGACCTTACATGTGGTAGGTTCTTACCACAGAATTAATAAATGCCCTCTGAAAGTTGCAAACAAAGCATTATTTCCTATATTTTTGGAACTGTACCATCTACTTTGGCACACAGAACTGTATATCTTGTTACCTCATTACTACTCTACCCTTAAAGAGTTACTTTGTGTCATAGGAACTGTATCCCAAAGTACAGAAATATCTTTATCTGTTCCACTGTACAAGAGTAGTATCATTACTAGGAAGAACTGACAGACCATTACAGTTTAAATGGTTTTGCATAACAAAAGAAATCTGTTCCTCTTCTGGCTTTTGTTTAGCAATTATTCTTCAATGACAACAGTCCATATTTATAGAGCACTTTCCTTCCAACAACATGGTGAAGGTGAAAATGCAAATGTTATTATGTCCATTGCACAGAAGAGAAAACTGAAGCTTAGAGAACTCAAGTAACTTAGACCAAATCACAAAACAAAATCCAATGGCCTTTTCTCAACCCTCATTCTCTTTGACCTCTCTTCACTCTTTGACAAGGTTGATCACTCTCTTCTCCTGGATACTCTCTTCTTTCCAGGTTTTCAGGTCACTGCTCTCTCCTGGTTCTCCTCCTACCAATCTGACGGCTCCTTCTCTCTCTCCTTTGCTGGATCTTTCTCCAGATCATGCCCTCTCACTGGAGGTGTCCCTCAGGTTTCTAATCTGGGACTTTTCTTCTCCCTCTATGCTACTTCATTTGGTGATCTCATCAGCTCCCATGGATTTAATTACCTTCTCTATGTTGATGATTCTCCAATCTACCTATCCTGCCCAAATTCTCTATTGACCTCCAATCTTGCATCTCCAAGTGTCTTTCAGACATGTCAAACTGGATGTCTAGTAGATGTCTTAAACTCCATCTGTCTAAAATAAAACTCATTATCTTTCTTCTAAACTCTATCCCATTCCCCTCCTACCTTCCCTATTAGTGTAGAGAGCAACACCATCCTCCCAGTCTCTCAGGCTCACAAACTAGGAGTCATCCTGGATTCACTATCTCTCACCCCCCATATCTAAACTATTATCAAGGCCTGTTGATTTCACCTCTCCAACAATCTCTCAAATACACCCCCTTCTCTTATTTGACAATGAGACCACTCTGGTTGCAAGCCCTTACCATCTCACATCTTGATTACCGTACTGACCCATTGATGGGTCTGCTTGTCATATGTCGCTCCCCACACCCATCTATTCTCCATTCAGTCACTAAAATTACTTTCCTAAAGGGCAGGTATGATCACATCACTCCCTACTCAATAAACTCCAATGGCTCCTTATTACCTCCAGAAGCAAATACAAATTGCTCTGTTTGGCATTCAAAAACCTTCATAGTTTAGCTCCTCCTACCTTTTCAGTCTTTATATACCTTACTCCCTGACACATACTCTTTGATCCAGTGACACTGGCCTCCTCATAGTTCCACGGACAAGACACTTTACCTCTGAGCCCCAGGCATTTTCTCCAGCTGTCCTCCATGTCTAGAACACTCTCCCTCCTCTGTTCTGCCTACTGACCTCCCTGGCTTCTTTTAACTCCCAACTAAAATCCCATCATTTACTGGAAGCCCTCTCTAAGCCCTCTTAATTCTAGTGCCTTTGTTCTTTAATTATTTCTTATTATTTCCTATTTATCGTGTGTGTGTGTGTGTGTGTGTGTGTGTGTGTGTGTGTGTGTGTATCCTGTTTAGTATATAATTGTTTGCATGTTGTCTTCTCCATTAGACTGTGAGTAGCTCTTTGAGAACAGGGACTGTCTTTTGCCTCTTTTTGTATCCCCAGTACTTAACACAATGCCTGGCATGTTTTTTGTTGTTTAGTTGTTTTTTTCAGTTGGGTCCAATTCTATGATCCCATCTGGGGTTTTCTTGGCAAAGATACTTGAGTGGTTTGCCATTTCCTTTTCTGTTCACAATGAGGAAAATAAGTGTCTGAGGCCACATTTGAACTCAGGAAGATGAGTCTTCCTGATTCCAGGCCTGGTACTTTATCCATTTTGATACTTCACTGCCCTCCTGGCAAGTATTAGGTGCTTAATAAATGTTTATTGTTTCCTTCATTCAGTAAACATTTACTGAGTACCTATCCTGTGAAATTTGTTACATAATAAAATTCTATTGCTAGGAAAGATATGGCTTTCCAAGAAACTTGAGCAAATCATTATGTTTTTTACAATTCTACAGTTCCAATGAAGCATTATATCCAAAGTATTTAATGAAGCATTATAAATCACTACTCTGTACATTTAATTTTGGAATATAAGGTAGGATAGGCTATGCAAAAAGGCAATTCTATAACCGTTCATATTTATATAATGAAGGTTCTTAGAATGTAAGTAGTACAAACACTATTATCCTTCAGTTCAGGAAATGAACTCAGATACTATTCCAGGGTCATGCCACTGGTAGATGTCAGATATGACACTCACCAATATTTTCTTTCACACCATGGCTTCGCCTTCCTTCAACACAGAGATGCCAACAGGGCAAGCTGAAAAAGTTCTTAAAGAAACAATACGGAGGGACCAAATATCATTGTAAATACTGTATATAATGAAAATACTGAATATAGCTGAAAATACAGTATTTACAATGATATTTGGTCCCTCCGTATTGTTTCTTTAAGAACTTTAAGTGACTTACCTGTTTACAGGCAATGGTCCTGAAGGATGAAGAAGTCCTGAAGCTGAGAGTCATACAGTTATCTGTAGAAGGCCAAGAGAGAACATTTGACTGACAGGAGGCCTCATCTGTCTGAGGGCTGGGGCTTCTCTGCCATGTGGCAAGAGGATGAAGGTCCTTCTGGAGTTTATCAGGTCTTTTGGCGGTGGACTTTTGGGGCCCCTGTCCGAGGTTGAGCTCTCGGAGGTCCCGAGGTCCCCAGTGTGAGTCTCGCAGAAGCGGGCAATTCCCTTCCTTTCTCCAGGCCTTAGCTGCCTCAGCTATACGTTAGGGCTGAGGGCGGAGAGTGGGAGAAGCCAAGAGGAGATCGTTGGTTCCAGCCCTGACATTCTGGGAGTCTGAGCCCAGGGAGGGATCAGTGGATGGGAAGCCTCTCCAAGGCCCAGGACCCTCCTCCTCTGATGGGGGGGGGTTGGGGCCTCGAGCCCTCCCTTGGGCACGGGGAGTCCCTGTAGGGTCCGAGGCGGGGAAGGAGCCTCTTCCTGGGGGTTCCTCAGACGCCACGAATCCTTTGCCCGTGGGTGCCCAGGAGACATGGGGGGCTTCCTGACCCTGTGGAGGAGGCTGTGGTTATGCCAGCCTTCTCCCCCCTGCCTGGGCTGCCCCAGCCACAGCCCCTTGACCTGGGTCCCAGCCCCACCCAGGGACCCAGCCACAACACCCCACTACCTCACCTGGGACCTGAGGAGCCTTCCTCGAATCCTAGTCTGGCCCTGCCCCCAGAGCCTGGCCCCGCCCCCACCCGCCCCGCTCGCACGAAGTCCAGCCCCCGCCACCTCAGCGCCGGCCGACTGCAGCTCGTCGTTCGGAAGTGCTCGGGGCTGTCCTGGATACTGCCTGATAGACAGAGGAAAACGCCCCTCCTAAACCAGAAGGAGGGACCCTGGCATCCCTGTCTCTCAGTTGTCGCATCCCTGGGATCCTTTCCTCACCCCTCGTAACCACGACAACTGGGGCTATGGCAGTGAGAGAGCTTCCCGCGCGAGAAGGCAGAGTGTTTTGCTGCCCGCACCGCAAGGGGTCCTCCCAGTAGCGAGGAAACTGTTGCCATGGGGACATGACGCGAGCCAGTGGCCGTTGGGCCGCCGACTAGCTTTCGGGATCGAGTCCGGCGTCCGGGGCTGCAGCACCCCGCTTGAAGTCGGCACTGACGGCGACTCCTCCCCGAGGACGCAATGCCTCCCTCAGGCAGACCCAGCGGCCGCAGCCGCAGTCGCGCATGGTGCAAACCAGCCCCGAAGGCACACGTGGCTTAGCGACGGGGCGGGGCAGACCGAGCGGGCCGGCCTGCGTGGCGCAGACATCCGGTTCCGGGATCCAGATCTCTGCGCAGCCGGGGCGCGCCAGTCGGCCCTGTCCCCAAAACACGCTGCCTCGGGCCGTGCCAGGCCTCTCGTCAGGCCTCGACCCCGGCCACTCCCAGTCCAGATCCGCGAAACGCTCCTCTTCGGGGTCCCTGCAGCGCCGCCTGCCCCGGAAGGCAGTCATGTTGGACGGACTGAGCTCCCTGCCCACGCAGATGGTGAGTGTGCCCGGTGCAGCGCTCCCCACCCCGAGCGGAGAGCGAGAGGCGCTTGGTGTGCCAGGCTCCGGGCCTGCCCTCGAGCAGCTTGCATTCTTTCGGGAACTGGAACGCACGGGTGAGGCCTCCTAAGGCCCCATATATGTTTTTGGGGGGGGGGGTGGGCTTTGCACGTCTTGCATCCTTTCCCTCTCTCGGTCGTCTCTCCCTTCGCATCGCTTGGCCCCTGCCCCTTTCCCTTCTATCTTCAGGTTCTCAGGGTTTTTCCTTCCTTCGACTATAATGCTGTCATCTCGTTTTGGACCTCTCTGGGCCACGTACCCGATCTGCCTTTTCCAGTCGGCCAGCCTGGGCATCCTCCAATTTAGGTTTTTGTTCAAGCTCCCAGTTCCTCTACCAATCTCTCCCCCCAACCCAAAATTTCCAATGGTTCCCCGTTTGAATGCTGTTCAGCTATATGGCTAATCTGGGGCAAGATCTAAAATGAAAATATCTTGTAGAAAATGAAGGGTTGTTGAAGAAATGGTTGACTTTTCTTTTCCTTTTTTATTCCTGTAGGATTATAAGGGTCAGAAGTTAGCTGAACAGATGTTTCAGGGAATTATTCTTTTTTCTGCAGTAAGTATCCATCTTCATTTGTTTTGCTTTGCTCAGCTTAGCTTTTCCTAATAAGACCTGTCTCTCTCTTAGGTAATTGGATTTATCTATGGATATGTGGCTGAACAGTTTGGATGGACAGTCTATATTGTTATGGCTGGATTTGCTTTTTCGTGCTTGGTAAGAAATGCCTCTTTGGATCATGGGCTTCTTATATTGGTTGTTAATTTACTTCTTCTGAATTTTGTAGCCCTGATGGAAGAGTGTGAGATGAAATTTGGTACTGGCTACCTTCAGTATCTCCGTTACTGTCATTATAAGATAGTGTAATATGTATTAATCCCCACTTGCTAGATAGATGCTGTGCTGTACATCAGAATCAGCAGCAAACCAGATTTAGCTCTACCCTAGATGATATTTTTTAAATCATGGGCTTGAAAGGATTAAATCTCTTGTGCTCCCCGTTTCACTTCCCCCCACTGAGGACACTCCATCTCTGGTGTTGGCACAGGCAGTCCCCCCTACCTAGAATGTACTTCTGCTTCACCTAGTTTCCTCCACCGCCCCCCTTAAGTGCCCTCTTTAACATGAGGCCTTTCTAAAGGTTTCTTTCCCTTCAACTTATCTTGAATAAGCTTATCTGTGTATACATTGTTTTCCTTGGATAGATTCTTCACTCCTTTTTTCACTTTTGCCTTTGAATAATTATTATGTAACTGATTTTATTATCATTTTTGTGGTACCTGGCACGTAATCAAACCTTTCTGTACTTTTTCGTAGAGGGACAGCAAATGTAGAGGAAATTTCAAATATGAAAGACTAAACACTTAAACAAAAACAATTTAACTAGAAAAGTGCTTGAGAACACCTTGCGGGCTATTTAGGCATAGGTATGGGTGTATATGCAGTTTAAATGTGATATAAGTAAACGTGCATGTTTTGTGCACATGGAATGGTATAAAATGCTTCCTCTCTTTCCATTTAGAATGTGTATGTATTTTTGTAATCAGTCAACAAATATTTATTAAGCATTTGCTGTGTGGCCGACATTATGTAAGGTGATGGGGATACAAAGACAGAAGTGAGACAGTTCTTATTCTCAAGGTGCTCACATTGTACACATGGTGACCCACATACATATAAGTATATGTAAAATAAATACAAGGTAATGGTGGCGGGGGAGGAGGGAGGAATAGCAGCTCGGGAGTTGAGAATCAGGGAATGCTATTGTAGGAGGTCATATTTGAGCTAGGTATAGTTAGGTAGTGGAGGTGAAGGGGAGTGCATGCCAGGTCTGGAAGGTAGCCTCTATGAGTGCAGAGAGAAGTGGAATGTTGTATGTGGGAAACAGTAAGAAGGCCAGTTTGATTAGGCTGAGATGATATATAAGGACACTAAAAATGTAGGTTGGAACCAGGCGGTTAAATACTAAATAGAGGAATTTGTATTTGATCCTAGAAGGCCTGGGGAACCACTAGAAAGTTCTTGAATAGGGGAATGACACAATTCGTCCTGTGCTTTAGGAATGTTGTTTTACCATTCATTTGGGGGCTGGATTGGAATGGGAGAAATGAGGTGAGGAGACCAATTAGCTTCAGTAGGCCAGCAAGATGTTATGAGCGCTGTAACTAGGATTTGAAGAGAAAGAGTAGGACCGATAGAAGATGTCATGATGATTTGGTAACTGATTGGATTTGTGGGGTGAGGAGTCAAGGATGATACCAAGGTTGCACACCTGTGTGACGAGGATGATGGTATCCTTAGCAGATAGGGGAGTCGTTTTGGGGACCAGTTCAAAATGTCCAGTAGACAGTTGGTGTGGGGATGGAGATAGGATTAGGGCTTAAAACGATATACAGATTTGGAAATGATCTGCACAGAGATGATAATTAAACTATGGGAGCTGATTAGGTTGCCAAGTCAAAGAGTATAGACATGTAAGAAGGCCTAGGACACAGTCTTAAGATATACCCAGTTAGGAGCAGGATATGAATAATGTTATGGCAAAGGAATGGAAAGAGTGGTCAGACAGGATAACCAAGAGAAAATAGTGCCATGAAAACCCAGAGAGGCGAAAGTATCCAAGATGATAAAGTGGTCAACAGTGTCAATTAGTCCAGAGAAGTCAAAAAGGAATAAGAATTGAGAAGCAGCTATCAAATCATATTTGGCAAATAAGAGATAGCTGATAACCTGGAAAAGAGTATGTTCAGTTGAACGATGAGATTAGAAGCTATATTGCAAGTTGCTGAGGAGAGAAAGTGTGGAAGAAATGGATATGGGTAGACAACTTTTTTAGGAATTTGATTGTGAAAGGAAGGAGAAATATAGGACAAAAGCTTGGGGGGATGGTAAGGCCTAATGAGGTATGGTTTTGTTTTGTTTTTTTGAAAGTATAGGGAGATCTGGGTAGGTTTGTAGGCAACAGGAAAGGAATCAGTAGAGAGGAAGAGATTAAAGATTTGAGAAGATGGTGATTGAGTAGGGGCAAATATGCAGGAGAAGACAGAAGGGAAGCGATCAAACATACAAGTAAAAGGGTTGGCATTGGTGAAAAGAGCCATCTCTTCATCACATACTGGAATAAAGAAAATGGAAGAGAAGAGAGCTCATAGTGAATAGCTTCTATTTTCTCTGAAAAGTATAAGGCAATGGCTTCTACGAGAAGTTTGGAACAGCCCCTAGAGAGGGAGTTACAATAGAAAATCAGTTACCATGACAGTCATGGTCAAGAAGGCATCAAAACAACTTTCTTCTTATACCTTATTAAATGAGGTCCACATTGCTGTACCTTTACATTACAACAGGAACTTGGAATCAGTTGTAAATTAGTAGAGAAACACTGTAGACCAATGATTCATGTTATTTTGGACATTTGACTGTTGTATAAGGTATACATTTTCTCCCTCCCCTCATCAAGCTGACACTTCCTCCGTGGCCCATATATCGCCGACACCCCCTCAAATGGCTCCCTGTTCAAGACTCAGGCTCAGAAGACAAGAAACCAGGAGAGAAAAAAATAAAAAGGCATCCTAAAAATAACTGAAACACGTTACATGCTTCAACCTTACAACAGTCATTCTGTTCTTTGTGAAATCTTAATTTGTCATATCCAAAATGCAAAATAAAACTACCTACATTATTATTGCAGAGCTGTGCTTAGAGTTTATCTATTGTTTACTAAAAACAATTGGGTTTTGTTCATAAACATTTTTGGCTACTAGCTTGATAAATTTCCTGTGAAATGAAGGAAAGAAAAGTACTTGTATGGAATGTGCCTTGCAAATGTGCAAGTTCTTTGTTTGAAGCCCAGTAGTATTTCATAGATTATTGCAATTACGTATTTGATACACTCCATTTTGAATAATTAAAACAGTTCTGTGCTGTTTTTTCAATAAAACAAAGCTACTCCAGTACTACATTGATTAAAGGGTCTTTTGTGCAGTAAGTAGGCAAGAATAATAATCAGTTTTTATTGCTACTGCTTTTGTGAATGAAAGCAGACCTGTATACCATTTTTGTGGCTGACAGTTCAAAATAAAGCTTTTTTTTTTTTTTTTTTTGTGAGGCAGTTGGGGTTAAGGAACTTGCCTAGGGTCACACAGCTAGTGAGTGTTATGTGTCTGAGGCTGGATTTGCACTAAGGTCCTCTTAACTCTGGGGCTGGTGCTGTATCCACTACACCACCTAGCTGCCCCCAAAATAAAGCTTTTTAAATATTTTATTAACATGTAGCTCCCCCACCCCCAGAAGGCAGTAAGTGATAGTAACTTTAAATGATCAGCAGTCATTCTCAGTAACACTAATTCTGAGCATTAACTAAGTGGTATTCTGGGATCTGTGACTTAACTAAAATAAACTTCTTTTGTAGTACATTTCTAACTGCTAATTAACCAATGCCACTGGCATATAGAAGGTACAGTATCCATGCTTTCTTTCTGAAGTGAGCTAGAGAAATTAGAAAGCTTATTCCAGGGAGCAGGAGGAGGTAGATGGATGGCATGTATTCCAGAATTTAACAAGGAATGGACAGTTAAAAATAAAGGCATCTACAGTTAAACTTCATTTTAAGAATGAGCTAATGGTTAGGAAAGTAGAAGTAATTTTTATTTTTACACTATGATAGAAATATTTAAACCAAACCTAACAAAACCTCTTCAGTTTTTCAGCCTTAGCAACATCTGGTTTTAAAGTAATAAGCTACAAACAGGAATGTTTATGTGTCACAGAAACAATTCAGGTCATCAGCTTTAGGTCATCTTACTGGCCCTGGACTAAGGATCCTCTTAATACAATACAGAAAGGACAATGGTAAACTGGAGAGTTATCAGAATGGTGAGTTATCTGTACACAACTTCACTTTTTTTTTTTAAAACAGCTTTGCATTAAGTACCTACACGAAAAGCAATGCATTAGATGCTGGGGAAGATAATACAGTGTGTCAGAATTAAGGATGTTTAATCTGAAGAAAAGCCCTGGAGGAAGACATAGCTGTCTTCATGTATCCTATGGATTGTGGAAGAGAGAATAGCCGTCTATATAGTTGCCAAAGATAGACTGAGAACCAATGGATAGATGTTATAGGTAGGCAGATGTCATTTCCATATAAGAAAACTATAGCTGTCTTGAAAGAATAATAGACCTCGTAGGGCAAGGAGCTCTCCATCCATGCTGGAATTAAAAGAAAGGCTAAGTGACCACCTTTCCAGGATATGTGGAAAAGATTACTTTCATGGAGGGAAAGTTGAACTAGATGACATGATCAGAAGGCTAGAGCTCGAATGGGCCTTGGAGAAGACCTTTAAAAGAAGAGGAGATTCCAGTTCTAAATCCTGGGTCTCTAGACCCAGGAAACAGAGAATTAGTAACTTTACTCCCACATAAACCTAATAAAGATATTGTTAGAATGAGCAAATAAAAGACAAAGAGTTGGAGAAGATAGGTATTTGGAGCTGAAAAGCACCTTTAAGAGCATCTATTTCAATTTAATTTTTAAACATGCTAAGGAAGCTAAGATGAAGATGTGACAAACTTCCTAAGGAGGTTTTACCACAGCAGCAAGTAAACAGAAAAAGAACAGTGTAGTGTGTTAATGCATGGATTCAACTATCCCTGTTCTCCATTTCCTTGCAGATTTGATGCTTTTATCATCAAACATAATGCTTCCTCCAGTTTCTTTGAATTGTATGACAGTAGGACTAGTGCTGTTAGTAAAAATTTAGGTCATTTATGTCAGAGAGTTGTGGTTTATAAAGCATAAAAGTATTAAAAGAACACCATCTTGTAAATCTGACTCTGAGATTTTCACTATGTGTAAGATATGGCTTATGAAAATCCAGCATAATCTAATACCACTTGGCTTCAAGTCCCTGAAAGGAGCAGAGCTGTCAAGTTTATGAAATGAAGATCCACATTTTAATATGGCAGACTGTACAAAGGCCCAGTTTAGGAAAAAGTCGAACTGGAAGGGAATGCAGTATTTTAATGTAAATAATTTTCAAATGCTACAAAAAAGAAAAATGTCTCAATATTAAAATGTTAGTACTTTTCTAATGCAGTTCCCATTTACATAACATATTAAGGCTTATGAAGATTTTTCCTTACAAGCCTTCAAGGTTGGTAGTTTATTATCTCTGTTTTATAGTAGAAGAGGCACCTGAGAGGGGTAATGGCCACATGACTACAAAGTGTCAGAAACAAGATTTGAAGTCTTTTGATCCAAGTCCTATGTATTTTCCACTGCATACCAAAAACTGACTGAACAAAATTTATTTTATAAAATGCTATTTATTTACTTCATGGTAATTTTACCTGTTATAAAAAACAATTACTAAAATATACAAAGTAGACCTTTAGAACATGGAGGGATAATAAGTGTCATGATACCAAAAAAAGCAACCAAGTAGAATAAGGGAGCCTATGCAAGGGAGCTGAATTCTCTATTTCAGGAGGCATAAAATGCCTCAAATTCAGCTCAAAAGCACCTGGATTTTACTTACAAATTATTTCATTCCAAAAGGAATTAGCACTCAGGTATGTTCTGGCGATGAAAAAATGAACTAAACAAAGCCAGTATATAAATATATACTGAATAAATAAGCCAAAAGCACAACTTAAATAGGTTCAGTTCTACAAGTATCTTGTTCAAACTAAATGCAGTGAATTTTTAAACCTTTTTAAGGGTATAAAAAGTTATGTACAGCTCCATCCTTCAAATTTATAAAGATCATGCACTGACTTCAAATTATCAGCTCCCAATGTAGTGTTTACTAACATCACCACCATACTCTTATCATCAGGGATATTAGGTACAGCCACTTATTTCGGCAGCTTGTTACACTGCTACAGTCACCTAGAAAACCCCTGTATTCACACTGATCGCACTGCTCTGGGAGGTTTTGACTATTTTAGAAGAAATCCTGGATACACAATGGTTTCAAGCTGCTTAACCAAACAAGTTTCATGTAAAACATGAAATGCTTTTCCCACAATGTGTACCTATTTATTCATCTAAAAAAAAAAAGCTGCTTCCTAAACCAAACCAGTCAACACAGCACTCATTCATATCCATTTTTATACTCCTGCAAAACACAAAAATCCCAGAAAAACAGGCATAGCCAAATTCAGTGGCCACCAATCTGATGTGTTTGGTTGAGGTAATCCTTCCAGGGAAAAGAAAAAACAAACCAAACAACCTTTAAAAATAGGTCTTCAGTTCTGACAACAAATTAGGACAAGTGTTCAAAAATTCACATTTTCTTCAAAAAATTTCAGCAGTCGAGCTTTTGTGCTATAATTTACATATTTTTCACCCAAATGCTCCTGCAAACACACCTATGTGGAACAAAGAAAAATCATTATGAAAAATGTGCATACCAGATGACATTTACAAATATAACCCAAAGTACTACCAATTTCAACTGCCAAATTTGGGGGTGGATTGGTAGTAAAAGTTAAAGTTATAGCTTTACTTTAAGACATAGAGAAGCAACATAGCATGGTAGGTAGCAAACTCGCCTCAAAGTTGGCAAGACCCAGGTTCAAGTCTCACTTCTGACATACACTGGCACTGTCAGCATAGGCACATAGAGTATGTGGCTGCTTCACCTCAGTGCTCTAGGTAACTCGATAAGACTATAAATTCCAAAGAAGGTGTCAACATACATTGATACAGGGAGTTTCCTCACCTAGGGATTCCCTACTCTAATGAAATCACTGGTGTAGTCCCTAGTTCTGTGTGTGTGTGTCTGTGTGTTTATGTGTGTGTACTGAAAAATAACATTATAGGCTTCCTTCAAGTCATATTTAGGAGGAGGGGAAGCGTAAGTCTATATTCAGACCAATTCAGGCTTGAGTGTCTACTACATGCAAGGTGCTGTGCTCTGCAGGGGGAAATAACACTGCACTAAAAGTTTATCTATATACTTACTTCTCTCTTCAGTTCATCTTCTTCTTCCATGAGATCATATACTTTCTCTAGAAGCTTCACTCCCAATCCCTGAATTACATCAGCTCTCAAGACTTCAATCATTCTTCTGATCTTTTCAGAACCAGACACAACAGCTAAGAAATAAGACAAGGGCAACAATAACCTAAATCCATACACTCCATGGCAAGAAGAATGAAATACATTTATCTTGTTAAGTTATCCATAAAAAATACTTTCACATTTAATGAATTATTACATTCTACTTGTTGAGTACAATTTACAGAGATCTATACTTGAGCTCTGCTCTCACTGCGAATTTGTATACAAATGGTTTTATGCCATATTGAATGAATGGAAAATTAAGTACTTGCATCGTGCTGAGCCTGCTTGTGAGGGGCTTACATTCTAACGGGGAGAACGGGAGGTTTCATCTGTAAGTCAGATGGAAATGACACAAATAAGACATAGTAGCCCTCTTTATAATGCTGCCAGAAGTAATTACCAATCCCTAGTCACCAAATCCAAATGAGGTGAGCCTCACTTTAAGAGAATTAGATACATTCAATTAAAAATCAAGTAAATCAGGGAGGTGAGTTTCTATTACAAAGAAGCCTCTATAATCAATCAATCAATAAGCATCTATTAAGGGCTAACTGTGTGAGGCACTGAGCTAAATGCTTTGGAAACAAATGCAAAAACGTGGTCCCTATCATCAAAGAGCTCACATTCTAATGGGTGAGACAACCTGCAAACAACTATGTACATAGAAGACATAATCCCAGTGGGGATACGGAGGAATGGAGTCAGGAAAGGCTTTGTGCAAGAGGTGGGATGTAAATTGAATCTGTTTTTGGTTTTTTTTGGGGGGGGGGGTTAGGCAGTGGGGTTAAGTGACTTGCCCAGGGTCACACAGCTAGTGAGGGTTATGTTCTGAGGCCGGATTTGAACTCAGGTCCTCCTGAATCCAGGGCAGGTGCTCTATCCACTGCATCACCTAGCTGCCTTCTATAAGTTTAATCCTGAAGGAAGCCTAGAGGTGGAGGTGAAGAGGGAGAACATTCCAGGCACAGAGGACAGCCAGTGAAAAGGGCTGGAGTTGGGAAGTGAAGTGTCGTGTGTCAAGACGACACAACAAGAAGGCCAATGTTGCTAGATCACAGAGTATGTGGATGGGAGTAAGGTGTAAGAAGACCAGAAAAGCAGGAAAGAGCCAGGTTGTGAAGGCTCTAAAGCCAGAGAATTTTATATTTGATCCTGAAGTAATAGGGAGCCTGTGTATATGTCTGTGTGTGTGAATGACAGTGTGTGTCTGTGTGTATGTGGGTGTATATGTGTGAGGGTGAGTGAGAGAGAAAGTCTGTCAGACAGATCTTCACTTTAGGAAGATCACTTTGGTGGATGAGAGGAGGATGGACTGAAATCAGGAGAAAATGAAGGCAAAGAGATCAACAAAATATTGCAGTAGTCTAGGCATGAAGTGATAAGACCCTGTGCCAGGTGGTTGCTGTGAGTGGAGAGGAAGGAAGGTACATGAGATATGTTAATAGGCTTTTATGTGGAGTAAGTGTGAGAGGGTATTCAAGGGTGACATCTAGGGTGTGAGCCTGGGTAACAGGAGGATGGTGGTGCCCTCAGCAGTTAGAAGAAAGTTACAAAGAGGCGAGGGTTTTTGGGGAAAGATAAGTTCTAATGGGTTCACCATAGGTTCCATTAAATAGCAAGCTCTCCTAATATATCTAAAATGGGATGTTATTTACAAAAACCCAACTTTTCAGAGAAACACCTACTGCATAAAGCATGGTATCAACAGTACATCTTTACTCAAACAACTAGATTAAATTTCATCTGTAAATGGTAACATCAAATGTGCAAACTACTATTAAACTACTTTGGCTTTCAAGTAAGGAGATACTTTCCAGTTTGCTTCAAAAGTAACAAGTCACAGACCTGGAGAAAGTTCTTTAAGCCTAAGTTCCTCTGAATCCTCTTCAACCTTCCCATGCAGAATTAGTGTGTCTCTGTATTTTCGATGAAGTCTAAACTCTGACATAGGAAGAAGTCTTGGAAGATTCTCACAATTCTCTTTAGAGTCCATTTTTAGTGTCTGAGTCATCAGCTGTACCAAATCATTCATTTCATTTGTATGGCCTTTCCTGAAAAAGATTGCATTTATAATTAGTTTGGTCTTAAGAATTTTCATAAAAAATAGAATATACTCATGTTCATTTTTTTTTTTTGCTTTTATTAGATTTTTTAATGATTTTTTGAGGATTTTTTTCCTTATATCACCATAGTTTCCATCATTTGCCTCTCCCAGATGGTCATCCCATATAACAAATAGCATTTTTTAAGACAAAAAAAAAGACAGAAAAAACCCAGAATAAATGATCAGTACATAAAGTTTTAAAATAAGTGCAATGTGCAGTACTTGTACAGTATTCTGTACTGTAAAAAGGGTGAGAAGGAAGTGTCTTCTTATATCTTTTCTTTCAGCCATACTTGTTCTTTATAATTACACATTTACTTTTGCTTTTTTTGTGGTTCTTTCCATTTACATTATTGTAGTTACTATGTTCATTGCTTTCTTGATTCTGCTTACTTTGCTCTGCATCAGTTCATAGAGATCTTTCCATGCTTCTGTGTATTCATGACACACATAATTTCCTATAGCACAGTAATATTCCATTACATTCATGTAACAATTTGCTTAGCTATGCCTCAAATACTGCCCCCCCCATTCTTTGCTATCACAAAAAGTGCAGCTATTAATATTTTGGTGTATAGGGAACTTTTTTCTTATTAATGGTCTCCTTAGGGTATAAGCCCAGAAATGGAATCTCTGGATCAAATCATATGGACATTTTAGCAACTTTATTTGCATAATTACAAGTTGCTTTCCAAAATGGCTTTTTCTAATTCAAAGTTTCATCAGCCTTATAGAGGGTGTCTATCCCACATCTCCTCCAACATATACTACTTCCATCTTTTGTCATCTTTGCCAATTTTCATGGTGTAGGGTAAAAACTCAAGAGTTTTTTTGATTAACATTTCTCTTATTATGAGTGATTTGGATCATTCCTTCATATTTTCAATAAGCTTGCAATTTTAGGGAGGACTGTTTGTTCATATTCTTTGCCTACTTGTCTATTGAAGAATGACTACAGGTCTTTATATGTGTGTGTATTTATACATACATATGTTAACTATTTATATATCTTGGATAACTAAGATTTCTCTTTATCAAAGAAATTTGGCACCAAGATTACCCCTTCCCCCATTTACTGTTTCCCTTCTTATCCTAGGTGCATTTTGTTAGGCAGAAGCTTTTCAGTTTCATGTTAATCAAACTTATCTATTTCATCTTTTGTGATTGCCTCTCTCCCTTGTTTGGTTAAGAATACACCTAGTAGGGGCAGCTAGGTGATGCAGTGGATAGAGCACAGGCTCTGGAATCAGGAGGACCTGAGTTCAAATCCTGCCTCAGACACTTGACACTAGCTGCGTGATCCCAGGCAAGTCACTTAATCCCAACTGCCTCACCAAAAACAAACAAACAAACATCTTTTTTTTTTTTTTTTCTTTGCTTAGGTGATTGGGGTTAAGTGACTTGCCCAGGGTCACACAGCTAATTAGTGTTAAGTGTCTGAGGTCATATTTGAACTCAGGTCCTCTGGACTCCAAGGCCAGAGCTCTATCCACTACACCACCTAGCTGCCCCTACATCTCTTACCTATAGCCATGAGAGGTACATGATTTGCTTCTCTTCTAATGTTTTAATAATATGATCTTTAATATTAAGGGCACATTTGGAATATTAAGGTCCATTTAGAATGTATTGTGGAATACAGTAGAGGCTATTGGCCTAAGCTTAATTTCTGCGAGACTGTTTTCCAGTTTTCCCATCAGTTTTTTAACCAAATAGGCAGTTCTTTCCTAAATAACTTATGTTTTCTACTTTATCAAGCACTGGGTTATTGAGTTCCTTTGATTCTGATTTTCCTTTGACCAGCCCTGGAACTTTCCCCGGTCAGGCTGAACCAAAGTATCAGTTTGATAATTTGACTGGTATAGCATTAAAACTATAAATTAACTTTGGTATTATCATTTTTATTATATTGGCACAGTTCAGCAATGGGCACTGAATATTCACCCAGATATTTTAAGTTCTTTATTTTTTTAAGAAGCACGTTGTAATGACCCACATGTACAAAAATGTGTATAGCAGCTCTTTTTGTGGTGGCCAAGAATTAGAAATTGAAGGGATGCCCATCAATTGGGGAATGGCTGCCCAAGTTGTAGTATATAAATATAATGGAATACTATTGTTCCATAAGAAATGGAGAGCAGGCAGACTTCAGAAAAACCTGGAAAGACTTACATGAACTGATGCTAAGTGAAATGAGCAGAGCCAGGAGAATATTGCACACAGTAACAACCACGTTGTGCAATGACTAACTTTCACAGACTTAGCTCTTCTCAGCAATGCAAGGATCTAAGACAGCTCCAAAAGACTCATGATGGAAAATGCTATCCACATCCAGAGAAAGAACTATGGAGTCGAATGCAGACTGAAGCATACTATTTGCTTTTGTTGTTGTTTTGTTTCTTCTTTCTCATGGTTCCTCCCATTGGTTCTAATTCTTCTTTATAACATAACTAATGCGAAAAGAAAAAAAAAAGAGGAAAAAAAAGAAACACTCTGTAGTTGAATTTATAGAAAAATTTCTGTGTTTTGGTAAACTGATCTCCAGATATTTTATGCATTTTGTATTTATTTGGAATAAAATTTCTCTACTACTGCTTCTTGAATATTTATATTCTATTATATATAGAAATGCTGTTGATTTTTAAGGGCTTATTTTGTAGCCTGCAACTTTGCTAAAATTGTTTCAATTAGAATCTGTCAATTCCCTAAGATTTTCTAAGTAAACTATCATATCATCAGCAGATAGGGATAGTTTTATTTCCTCTTTACCTAACTTAATGCCTTTAATTCTTTTCTCTTCTGTTATTACTATTGCTACCATTTCCAGAACTAAATCAATAATAATGGAGAAAATAGGCATCATTCTTTTACTCCCACAGGTTTTGGGAAAGATTCTAGTGTATCTTCATCGTATATGTATGATGCTAGCTTTTGGTTTTAGATACTTTTGATGATATTTAAAAAAGGTTCCTTTCCGCCTACACTCTGTAGGATTTTTAGCATAAATGAGTATTATACTTTGTCAAAGTCTCTTTCCAAATCTATTGAGATAATCATATAGCTTTGGATATTTTTGTTTTCAAAATAATTATAATTATTTTCCTAATGTTGAACCATCCCTGCATCCCTGTTATAAATTCAACCTAGCTATGATGAATTATTTCTTTGATGAATGGCTGCAGTCTGTTTTTATTTAAAATTTTGGAATGAATATTCATTAATGATACTGGTTTATATAGTTCTTTTATGCTTTATCCTTCTCTGGTTTAGGTTTTAGGACAACATTTGCCTCATAAAAGGAATATGGTTTTCTTTCTAGAAATATTTTAAATGGCTCTTTTTTGTCGAAGTTCATTTTTTTTCCATTAATGGTTTGGCTCAGGTTCCAAGGGTACATCACCCTGAGGTGTAACTTGAGCTTCTTTGCTGTTCTGAATACATTCCATTCCCTTTTGCTATTTCTTGTGGGCATAGGATAATTGTATGTTGTTCAAATTTCTTTTCCTTTATATTTGAAGTTGCTTGCAGAATTTGTTGCTTATCATTAGAATTATTAAATTTAAACCTATGTATTTTGGAGTTCACAACACAGGGTTTTTTCTTGGAGTCAATTTCTGGATTCTTCTGTCATTTTACTTTCTATATTCAGAAGTTCTGGGTAGTTTTCTTGTATTATTTCTTGCATTATCATTTCAGGTTTTTGGCTTGTCATGTTCTTCTGGGAGACCTATAATCCAAGTTCTTTCTGTGCATAGTGTCTCAGAGATAAATGTTTACGATCACGTTTTCTTTTTAACGTCATTTTGCTTCTCTTCTTTCAGACTGTCCTTTACTTCTGTGTACATGCATTCCCAATCAGTTATTTTCTCTTTTGTTTCTTTGTTAAGACTTAACACTATAGATCCAGGTTTTTAAATTCTGCTAATTACTTCTACTGTGCACAAAGAAATAAGAAAGCAGAAAATAAATTCTGCTTTTACAATTCTTATTTCTCTTTTAACCTATTCAGAAACATCCTGCTGTAGTTCCATACTTCCTTAGGAATCCACAGGCTCTCTCTCCTGAAGTGTTGAATCATTTTCCTTTGTGTTGCAATATTTATTCATAGATGTCTGGACTCTTAGCTATTCTCGAAGCCATAGTCCCTTCTGTTATTAAGGTTTTCACTGTTGATTTATCTGCATTTGTTCAAAATCTTTTAGTATTCCTCCTCCTGAGATCTTTAGTTAATTCCAGACTTTTATTCCCCCCTTATATTCCCTTATTGCTCATTTTCTGATTCCTTCCCTTTGTTGGTTTCCCCATGGGCTGGCTCCTCCCTCCCCCCCCAAAGCTATTTCAGACTCTTTCCATGCTGGGCAATTCACATTTCACAGGCCTCAGTCTCTGCCCCAAGTGACTTCTGAAAAAGCTGGCCTAAGGTGGATGCTGGGCTCTTTTCCCTCAGGCTTAGTGGAGTGCCTCACAGTCATACATCTGTCCTACCCCAGTTCCTTCTGTTCCTCAGTATTCTGACTGAGCACTGCTGTTATATGAAGTGTGACTGAATTATTTTCCCAGCCAAGTAAGCTTCTGTCTTTTAATTCTCTGCCACTGGGAAGAAGCAGGGTAAAGGCAGAAGAGAGTTTCATTGCAAGCCCGTAAGTGGTCAATGCAGCCCTGTATAAGGGGTATAATGAGTGTGGAGTGAACAAGTTAGAAGTCAAGGATTACTCTTCCCTGCTGTTAGCTCACTGAATTGTCACCTTCCTAGGGTTGCTGGTTTCCCAGACTGTGAAGACAGTTAAGTTGTTTTACTTTTTGCACATAATTCCTGTCTAATATTCTACCTTGTTAGTTATGTGATCTGGAACACTCATATTTTATTTTCAAGTCAGAATTAATTTGAGAGTAGGATGATCAGCTTTTCAAGGAGAATTTTTTAAATCTTTATTTGTCCAGTCTGCTTTCTTTATGGCCTTTCCCAGTTTCCTTGGTAAAGTGGGACTTTGGAGTGTAGGGTGAATGGTGTGTGTATCTGTGTATACACATATTTAAAGACTTACTAGGACTAAACACTACAGGAAACATACAAGGGTGTAAAGAAAACCTTACAGAGTTTTTATCAGTTAACATGGCCCGATATGGATTCATGGGAACCTGTCTTGTACTTATGAAATAATGTATATAAATTCCCTCACTTCACATTGCCAACCCTTTTTCTCCTCAGATTTTTTTCTAGAATCATCTTCCAGTTTAAATGTTAGGTCAATTTTTATCTTTTATCCAATGGATCAGAGGTTTAGCAAACCTACTAGTGTATGAGTTCTTTGACAATCTGTTTCTTCTACTGTAGGTCCAGGTGTGGGGGCCTCTATCCCTTTTATACACTCTACTCCCACTGGACTGACTCCGGGCATCCAGCCTGTAAAGAACTCGCCATTGCTTCCCTCATCCAAGTTCCTTTGGATTATGAAATTGAAACATTAAGCTAAAAGTAAATGGTGGAAACAGAGCCATATCAGTAGGATAATTTAGGTGCAATTATCTGAAGGCAGGGCAGAAACTAATGACCTTTCACAGTCCTATGACCACCATTTCCAACTTAATAGCTGCTTTTAATTTTATATTTATCATAGTCATAGATTTTCCCCCCATTAATATTCAAGTAAAAAACCAGCAGCTTGAAAGTTACATAATCAAAATGACCCAGTCCCATAGAAGAAATGAGAAAAATGCAGTTTTTTGTTTTTAGTAAAGAAGTGGATGGTAGGGGATAAGAACTATGGATGTAGAATGGTGTATAAACTATAACATGGTTTATGTACTGGCTCTTTTTGCTGAATTGTTTTTAAAAAATCTTTGTTACCAGGGAAAGCTCCCTGATAAGGAAGACTGGAGGGGGATATTCAGGAATGAATATGATATATAAGCAAAAAGCATCATTAATATATACCTTACAAAGCACCCCAATTTGAACTAAATTTACAACTTCAGTATTATAGAAAAAAGAGCCAACATTGGTCTTCTATGTGAATAGAAGTATGCAAGAATCAGGTGCATTCACTAGTATGCATAATTAAGATAGAACACAATTTTAAAAACACAGACTTGCACTGGCATATTTGGATTAACCTATGAAGACAGGTTAAAAAAAAATATACCTACCCTTCCTTGGAATCTCCATCTGACTTATCAGTTGAACTTGTAGAAGAACTTAATTCATCCTCAGACAGACAATGAACTAATTTCTTTTCCTATTGGCAAAACAAAATTCTCAGTAATTACATATCCAAAATGCAATTATATGAAACAGTCTTGTGTGTAAGGGGGCATGGATCCAATTTGACATTAGTTCCTAGGACCCTTAGTTGTACACAACCACACCGCGCTTGTGCTATGCTGATGCGCTTAGCCTGTAAACCCCCTCACTGCGCTTGCTCTATGCTGACACATCATTATATAATCATACTTAATGTAAACTTATGAGCTTATTGTTGGCATGATGCCTTCTTTGTGTGTTTCTCTACAAATCAAATGAGCACTTCTGTATAAATCAGTAAGTGCAGAATGTGAAAGCAGAAAAGCTGTGCTTGTCTCAACCTGCCGCCATCAAGAATTAGGGGGATGCTGTAGGGATGGGTGCTCCTACTCCTCATCTCACTGGTCCCTGCAAGCGTAAAATGATTAAGCAGATGCTGTAGAGGCAGATGCCCCTATCCCTTGTCTCATTGGCTGCTGAGAGAAAGTAATATAACCCCCTACCTAGGGTTCCATTATCCTTTAAGTCTGCCCGAATCTAGTGAACCTGCAGGCAGCTGAGGAGCTTCTGTGTTACAAATCTTAAGCTAAAGCAACCTATATCTATCTAGCTACAGTTTAACTCCTCTGACCTAATCCATTATTTCTATTAGTAATACCACTATTCATCCAGACTCCTATGTTTGAAAACTTAGTGTTATATTAGACTCTTCCCTCCCTCACCTTTCATATCCAATTAGTTATGAGGTCCTCTCATTTTTACCTATGCAATCTGTCTTTCAACCATCTCTTACTTTATTTCCACTGCCACCATCTAGGCATAGACCTTCAGCAGTAACACTCACCTGGACAATTATATTTGCTTCCTTTCAGGCTTTCCTGTCTCTATTTCTCCTTCCAAATCATCCTTAACACTACTTTCCAGCTAATCTTTATGTATAGATTTGGTCATATAAAAAAATCTGTAGTAGCTCCCTTTTACCTAATAAGTAAAGTTCAAACTCCTTAGCCTGAAATTCAGAACCCTCCAAAACCTGGCACCATTCTATCCTTCTAGCCTAATACTGGTCCCCCCTCCAAGTACTCTAGATCAGTGCTTTTACACTGTAGGTCAGTTTAAAATTTGGTAACAGTTAAGGTTTCTGAATGCGTAACAACTAAAAATTAATTAAAAATCAAATGTGTAATGAATCCAAGGTGTTTCTGGCATCACTTGTCCATATTGTATAGTGCAACTTCACTGCAGCCTTGAGTCAGAACACATATCATGCGCACTTTGCACTATGCATGCCATCATGCCCTGCAACATCAACGAACACTGCTGAAATGCAAAAAGGGGTTGCAAGTAGAAAAAGTTTAAGAAGCCCTGCTCTACATTATAGTCCAACTCAGCGACTTGCTATGCTCTACATTATAGTCCAACTCAGTGACTTGCTATTGTAAATAACCTGCATTCTCCTTCCTCCATGCCTTTGCTCATTGCTGTTTCCTGTGCTTGGAATTCCTATCCATCTTTTTTCTTCCTATCTTTTAAAGCCTAACTCCTATGAAACCTTCCTTATTTCCTTGAAATTCATGTAACACTTTGTTTTGTTGCACCACTTTAAGGAGTTACATAACACTACATTACAGGCATTTACATTTGTGTGTTATTCCCCTAGACTTTAAATTTCATTAAGATAAGGACCATGTTTTAACTAACCTCAGTAGCTTCACTTAGGATAGTGCTCTATAAACAAATGATTAATACTTAATACATATTTGGTGAAGAAGATAGAAATTACTCTGTAAACCAAAATTCTTTACTGGATTGAAAATTAAAGCTCTTCTCACCCAGACCACAAGTGAAGCCTAAAGAGCAACATGCTGAAGTCCCACAGTGCCTCAGGGAAAAATTGACCCTAAAGAGAAGTATCCTTTCCCACGAGGAAGAACAATTCTAAATAGTGCTCAAATCTTTCAGTGTGACTAGGACTAACCAACATGGGCCCTGACTTATTAGATTAGCCATCAAATTCTATCCAAGAAATGGTGGTTAAAGCTTGATTATGATGCAGGAACATCTGATAAACAGCTCAGGAGGAAGCCTCATGTGGAAGACTGAAATGTATTAAGTGCATTCAAACCTGTAATTTGAACTAATTAGGGCTTAGGTCAGTCTGAATTAGTGGAAACATCTGAATAACAGAATGTTTGGGTTTTTTTTTTTTAAAGAAATGAAACTTGATTATTCTCAGATATAAGTCTTGTTTTTCACCATAATGTATAGTGCCAGGGTAGAATGGCAAAAAACTGCTCTTTCTCCTATGTGTTGTTATTCAGTTAGAAAAAGTTTATCACAAGTCAAGAAATATATAATCCTTTTTTCCCACTAGATGACAGTCATGCCTCACAAGTACGGAAAAACAACGCCCAAGTTCTATTACAAATGTACAAGAAAGAAGAATGTGGAAGAGACTGGTAGTGAAATGAGAAAATAAGGAATTTTTTTTCTTGCCAGTTAGATAGGCATGTTGGCAAAGTGTGTGTGTGTGTGTGTGTGTGTACGTGTACCAAGAACCAAGCTAACAAAGTTACAACCTTGGGCTACTCGTTTTAGTGATGAGTTATTAGCATAATAATTAGTTGTGTATGAATACAGTCTAAAGTTTGTTCTCTTCCAATATCATCACCCTTAATCAATAAAAATTTTATTAAGTGCCTACTATGTGTGGGAATACAAAGACAAAAATGAAAAAGTACCTGCCCTTAGGGAGTTTATATTCAATTGGAGAAGACTCCGTGTACATATATAAGTATATATGCACAATCTAGGGTTCGGTTAGGGCCCAGGGCTGGCCTGGTGATTTCACTGGCAGAGGGAACTCCTGTGGAGGCATTTCCTCCCTAATGCAGGGTAGCAACTTCTCTGCCACTTGGTGTTTAAAGGGCAGTTGGGAGCAGCCAGAGCGACTGGCCATCATGAAGCTGAGATAAGATTTCAGCCTGGTTCTTCTGGCTCTAAGGTCAACCTTCTGGGCACTTGGCCACACAGTCTCTGACTTGCATGACACCCCCGCCATTCAGGCTTATCCAGTAAAATTAATGACCAGAAGCTCAGGATTGTAACAACAGAGAACAGATACAAGGCGACTGGGGACCACAGGGAAGGCACTAGAAGCCAGGGAGGGGAAGGATCAGGAAAGACTTCATGTATCAAGTGGTACTAGAGGTTGAAAGGAAGCAAAGTATCCTAAGCTCCCCAAGTGAGAAGGAGAGGGCAGATTTCAGGCAGGGGGACAGCAAATCCAAAGGCAAGAGTGTTGTATGTAACAAAAAGCAAGGTCAAGTCTCCCTGGACCACAGAGTGTATGAAGAGTGCATATGTAAAATGACTAGGAAGGCAAGTTGGAGCCACATTAATAAAGGGTTTAAATGCCAAAGAGGAGATTCTATCGGAGCCCAGAGGCAACAGGGAAAACTGGAGTTTACAGAGTAGGGGAATGACATGGCCAAACCTGCACTTGAGGAAAATACTAGGCAGCTGTGTGGAGGGTGGATTGGAGAGAGGAGGGAAGTGGAGTAGGGAGACCAATCGGGGGACTCTGCCACAAGTAAGGTGAGAAGTGATAGAAGACTGAACTAGGACAGTAGCATATGAACAGAAAGAAGGACGTAGGTGTGAGAGATATTGGAAGGTTGACATGATAAGACTTGGCAACTGATGTGGCAGTGACAGGAAGGAGTCAAGGGTGACCCCACGGTCATAAACCTGGATATCTGGAAGGATACTGCTGTCCTCAACCAAGATAAAGAACTGTGGAAGAGGGATACATTTGGAAGAGAAAGATAATGAGTTCAACTTTGGGTATGTTGATTTCGAGATCTCCCATAAGACATCTAGTTCAAAACATGCAAATGACAGTTAGTGATGTTGGAGTGGTGAGAAGAGAGACTAGGGCTGGATACATAGATTTGGGGATCATTTGCATAAGGATAATAATCAAATCCATGGGATCTGAGGAGGTCACCAAGTGAGAAAGTACAGAGAGAGAGAGAGACGGGAGTCCAGGGAACACCTAAAGTTATAGGGCTTAACATAGCTGATGATCCAGCAGAGGAGACTCAGGAGAGGTCAGACAGGAGAACAAGAAGAGAACCCATAATGAAGAGTGATTCCAGGAGGACATACAACCACTAGGGACAAATGCTGTAAAGTGGTCAGGAAAGATGGGGATTGAGAAAAAGCGATCAGATCTGGCAATTTAGAGGTTAGAAACTAGACTACAAGTAGCTGAGAAAGGAGCACAGGGAGCGTGGACAGCTTTTTCTAGAAGTATGATTAGGAAGAAGAGAGATATAAGACAATTGTTTAAAGGGACGGTACTGTCTAATGAGTTCCTTTTTTTTTTTTTTTTTAAGGACAGGGGAGACCCAGATATGTTCACAGGCAGCTGGGAATGAACCGATAGGTAGGAAGAGACTGAAGATTTGAAAAAGAGGCGGTTGTGGAGGCAATCTGCAGGGGAAGACAGGAAAGGATGAGATCAAAGTTTGGCCTGGCCGAAAAGGGTTATCTTTTCATCAGAGACTGGAGTAAAGAGGAGAGGACCTTCAACTATTATTTAAGAAACTTTTTATAGATGGGACAGAAGCAAACTTTATCCTTGTCTCCTCTAACTGAATGGAATTCTCCCTGATGAGGTTCTGCTGTAAAAAAAAAAAATGAATTTAAACATTTCCAAATTAAGGAATGTGGCTTGTGGCTTACCTGAGAGGTATCCACATCTGAAGATAACTGATGAGCTATCACGTGCTCATTCTCTACGTGCAACTTCATTCCTTCTCCCGCATCCAAAGAGCCTCTTCTCACTGAAGGACCTGAAAAAACTATCAAAGGCCATCTGGCTTAAAACCAGGGACATCAGTCAGGCAGAGTAGGAAGGAGCTAGTAGAAAGAGCACTGTCCTTGGACTCAAAGAATCATAGATATGGAGCTGGAAGGTACCTTAGAAGCCATCTAGCACAACCCCTTCATTTTACAGATGAGGAAACTGAGACTTGGAGAAGTATGGAAGACTTAGATTTGCGTTATCTGGCATGACACTAGCCATTTGGTTATCGGTAAAACAATTAACTTCTGAGTCTCAGTTTTCTTATTTGTAAAATGGGGATATCTATACTACTCACGAGTTGTATTACACTCTTTAAAGCACTGCATAAATGTTATCTGTTTAAACATCTTGCTCATTTCTTAATAATCCCTAGCTACGGACTACCCTCCCCAATAGCCTTAACTCTCCATTCATGTTCTTGAGCACAAGGGGTTGAACCTAGATAAATCAAGACAAAGTTTAGAAGTGGAAATACAATAATTCACTTGAAAAATCTACTGTATTCTCTTGTGTTAGTTATGCATACTTAGGGGATTACATTTTCCCAAACCAAAACCAGGTATGAACTATGTTAAGACTATCTAAATTACTTTGTACTAGTCAAAATCTCAAAATGGATCCTGAAAGTTCCTATACCTCATCAAGTATAATTTCTTTTCTTCATATCTTCACCCAGAAAAAAAAAAAATTAAATACATGTACTCTCTCCCCCACCCCTCACCCCAGGGTTAAGGGAGGGAGAAAAGATCTTACCAGTGGGAAATATCTCTTCCTGTGACCGCTTTAGTCTCCTTCTTTCTCTGGCGGACAAAGGTCGATCCTTTTGAAGAAAGAGAGTTAAGAGTTACTCCATCACTAGCGCATGAAAATGTTCTGCACCAGTCTTCAAGGGGCACTTTGAAAGTAGCCTCTTTCAATGTCAAAGCCACTGCAGCTATAAGCACACATACTTAGGAGGTTCACACATGAATAGTTTTCAATGCATTAAAAAAATCTACCTAACCTTTCTTAATTTCAAATTTTTACATTGGAACTAGCAGGGGACCTGAACCAAGGAAGCTGCATGCCTGCTCGACTAAGCAACCCCAGGGGCCCCTATTCTATAATTTGCCAATGTTCTTTCTCATTATGGAATTGAGATACCTTTCCATCTTTCAGTAAACTATTCTGCAAACCAGGACTAGGAGAATAATAGTACATTTCCCCATAGCAGCTTAAGGTTTACAATGAAGTAGGTATGGTATTATTATCATCATGTTGTAGCTGAAGAAACTGAGGATTGTGTGACTTGCTTAGGGTCACACAACTATTAAGTGTAAAAGTGGGATCTGAACCAGTTGTTGCCTCTAAGTCTATTGTTGCTTCCACAACACATGCTGTCCTCAACTCCACAACTTACCCTGGTTCTTACATCAAAAAGCATTACAAAGGCTAAGTCAATTTCAAAAAACTCCTGCAAACCTTGGAGGATGTTATCTCACTGCTTCTTGAACTGTCCACAGACACCATTACTTCTGTGTTATGTTTATCAGCATCCCTCTGTGTCATCTTCTCAACTACTTTACTAGCAATGGGAGGAGAAGGCAAAGGTCTAGGAAGCACTTCCTGGAACTTAAAAAAAAAAAGAAAATATAAGACAAGTTCAGTTTCATATTCATCCTTTCCTATTTTTCACTTCACATTATAATCTCCCAAAACTGTTTTCCAAAAGCTTGCTTTAAAAAGCTACAATGTTTATAATTTTATAAAAATAATCCACCCAATATTATCCACTCTCTATGAAGCCTAGAAGGAAGAATATTAGAGGAAACTCCTTCAAGAAGTCAGCCATCTCCATTTAAGGAGAAACTTAATTATCAGTACTTCACTAAAGAGAATTGCACATTTAGCCATCCTGGTCTACTCTCTTACACACCAAAAATGATCTTTCCATCTTCTTCCAAAAGGAAACATTTCCCCTACTACATGCAACTGGTTCATATTTTAAAACCAATTTTAGCATGTCATCTTTTCCAAGTATTTCCTGCTCTTCTGATGATAGTCTTTATGTATCTTAGGGGCAACTGTTAATTTAACTGAATCTAAAACAACTGAACCAAAGCCTGTCATAGGTGAGACAAGTTTCTTACTTCAAGAATTTGTGATTTTATCAATATAAGTGCTGCCTCCTCTGATTCAAATCACAATCCCTTTTTATCCTAGTAAAAGGTTTTCAAAGAGTTGCCATGACCCCTAGCAGTACCACATTTCAAACTATATTACAAAGTGATAATCATTAAAATAATCGGGAACTGGCTAAAAAATACAGTGGTGGATCAGTGGAACAAATTAGGTGCACAATACATAGGAGTAAATGACCATAGTAATCTAGTATCTGATAAACTCAAATATCCAAGCTTTTTGGGCAAGAACTCAACATTTAACAAAAATTGCTGGGAAAACTGTAGAACAGTTTGGGACCAACCTGGAAGACAACAACATCTCACACCATATACCAAGATAAGGTCAAAATGGGTAGATGATTTAGACATAAAAAATGATATCATAAGTAAAGGTGGGGAGCATGGAAAAATGTACATTTCAGATCTATGGAAGAGCTTATGACTGAACAAGACATAAAAAGGCTCATGGGGGAATAAAATGTATTTTTATTAAATAAAATTAAACATTTGTTTGTACAAACAGTAACCAAAATTAGGAAAGCAAGAAATGGAAAAAATTTTTACAGCAAGTTTCTTTGATAAAGGCCTCATTTCTCAAATACATAGGGAAACAAACCAGATTTATAAAAATAAGAGCCATTCTCCAACTGATAGATGGTCAAAGGATATGAACAGGCAGTTTTCAGAAGAAGAAATTAAAGCTATCAACAGTCACATGAAAAAAATGCTCTAACTCATTACTGATTATAGAAACGCAAATTAAAGCAACTCTGAGGTACCACCTCATACCTATTCAATTGAAAGAAAAAGAAAAGGACAAATACTTGGAGGGGTTGTGGAAAAATAGGGACACTAATGTACTGTTGGTGGAGTTGGGAACTGGTCTGACCGTTCTGGAGAACAATTTGGAACTATGCCCAAAGGGCTATATATAACTGGTGCATAACCTTTGTTTGACCCAGAAACACCACCACTAAGGTCTGTATCCCAAAGAAATCAAAGAAAAGGGAAAAGGACCTATTGTACAAAAATATTTGTAGCATTTGTGTAGTGGCAAAAATTGGAAATTAGGGGGATGCCCCATCAATTGCAGAATAGCTAAATGTGGTATATCACTGTGATGGAATACAATTGAGCAGTAAGAAATGACCAGCAAGATGGTTTCAGAAAAACCTGTGAAGACTTACATGTGAAGTGAGCAGAACCAGTAGAGCATCATACAAAGTAGCAGCAATAGTGTAACGACAATCAACTGTGAAAGACTTAGCTACTCTAATCAATACAATGATCCAAGACAATTCCAAAGGACCTATGATAAAAAGTGCTATCTATCTCCAGAGAGAGAACTGATGAACTCTGAGTGCAGACGGAAACATATTTTTTTCACTTTTTAAGTTTTTCTTGGTTTTGTATGTTTTCTTTTGCAACACGGCTAATATGGAAATGTTTAGTATAACTTCCTATGTATAATCGATATCATATTGCTTCCCTTCTCAAGGGGTGGGAAGAAGGAAAAGAATTTAAAAAAAAATTAAAATACACACACGTGTGTACGTGTGTGTGTGTGTGTGTGTGTGTGTGTGTGAGAATATATTTTAAAGACTTGCCATGATCAAAAAATTTATCCTCCTGGGGCCACCACAGTGATGAGCCTCTAGAGACCAGGCTGGTCCTCAGATAGACAAACCCCAGTACATCACCAGGATCAGATATAAAATATTTTCAGCTTGGAGAACCTATCAGAATTTCTTCTCTGCTGAAAATTCAAAATTTCCCTCACACCATAATGAAGCAGTGGAGTATACAATTTTTGTGTAGTTTTGAAAATCTCACTGTTAAATATACATGACAAATAAATTATCCCAAAGAAGTTTCTGCCCACCTGTCCATTATCTCTACTTCGTTCAACTCGTTCCCTTCTTTTCTGCCTCCGTTGCCGGGAATGGAAGGGTTCAGACACAGAACTATGGGGCTGTAAGTAAGGGTTGATTCTATCCTAAAAATGAAAAAAAAATTCTTGTATCCATGGAATGAAATGGGATTTTAGTCTTCTAAATGGCCAAGCCTTCTCAGTTAGCATACAAAAAAGTGCTCCTGGGGCTTAGGAGAAACAAATTTCCCTTGGCACATGCAGAAATTATGAAAATAAATGTCTTTTAGCTACTCTGGACTATAATCAAAACAATATCAGTCTACTCTATCCCAATTCAGAATTCTTTGTTTCTCTTTGCCCAATTAAAAAAAACAAATTATTCTGGACTATTTGTTCCCTGAATGCCACTTTCCATCCACCTCCCACCTCTGTGCATTTGCACAGGACCATCCTGGGAATGCACTCCATCTTCACTTCAACACCAGAGAATCTGTATGTTTCTTCAAGGCTTAGTTCAGGGGTCTCTGATACCCTCAGCTGTTAGTGCTCTCTCCTTCTCTTTCTCCTTAAATTTTGCTCACTGTGGGTGCACATGTTCTTTCACCTTGTCAAATCCCTGCTCTTTAAGGGCAAGGAAAATTTTATTTCTGTCTTAGTATCCTCAGCACTTAGCACAGTCCCATCTATTGAATAAACATTTGTTGAACTTAACTGAACCCTTTGAGCTAAGAATTTTCTATAACTTTTTCATGGAAAAAATAATTGTAAATGTGTGGTTCAGCAAAATACCACTTGTTTCTTCTAAACTAAGAATTCAGCTCCTGATAAAAACCAGTGATTTGGATGCAAATATATAACCTACTTTCAAAAATTTAATTTAATACATAAAAAAGCCTTCTTTCAGTATTTCCATGGAACAACTTTCAGGTGTAAAAATCTCCAGATGCCAAGAATTAAATTTAGATAGTTATATAAAGAATCAATACATATCTTATACACAAAAAAAATGGGTAAGAAAATGCATTTCCCTCCCTTCTTTGTAGAGTGGGGAGCTATGAATGTGGAATTGTATTTACTCTCAGACTTGGCTGAGAAATTGCTTCATTTTGCTGAACTAATTTTTTTTTCTTTTTTCTTCTGTGTTACAAGGAAAGGCTCACTGAGTAAGAGGCGAGGAAAGATGTATTCAGAAATGAAGGTAATAAAAAAACGAAATGTACCTCTAAAATTACAAATGAAAAAATGTTTAGTTGAAAGATAACAAATTAAAATAAAATAGTTGTACCAAATTTACTATTGCAATGTCTGTGTTTTCTAATAACTAAGACTATGGGGCACTGATAATTTGATAAAAAATTTCTTTTGAAAAGTAAATAATTCAACAGTAACACAAGGTAAGGCTGAGCTATTAAAGAGAGAATAGCATTTAACCAATAATTTTACATCTACTAGCAACCAACAAACTATAAAACTACAGGAAAAATATCTTCTATTCTTTTTCTCTTTTGTCACTGCATTCAATATCAGGCAGAGAATAGTCACAAAAGATGAAAAGCTTGAGCAATTTTTACAAAACTATAAACTGCTTCAACAGGAATTAAATGAGATCAAGTCAGCTGATCAAATTCTAAAGAGAGAAAAAAAGCCCTAATTTATCAGCTGGAACAAGTAAGATATGATCACTAGAAGATTTAGAGACTTACCAGGACAACAGGAACGAATGGTGCTAAGAGCTTTTCGGTGGAGTCCAAACTATCCTGAAACAAGAAGGGCTTGCATTTTCATGGACAAACAAAACCCAGAGAAATAATAAAACCGGTAACAAAAGTAGCTCTCAAAACTTATGTGAATGTAATCTGACAGTCAAATAAGGAAAAAGAATTATAATTTTAGTCCTATATTTCACTTCATCTTCAAAGTCCTTGGATGTCAATTTTAAAAAATCTTTTCCTCACTATTCCACTTTACCTTTCCAAACCTTAATCTTTGATGGCTTCTTTTTCTTAATTAAACAATATAATCAATCTATTTTTGACCATATATCTTCTCTAGAAGCTGGACAAAACTTGTCCAAATTATGGTAAAAATACACTGAGGACCCAGGAGAAATAATGTTAAAAAAGTCAGAACTAGTAATGGGGCTAACTTAGTCCTAAACAGTGAGGGACTGTGCAGGAGGGAGGGAGGATGGAAATCTAAGCAGTTGTTGAGAGTTTCTCCCTCTTCACTACCATCAGTGGTAGAGAATGGGGTAGAGATAGCTAAGAGTCCCTTTAGTCCAAATTCCTTGTTTTAGTTTTTATATAAAACAGTATATGGAATAGCTGATTTTCTTTTAACTTCTTTTTAAAACAGACCTACATAAGATAACTTGTATTGGATTCAACTAGCACTTCCTACTGTATTCTGAAACTGAGAGCTGACGCTGGCCAAAAGGCTCACCTGGCCCACTGGCTTGAGGTCCTGGTGCAAGGGCTGCAGAAGTTTCATCGTGTCATTCTCTTCATCAATGATCTCGCCAGAAGTCTGAGAGGAAGCTACATTTTCAGGCTTTGTACTAAGTTGTTGACCCTCTTCCTTCACTGGGGCCACATTAAATTGAGCTTCTGGCTCATGAGAAATATCAGAGTGTTTCAGCTTGTCATTTTGCAGTAAGTTATCATTCTCTGAGTTTCTCCTTTCAGTAGCAGGTAAGATGTTAATATCCACCTTGCTGATTGTTGCTAAAGAGTCTCCCGGGCTGTGCATATCATTCTTGTTGGGATAGCTTTTAGGATATGCTATTTCTGAATGGCAAGCATCCATGGGTTTATCCTGCGATAAACATTTTTCTTCAACCTGCAAACATGCTTTAAGAATTACTATGGTACTGATAACTTATTTTAACAATCCACATTATTTAAAAAAGTGTTCTAAACAAATTAACTTTATTACCAGGATATCTTTTTAATGTGGTTTTAGAATTAATTTTTTTACAGGACATTCTTTAGAAAAGTACAACTATTTCACATAAACTGATAGCCTGATATAACAACCTATTATTTTAACAGCTGTTTTAAAATGCATCCTTTTAATGGGAACATACCTCTGTAGGTATCTTGGAAGGCTTTGAGAAATATTGTTGAGAGATGATCCTTTCAGTGTCTAATTCAGTTTTTACTGAAATAACTTCAGCAGCAGGTCTGGTTTTAGGGTTACCATTTTTAATATGGCTTTTGAAAGTTCTCCTTCATAAAGAGAAAATACAGGAAATATATTAAAAAGTTGTTTCATTCAATATGGCAAGATTCAAACATTTATTAAGTGCCTACTAGGTGCCATACCTTATGCTAGGTATTCTGGGGACACAGACAAAAAAAGAAAAAAGTACAGTCTACTGGGGAAAAAAATGTGTGCAGATCTGAAAATACAAAATACAAAGTAGGGTTGTAATAAGCTAGGTGGTACCGTGGGTAGAGTGTTGGCCTTGAAGTCAAGAAGTCCTAAATTCAAATTTAGCCTCAGACACTTATTAGCTATATGATCCTGGGGAAGTCACTTGTCTGCCTCAGTTTTCTCATCTGTAAAGTGGGGATAATAATAGCACCTACCTCCTAGTGCTGTTGTAAGGATAAAATGAGATATTTGTAAACTTTAAAGTGCGTATATAAATGCTAACTATTATAATCAAATGGATCAGAGCCCCTTCTTTTTTCAGCTCTTCCTCTTGAAAATATTTCTTTGGTTTCCCACCTTTGTTGGGTGTCTATATGCAATGTGGCACAGTAGATAAAAGTACTGGTCATGAAGGCAGAAGAACTGGGAGCAAATCCAGCTTCTGACCCATACTGAGGAAACAAATCACTTAGCCTGAGCCTTCTCTGCGCAGTCAAGGGCTGGCTGCAAGCTGCCTTAGAGAGAAGCACCCACAAAGTCACAGTCACAGATCCATGACATACTAATGTACCCAGGAGTCTAAAGGTTAGGAATGGACATTCCTTTGCTATAAAGGGCCGCAAGGTGCTCATTTTGGACGTCACTGATCTCTGCCCAGGACTTGAGGCTCTGATGTAGAAGGTAAAGAAGATCGAGTGTGATGTGAACTTGTTCAGGTCATGCTCACCAAGCTGCTTCCTCCCTTAAATTTCCTCATTCCTTGACTTCTTGTATATTCCCTCCCACTGTTCATTCTTGACCATCAGAGCCACCACTCCTCCCTTCCTGTCCCCATCACACACACACACACACACACACACACACACACACGGCTTAAACAGCATTCCTGATAAGGTCTGTGTTGGAAAGAGACCACCCTTAAGAACCTTTCCAACTCTAAGAGTCTATAATTTGGAAGAAGGTGACAGAGATGAGGGTGGGATGGGGTGGAGAACTAACAAAAGGGGGAATAAGGAAAGGCCTCTTGTAGGAGGTACTTGAGCTGAACCCTGAAAGGAGTTAGGGGGTCCAAAAGGCAGAAGTGAGGAGGAAAAGTGTTTTAGGCATGGACAGCCTGTACAAAAACATAGAGATGGGAGAAGGGCAGTTATATACGAGTAAGTCAGAATTTGGCTACAATGTAGAGTATATCAGGGAAAGAGAACATTAAAAATGTAAGTGTGTTAGACTGTATTAAAAGAGCACACCACATCCCCCCCATCCTGGGGGTCAGCTTCTCAAAGTCTTTCTGCAATCTCTTTAAACTCCTTCAGTGGGCTTAGAACTAGTGTGACATAGCAGAGAGCATTCTGGATTGGAGTTAAAAGCAGTGGGTTTCAATCTCATCTCTCATGTTTACTATCTGTGGAACCATGGGCAAGTCAATTAATCTCTCAAAGTCTCAGGTTCATATATTTAGTGCTAGAAAGGACCCCAGAAATTGTGTAGTCCAACCCCTTTGTTTTCAGATAAAAAACCTGAGGCTCAGAGTAGTGAGCCATCCAATGTCACAGAGACAGAAGGCATGCCCATCCCTTCAATATAGGTTATTGAATATATAATATAGGTTACACTGTGTGAGAGAGACCAAAGTAACAGATTTGGGAACAGCTGTTTGGGGAGAAAAGTAGATATGAGACAAAACGGGAACTTACTTTTCTGAGGGATCTCTCATGGGGCCTTCAGAGGTCTGAGAATAAATTATTAGATCTGAACAAATCCTATGCAGCCAAACAATTTAGTCTTTGTCTTGGCCCTTTAGGTTTTCAATTTTAACAAATATAGACAACAGCCAAAAGTTAAAAGATAAGAGAATTAAGTACCTAAGTCATTTGCTGTAAAGATTTGGCTTTAGACTCCTACCTAGAGAAATATTAAAAATATAGATGCCTTACTTTATTGCAACTATTAAACTTTTTAGCCAAGATTCTTGTATGGGAAATATCTTACGCCTTTGTGACCTCCAAAAACAAAGAAATGTGGTGTTTTATGTAGGGTTGCCTAAGTATGCTTCTCACAGAGGGTCTTTCCTCAGGCTTCTTGCACAACATGGTTCTTATCAGTTCTGCCAGTTGTGGGCTATAGTCCTTTGGCATTGGTGGCAGCTGTAGGAAGAAACAACAAGATAAATATGACTCAATATGGGATAGAAAAAAGTAAATAATCACCAACAGTTTCCAATATGCATTTATAGCCACCAAGCTAACCTAAACAGGGTATCTGTCTGAGGCAGCAATGGCTAAGCTGTTTTGGATGGAATGACAAGTTTGAATATTTACAATGTCATAATTTTATATCTTGTCTATAAATAGTTTAATAAGATAATGGGAAAAGATGGGCTAGTCATATGGTGAGGACAAGGGATGAAAAATGGACAGCCACAGTGTCCCCTGGTCACTGTAGCAGGGGAGCCTTGCCCTCACCCAGCTTTGGTGCAAAGGGTATTATGCTAAACCCTAATCATGAAATGCTGTGATATTAAGAGGGCTTGTTACAATGACATCTACATAATATATAATAACATTTTCTGCAATTCTCAACTTAGAAATAGACATAAGTTGTTGCAGATGATGGTTATTGTAGAACAAAAATAGGGTCAAAGCAACAGGGTGGATTATTTTCAATGGCTTTCATTTAATATCTACTTAATATCAAACTTTTTTATGGACCAGACACCCTCCCAAAGTTCCATTGGTATTGTTGATGAGTACCTGTTTTCAAAAAGCAACCCAAAAATATTTTTCTAAAGCCATTAAACCAGGCTTGCAAATTGATACTAAAAAGAATTATCAGTACATTTTCCCTACTCTAAGCTCACCTTTCACCATATCAGGTGAATAATGTTTTTTCTAGTCATTCAAGGTAAAATGATACTTACCCTGGACAAGTGGTTATTTGCAAAGTTGAGCTAAATAAATCTTGTTCCCAACACTAAATACAATCAGTTCTAGACTTGTTTTTACCTTTCCTTCAATAATTCGATAAACTAAAGAATTCATGTCTTTTGCATTGAAAGCATGTTTCAGTGTAGCCATTTCATAAACACAGCATCCCAAAGCCCAAACATCAGACTGGAAAAAGAAAAAAAAAAAGAGTCAGCATGGTTACACCATATGCTTCTTAATTTCTGTAATAAAAGATAATTTTCCCTATACAAATTAAAAACAATTCTGCCCTTTTATTCAGTCTGGCTCTAAAAGTATGATCAGAAGCAGGGTAAGTTGATAATGGTAGCCCTTCCCCACCTTATAGTTGTAGGGTTTGTTTGAGAATAATTCAGGACTCATGTAGTACGGTGTTCCGATAAGTGTACTGGCCATGTCATACTGATTTTCTAGCACTCGGGCAATCCCCAGATCGCCTACTTTGATGATGTTTGTTCTCGTTAAGAAGACATTCTGAGTCTTCAGATCACGGTGAAGGATGTGTTTTTCATGCAAATACTGCGAGAGAGAAAGAAAACTTCATTAGTAACACACAAAACCGTAATTTCTTTTAGATCATTCCTCTGGTGTTCCTTGACTATAAAGATACAACAAAACTTTTCTTTGTAATTATTATTATATAAAAGGCTTAATGAAGACCTTTCAAAAGTAAGAAAATCAAATCCCATACACGTTTCCCCCAAAGTTTCTATAATTTCTAGGCATTTAGATGTAAGACATGACTTTTCTTTTTAGGTAAGAAAAGACAATGTAAAAGGTAATCTACAATGGTTTTTTAAAAGTTATCATTTTAGTATTACACAAACCCAGTGAAAACCATTCTATCCTTCTCACCAAAGTCAGGAAATACAATTTATATTGGGGTAGATTTATATTTCAAGACAGCATCATACATTTAGAGATAAAAAGAAAACTGAGGAATCATCTAGTTTATTTTTAATTTTACAAAGGAGACAAGAAAATAATTTACCCAAGGCCACACAAGATAAGCAGCAGAAATGCTAAGATTTACACGTGGGGCTTTTTCTAAGCCACCATGCTGCCTCTGTGCCCAGATCAGGAAGCTGGGGCACAGAGGTTAAGTTCCGTGCCTGGCTGACACAGATAGCCAGTGTCAGAGCCACAACCAGAATTACCTAGAACCCTAGTTTTTTAATTCTTGGCCCACAGTTATTTACATTAGACTCAAGGCAGTAGAGGGAAGTAGAAAGATGAAGTTGGAGTCAGGAAGACCTGTGTTCCAATCCTGTCTTTTTGTGTGACAACAGGCAAGGCCCTTAACTTCTGAACCTCAGTTTTCTCATTCATAAAATGGAGGCAATAATACCTAGAGAACCTCACAGTGTCACTGAGGAGCTTAAACAAAAGTGCTCTGCAAATGTGAAAGAGCTCTATTCACGTAAGCTTCTAATTTTATCAGATCACAATGCCCAAAATCAATTCTTTCTCACCAATAGGGCTGTCCCTATGCTGTCTCTGCTGTTCTCTTGTTTTCTCTGAGCTATTTTTTTTTTAGTCCTGCCATGGAAAGGCTGACTATAGAAGAGAGATGTGGGAATCCCCAAGGTCAATCTCCAAGCAGGACCACAGGTTCACTTCTATCTATAGTGTCCTTGAAGATCTAGATGGGCCATTCAAAGAAAATTTGCTCAGATCCAGAATCGTACTTCCAGTTAGCTCACTTTCACATTTACATGTATTAAATATAAGCTTATTCTTCTATTCTTTTTTTTTTGGTGAGGCAGTTGGGGTTAGGTGACTTGCCCAGAGTCACACAGCTAGTTAGTGTTATGTGTCTGGAGCCGGATTTGAAGTCAGGTCCTCCTGACTCCAGGGCTGGTGCTTTATTTTTCTATTCTTAAACTGCCCTCTCCATCTGTAGGAAGAAGCCCAGACTGTTATACTTTCATGTGTGTTAATCAGCACCCCAAACCTTGCTACTTTAAGACAAATCTTTTTTTAGGGGAAGTAGGTAACTGATAACAAATCTACTCATTAAGTGGTCATAAAGACCCAGTCATTTCTATCAAAGAAAATTTTATTCCTAAGATGAATAAAGAACTGTGTCTGAAATCTCTCCTTCATGTGTCATTTTGTGGCCTGAAAAGTTATGACTATAAATTTGTTTAGATATAAATACCACTGGGGTAGAAATGCAAAAACAGTTTTCTATGGTAAAAGTGACACCGAATATATATGGCATTACTGGGAAAAATAAAAAGTTCTTTTAAGTGCTAAAGTGCCCTTTATTTTAAAGGATGAAAATATTTCTACAACATAGTATACGTATTTCCAATATAATAGATATTTCCCTACCTCTTTAAATGGGCTACATTAAACATTAACAATCATTTCTTCATGCCTTATACTATCATTAGGAACACTGATCGCTGCATCATGCATTGCTATCCAGAGGTCATGCAAAATAGCCTAAGACTGCTGTAGTTTTAAGTATAGGTGGCAGTGGCGGGGTGCAGTGCACGCTGGACTGGAATTGACTCAGGCCCTCCCTAGCTCTGTGACCTTGGGCAAATCACCTCACCTCTGCTTGCGTCAGTTTCCTCAACTGTATAATGGGGATAGTAAGAGCACTCATTTCCCAGGGTGGCTGTGAGGATCAATTGAGAAAGTATTTTTAAGCACTTAGCCTAGTGCCCAGCATACTCCTGGTGCTCTATAAGTGCTAGCTGGTTTTATTTCATCTCTTCTTTTTATAGCTTTTAATCTCCTGTCTAACTGTCACCTGCTATTTCTAGCTAATGTTCAGTGTGCCTGTTGCTAACAGCCTTTCTCCACCACCTTTCTAAGTTTCTGTCTCTAATATGCTGGACAGAGGGAAATAAGATAACCTAGTGTACTGGAATTGCGTCTAAATTAAGAATCAGTAGGTTCTGAGGGAGGGCTTTCATAAAGAGCAAGAGGTTTAGGTCGTGGGCTTTATCATATCTAGTCTGACCACTCATCTCCTTTAGCACACAAGGCAGTGTGCCTGCATGAGGCAGGCATTCAATAGGTGTTCCTTTCAATGAATTTTTTACTAAATTTCTGGTTCTTGGCAGTGTCCCTATTAGCTGATGTTGCTAAACAGGAGCATCACACACGTCGCTGTATTTAGGAGGATAGCTCCCAAAGCAAGAATCAGGTAGTTCCCCTGTGTTTCCTTTGAAGCCAAGTACCCTAAGGGTTTAATAATCTGTGGCTCAGGAGGTGCTTTTTTGGGGGGGAGGGGAATTTTAAAAGCTGTACTTTAATTGAAGGATAAGCCAAGTGTTTATGCCATGATTATAAATATCCTTATTTATAATATAAAACATTAACTAGTCTTCCACGGATACTTGACAAAATTGCAATCCCGTTGAAAGCTTCCACAAAAAAAGTCATCTGAAATTCTAAGGTTATAAAGAAGGACCTAGAAGGATGCTGCCACACTGATTGATACCTGCAGGGCCATAGCGATCTGAACAAACCACTCCACCACCTGGTTCTCAGGCAGAAGTTTGCCCTTCCGTTCTTTGAGTTTTCGATAGAGATCCCCTCCTTCACAGAAACCCATAACTATGTAGAGCAGGCCATCTCCTCCTTCCCAAGACTCTCGATAGGTAACGATATTGGGGTGCTTCAGCTGAGACAAAAGCTGGGCCTCTTGCTCAGCAGCTTTCCGCTCTCGGCTGGAGGCATTTCGGAGGTTTAGTTTTTTGATGACATACTGCAAAGAAACACACTTTTATACATATGTATACACGTACACACACATGAACCAACACACAGACATACTATTTCTAATCCTCATAAGTGATTGCAGGGTGCTAAAACAAATTCCTATAGAACCTAGCTTCTGAAACAATTTCATTGTAAAAATAAACTACTCGATGCAACAAGGAGACTAATTCACATAGCACAGGAGTGAGGAACCTGTGGTCTCGAGGCCACTGTGAAGTTTGGATTCAGTCAAAGGGCCGTACTTGAAGACCTAGAGGGCCACATGTGGCCTCGAGGCTGCAGGTTTCACCACTCCTGACATGGCACATCTCATGTCAGGGGAAATGTATATGTATTGTATAATGATGACAGTGAGAAAACAGTGAAGCTTCAAAAAGAAATTGCTAAAAAAGATTCCAACTTGACCTATCACCAGTTCCATTACAATGTATATACTATGTTATTCTCCTTCATGAAAAGTGAACTTCTACCCAAGTCCTCTTCAGATGTCTTACAATAGTGTGGAGATCGTGACCCTGGGTTTTTGGAAAGCAATGCCATTAGAAGACAAGCTCTGGCAAATCCTGCTGAAGGTGGAAAGGCTTTATTTATGTTTGAGCCTTGTCTGTCATATGAGAACCAGTTTAAGTTTAGAGGGGCTCAAGAAAGGACTGGCCACTCTGGCAGGTTGAGCTCAAGGAAGGCTCAGTCACCAAAGCAAGAATGTTTATGCTTTGCCCATAGGAACTCATGAAACTACGTACCAAGTTGTGGAGGTGGTTGTGATCTGTTAGCAGAGGGAAAACCATGAAATCAGAAAACTCTGAAGAAAACTCAGAATTTCCTAACCCTGGATATTTTCCATTTTAGTTTTCTAAAATGACAAATAATTGTTTATGACTACATATGAATCAGTCATGCTTTATCATCTTATATGAAGTGGTATTACCATACATTTGCAGTGCAATTAGAGTTTTTAATTTTTTAAAATTTATTTAATATTTTATTTTTCCCCAGTTACATGTAAAAACAATTTTTAACATTTGTTTTTAAAACTTTGAGTTCCAAATTCTCTCCCTTCCTTCCCCCTGCCCCCACTGAGGCAAGCAATTCAATATAGGTTATTAAACATGCGTAGTGATGCAAAACATATTTCCATATTAGTCATGTTGTAAAAGAAAACAAAGACAAAAAAAAACCCTCAAGAAAGATAAAGAAAGTAAAAAAAATATATATTTCAATCTGTATTTGGACACCATCAGTTCTTTCTCTGGAGATGGATAGCATTTTTTATCATAAGTCCTTCAGAGTTGTCTTAGATCATTGTATTGCTGAGAATAGCTGTTATTCACAGCTGATCATCTTACAATATTGCTATTACTTTGTACAAAGTACATTAAACTTTGCATTAGCTCTTGTAAGTCTTTCCAAGTTTTTCTGAGAGCATACTGCTCATCATTTCTTATAGCACAAGAGTATTCTATTATAATTACATACCACAATTTGTTAAGTCATTCCACAACTAATGGTCATCCTCTCAATTTCCAATTCTTTGCCACCAGAAAAGAGCTGCTATAAATATTTTTTGTACATATAGGTCCTTGTCCTTTTTCGTTTTTTATCTCTTTTGGGATACAGACCTAGTAGTGGTACTGGCCGGTCAAAGGATATGCATGGTTTTATAGCCCTTTGGGCACAGTTCCAAAATGCTCTACAGAATGGCTGAATCAGTTCACAACTCTACCAACAATGCATTAATGTCTCATTTTTTCTCACATTCCCTCCAACATTTGTCATTTTCCTTTTCTATCCTATTAGCCAATCTAATAGGTCTGAAGTAGTATCTAAGAACTGTTTTAATTTGCATTTCTCCAATCAACAGAAAGTTAGGATATTTTTTCATATGGCTATACACTGCTTTGATTACTTCAACTGAAAACTATTCATATCTTTTGATCATTTGTCAATTGGGAAATGGCTCTTATTTTTATAATTTTGACTCAGTTCTCTATATGTTTGAGAAATGAGGCCTTTATCGGAGAAACTTGCTTCAAAAATTTTTTCACAGTTACTACTGCTGTTTTCCTCTCCATTCTATTCCCCTCCCCATTTATTCTATTCTTTCTCCTTTCACCCTGTCCCTCTTCAAAAGTGTTTTGCTTCTGACTACCCCTTCCCCCAATCTTCCCTCCCTTCTATCATCTCCCCCTTCCCCTCCTATTTTCCTGTAAGGTAAGACAAGATTTTTATACATGACTGAGTGTGTATGTTATTCCCTCTTTGAGTCAATTCTGATGAGAGCAAGGTTCACTCACTCCTCCTCACCTCCTCCCTCTTCTCTTCTACTGTAAAAGCTTCTTATTGCCACTTTTATTTGTGGTAATTTATCCCATTCTACCTCTCTCTTTCCCTTTTTCCCAGTACATTCCTCTTTCACCCCTTAATTTTATTTTTTAGCTATCAATCATCCCTTCATATTCAACTCACAACTGTGCCCTTTGTCTAGATATACTCCTTCTAAATGCCCTAATAATGAGAAAGTTCTTATGAGTTACAAGCATCATCTTCCTATGTAGGAATGTAAACAGTTTAACCTTATTAAGTCCCTTATGATTTCCCTTTCCTGTTCACCTTTTTATGCTTCTCTTGACTCTTGTATTTGAAAGTCAAATTTTCTATTCAGCTCTGTCTTATGATCAAGAATGCTTGAAAGTCCTCTATTTCACTGAATGTCCATTTTTTCTCTTGAAGGATCCTTTGCCTTCCGGAATATCATATTCCAAGCCCTCTGATCCTTTAATGTAGAAGCTGCTAAATTTTGTGTTATACTGACTGTGGCTCCATGATACTTGAATTGCTTCTTTCTGGCTGCTTGCAATATTTTCTCCTTGACCTGGGAACTCTGGAATTTGGCTATGATATTCTTGGAAGTTTTCATTTTGGGATCACTGTCGAGGTGATCGATGGATTCTTTCAGTTTCTATTTTACCCTCTGGTTCTAGAATATCAGGGCAGTTTTCCTTGATAATTTCTTAAAATATGATGTCTCTTTTTTGATCATGGCTTTCAGGTAGTCTAATAATTTTTAAATTATCTCTCCTGAATCTATTTTCCAAGTCAGCTGTTTTGCCAACGAGATATTTCATAATGTCTTCTATTTTTTCATTTTTTTTGGTTTTGTTTGATTGTTTCTTGATTTCTCATAAAGTCATTAGCTTCCATTTGCTCCATTCTAATTTTTAAGGAATTCTTTTTTTTTAATTAATTTATTTTGATTTATCAACAATCACTTCCACAAGCTTTCGAGTTTAAAATTTTTCTCCCTCTCCCTCCCCACCTCCCTTCCCAAGATGGTACACAATCTGATATAGGCTATACATATACATAAGGAATTATTTTCTTCAGTGAGCTTTTGTACTTCCTTTTCCATTTGGCCAGTTCTACTTTTTAAGGAGTTTTTTCTTCAGTGAATTTTTGTGCTTCTTTTTCCATTTGGTCAATTCGGCTTTTTAGGACATTCTTCTCCTCAGTGGTTTTTTGGACTTCTTTTGCCATTTGGCCTAGTCTGTTTTTTAAGATGTTATTTTTTTCAGTATTTTTTTGTGTCTCCTTTACCAAGCTGTTGACTCGTTTTTCATAATTTTCTTGTATCACTCATTTCTCTTCCCAATTTTTCCTCTACCTCTCTTACTTGATTTTCAGAATCCTTTTTGAGCTCTTCCATGGCCTGTAAGACTAATTCATTTTTTTCTTGGAGGCTTTAGATGTAGGAGTTTTAATTTTGTTGTCTTCTTCTGAGTGTGTGTTTTGATCTTCCTTGTCACCACAGTAACTGTCTATGGTCAGAATTTTTTTCTGTTGTTTACTCATTTTCCCAGCCTATTTCTTGACTTTTAACTCTTTGTTAAAAGTTGGGCTCTGCTTCCAGGGTGGAGGGTACACTGTCCCAAGCTTCGTGGGTTTTGTGCAGCTGTTTTCAGAGATACTTCTAGGGAACTGCAAGTTTTCAGTTCTTCCAAGGGGGTATGATCTAAGGAGAGGTGTTTACTACTCTCCTGGCCTGTGCTCTGGTTTGTGAGAGACTGCAAGCACTCTTTTCTGTCCTGGAACTGTAAGGAGGGTCCCCGTTCCACTGCTGCCACAAGCTCAATGCTGGTGCTCCTCCTCACCCTTGACTGCAACTCAGATCCGAGTACAGGCAAAGCAACAGAGTCTTGCCCCTGGTGCCAGCAAAGAGACCCCTGTAATCTCCTTCTGACCAGTTGTTCAACCCCCTTACCATCTGTCTACTGAGAGCTCCAGAAGCAGGTGCTGCTGTGCCGATTCAGTGGCTCCCAAGGCCTACTCCTGGTTCACTGGGGCTAGGGCTGTGCTGGCATGACGTGCACTAGACTGTGCTCCACTCTCACCTAGGTGCAACAGACCTTTCCAGCTGACCTTTAGGTTGTCTTTGGCTGAAAAATGATTTCACCCTGTCCTTTTGTGGGTTCTGTTGCTCCAGGAATTGTTCTATGGCATTATTTAAAGGTGTTCGGAGGGGTTTTGGGAAGAGTTCAGGCAAGTTGATGCCTTTTCTCCATCATCTTGGCTCTGTCCTCTCAATTACGGTTTTAAAAGCCCTTCTTCATCTAATTCTTTTTAAAATACTGTTTATTTTGAACTTATCACCAAAAATGAGTATTTTCAATGCAAGATATATAAAATATATAAAAGTATGAAATTTTCATTTCTCTTGGTTTAAAAAAAAAGTACATAATAAATTCAACCCATTACTTTCAAAATTGTCCTGCTGGTTTGCACTTCTTTCTGAACTTCTTTTCATATTCCTGTGTGCATTCTTTTTTCTTTTTTTGGAATCATCATGACCATTCCTCCATATCCCCTTCCCCCACCGCAGCTTTAACACCGTCAGTTGATCTAACTTTTGGAATCCCATCTGGGGTCAAATTAATTCCCTCACAGATGAAAAGCCTCTATGAATCGGAGAAATCTACTCCAAGAACTGTCCCTCATATCTGCCTCCCACTTCCTAGTCTTTCAATTCCATTTTCAGCCTGAATCCCCATACTCTTAATCCTTTATCTCTGCTCTTAGCCTCACCCTTTTCTTAGCATCCCTACTAACAGCTCCCACCTATCCCATCTCCCCCCCAACTCATCTTTTGCCTGGTCCTCAACTCTTTATTAGGGCAGCTAGGTTGCACAGTGGATGGAGCAATGAGCCTGGAGTCAGGAAGATTCCTCTTCCTAGGTTCAAATCTGGCCTTAGATACTTACTGGATGTGTGACCCTGGGCATGTCACTTAACCCTGTTTGCCTTAATTCCTCATCTGTAAAATGAGCTGAAGAAGGAAATGACAAATCACTCCAGTATCTTTGGCAAGAAAACCCCAAATGGGGTCACAAAGAGTCAGGTGTGACTGAAACAACTGAACAACTTTATCTCTGTACCTAGATCCAACACATCCTCAGATAAACAGAGAGAAGGCACAAGGTCTACCCCAAACCTTCTAACTGGGACTCCTACCGTGTCTTTCTTCATCCTCCACTTCTGCCCTAAGCCCCACTGTTTAAGCATCTCCACCAATTCTCCCAACTTGGCTTTTGTCCGTTCCTTCATTACCATCCTGTACTCAACTGTCCCCAGCCAGAGCCCCCATTCCACATCCTTCACCCCTGCTGTCATCTTTGACCGTTCTGTTGATTTTCATTTTGGATTCCCTTCCTCCTACCCCTCACACATTCCAGAAGACTAATACTAATAAAGATAATAACCGCTAAAGCACTTTACATCTATTATTTCATGTGATCCTCACAACACTAGGAGGTAGGTGGTATTACAGATAAGGTAAATGAGGTTGAGATAAGTGACTTGCCCAGGATCACACAACTATTAAGTGTCAAAGGTAAGATGGGAATTCAGGTTTCCTGACTCCAAGTCTACCACTCTTGAGCCCCTAGCCCCTGGCCCCTTACAATGACTCTACCAGCCAGTTCACTACCATCTTTGCTCCTCACCTCGCTAGGCGCAATACGGCCAGCCCAGCCCAGCCCGGCCCCTCATGCTCATCTTTGCGAATCCTTCATTCCCGGCCCAGCTTCTCCCAGGCTCCCTGCTCCTGGTCCAATCCAAGCCAACATGCATTTATTAAGGCCTATTACGTGCAAGAAACTGGGCATACAAAAAACAAACCAAACAGAGACAAAACATTCCCTGCCTTCTTTCACTCTACATTAAATGAGGATACACATGCGTGATAATGGGAGGAGGAGGGAGGAAACACTAACACCCCCAAGGGTCCGTCCCCAGGAGAAGGACCAGGACACTGCTCCCCTCCCCTGCCCCTCTCCTGCCGCCTCTTTCTACCTTCTTCGCTCCCCCTCCCCCTTCCCCCCTTCTCCTTCTCTCATCCTTTCCCCCTCCCCTTCCTCCTCTCCACCTGGCTCCCCCCACCCCACGCGGGTCACCTGCTTGCCGTCCTGCCGGTGCCGGACAAGCGTCACCTCCCCGTAGCTGCCCTTGCCCACGGCCCGCAGGAAGCAGTAGGCAGCCAGGGGCATGGTCTCCGCGGGCGGCGGCGGCGGCTGGGGCCGAGGCGCCGCTCATTCCCCGGCAGGAGCAGCGGGAAGCCTAGAAGCTCATTCACGGGGCGGTGGAGGCGCCTGGGCCTAACCGGAGCCCCGCGGCCGGAGCCAAGCCGACGCCGCTGCCATAGCGATCCCTGCCCCGCCACTGCGCATGCCCCGGAGGACCAGCCATCGAGAACACTCGGCCGTTCTTTCCCACCGGTGGCCAGAACGTCTCCTGGGCTCGTTGGCCCGAGTGTAGCCGGGCACCGCGCGCCTCCCTGTCTCCGCCCCTCGCAGAACCTCAGGGAGAATCTCACTGATTCTAACGGAGACTGAGGGGCCAATGGGGGCGGGGCGGGGGACCCCGCGGGGGCCCATTCGCCATCGATCCCCCCTCATCTCCATCACCTACTTTCTACAGGAAGCCCTTCCCAAAGCCTCTTAATACCGTGGATTGTCTCCATTTTATCCTGGCCATAGTTTGTTAGGCCATAGTTGTCCTCATGTTGGCTCCTTTAGATTGTGAGCTCCTTGAGGGCAGGCACTGTCTTTTTGCCTTTCCTCGTATCCCTGGTGCTTAGCCTGGCCCTACTAAGGTGTCCCTTTCCCTCTCTTCCACTTCTCCCTCCCAGCCACAAGTGCCTTTCCCTTGTTAGGTCATTTTGTGTTTGTTTTATATATGTTTTTGTTTAAACATACCTACATATATATCATATATTTAGACACACACGTACATACACATATAAAGTTTTGTACCACATTCTCTCTCTCTGTTTTCTCTTCCGAGTCCCACTAGACTATAAGCCCCTTGAGGGTAGGGACTATTTTACTTTTATCTTTGTATCCCCAGAGGCCCCTGCAGTATCTGGCTAAATGAATGCTTGAAAATAATCCCAAAGGTTAAAACTCTACAAGACTGATTTCAGTCCAGGAGGCATAGGAGAACTGTCAAGGATGAAATGCTGAAAGCTCAAAGAGAAACAGTTGTGAGGAGAAAGAAAAAGGGGGAGTTGTCTGAAGAGACTGTGGAAACAAAAGGGAACTCACTGCATGATTTAGATTTTTTTTTTTTTTTACAAAAAGTTATGTACAGAAGAGGCAAGCAAGGGAAGGTAGCAGGGTGGATACAGATATATGGCAGTACAGTAAAAATAGTGTCAGGGATTGCTCAAACTCAGAGAGACCTGCCCTGTGAGGAGAAGTTAGAGGGGAAAGGGCCAGGTTGCTGTTCTACCTTATGGTTTTGTCTCTTGCTAGGTCATCTTGGTGCTAGAACTCCTCATCTTGATCCAAGAACCCTGCCATCTCTGTCCTTGCGAGTAGGTCCAGGAACTCTCACTATTCCATCACTGCCTTCAGTTGCTGCCATTTCTCAGGCCAAGAAATGGGCCTCTCCTGGAGCAGCATTAACACCCCTCCAGAAACTATTTTACACTAGTGCTTTGCTGATATACTGCTGCCTCTCCATGGCTGCTTTCTCTAGCACTGAGACATTCTGCCAGGGCATCTCCATACCTTTCATCTTCCTGGAAAAGGCTGTGCAGTCAATCTGAGTCCACTTTCTGAACTAGTTCCCTTTCTTTCAGTTCTGGTCTTCGACTAAGCTCTCTGAATCTTTCCTTTCTGGTCTCTGTTCTCCCCTCCCCCAACAAAGATCTTATCCTTTGACCTTGTTATTTATTAACACTGGCCTTGCACTTAGAGGACCTGAGTTCAAATACTGTCTCTGCTATTTATTTTTAACCCCATGAGACCTCAGTTTCATCATTTGTAAAATGAAGGGGTTGGATTGGTTGGTATCTAAGGACTTTTCCAGCTCTGTCCATGACCCTATGATATTTTCCTCTACATATGTAACATTTTGATACTGAGTCCTCTACGAGAGTCATTAACACCACCATTTGGTCTGACCAACCTTAGAATTCTAGATTCTCAGAATCAGGAGGGATTTCAGCAGTCCAATCCTTAAGACCAATCCCAACAACATTTCTTCACTGAATTAAATTGTTTTTTGTTTTTGATTGCTCAGATCTACAATTGTTTGGTTGCCATTGTGACATATCCTTAATGAACCCTCCACAATGTACTTTTCCAGTCTTAACTCTTCATGTATTTTACAGCCTAAAATCCAGCCAAAGTAGACTACTCTGAGTCCTCCATTATGCCCTCTTCTGTGTGTCTTTGCTTACACTGTCCACCCGAAATCTTTGTTTTCAGGGTCCAACTCAGATCCTATGTCTTTCCACGAATGAAAATTGAAAACATGCTTTCCTTCTTCAGATTTCTCATTACCTGAACCCCTGTCCTTGCTTACCTCACTCTTATGTCATAATTATCTTTCCATCTCCAGTTCCCATTAGCTGTAAGATTTGCAAGAACCTTTAGAGAACAGGGTCTGTGTTACATCTACCTTTGGATACTTAGCAATTGAAATATCTTACACGCAGGAAGTGATGCTTACATATTTGTTGAAAAGTCATCCCATATTACTCTTGAAGGTTATGCTAGGCACTATAAAGATAATTGACCCAGTGCTCACTTTTAACATTCATGTATCCAGAGGTGCTTGGATTTCTCAAAGCATTTTTACTTACTTCAAATGCCTGTTTCTCTTCTTGATAGAAGACAGTTGGGACAGTGAATTCAGGATCACAGGACCACTCTCTGAAATGTAATCCCCTATTACTAGTTTTAGAAACTAAGCTAAAAGCAGAATTCTCTGTCAATGGCCCTGTGTCCCAGAAAATAGTTGCTCTGCTTAGAATCATCTTGAGATTTTTGCTGTCTTGCAAAAAACAAAAACAAAAAAACCTGAGTAGATGGACAAAGGACTCAAAAACACTTTTAAAAATCTTAAAATAAATTTGAATTGATTATTTTGACATTACCTACATTTCCCAGTGTATCTTTCTTCTCCCCTCCTTCCCCCCAACCATCCCTTATGGTGAAGAATAAAAATGAGAGGGGAAAATTTCAGCAAAACGAACCAACAATCAAAAAATCTGATATTGTATACAGTGTTTCACATTCATAGTCTCCCACTTTAAGAAAGAGCTATCTTCCCATATCTCTTCTTTCAGGTCAAACTTGATCATTATAATTCCACAGCATTAAGTTCAACAGACATTTTTATATACAAAAAATTTTTTAAAAATCCGTTCAGCACATGTAGGACACCTAGTTTGGCCAGCCAAACTACTCTCTCTCTCTCTCTCTCTCTCTCTTCCTCTCCCCTTTGTCCCCTGAACCCTGGCTCCTGGGAGGCCTCACCATATTGGTGCCAGACTTGGTGTGGTCATCTGATTGGCATTCGCCCTACTGGAGCTCAGAACTCCTAAGCTCAAGTGATCTACTGGCTTCAGACTCCCCAGGAGCAGGAATTACAATTGTGTACCCCAGTGCTGGTCATTACAAGCTATTTTGATGAATCATATTGGAAATTTTTATACGCTAGAAAAAGAATCTGGGTAAGGCACTAATCATTTTATCAATCAAAAAACATTTATCAAGTGCTTATTATAGATCAATAAACATTTATTAAGCAGCTACTATGTACCAGGCACTGTACTAATACTAAGTACTGTACTAGGTATTGGAGATGCAGAGCTCTCGAGGAACTCAATGGAATACTTGAGTTGGGACTAAATTTAAGCAAGCCACGTCAGCACTACCACACTGACACACTCAAGCTAGTAGTTCAAGTCTTAGCAAGCCATCTAGTGGCTTGTGCAGGTTTTGCACCCTGAGTGACTACCAGCCTGCCTCCTGGAAGATAGGTGGGTACTGCTGTTGCCCTTTACATACCTGTCTTTTTCTGTCCATGCCGAGCAAGTGCCACTGTTGAAAGGAGAAACCTCTGGGCTACAAAGTCATTCAACAAGCATTTATTTATGTGACACCCTGAGCTGGAGAAGGTAACAAAAATCACATGAAAAATGTACAACCTTATTGGTAATAGAAGAAATGCAATTTAAACCAACTTTGAAGTACCATTACTCACGTATTAGCAAAACTCAGTGTTGTCCAGGTACTGGGGATACAGGTTCATTTACTCATGGTTGGTGTCACAAGTTGGCAACATTTAGCAAGGGCTGTAGAATTGTTCTTGCTAAAAGATTTTTTTTGGGGGAAGGAGGAATCTTTGATCACTTATTGGGAATATAACCCAAAGAAATATGCTAAAAGAAAAGTAATTTGTACCAAAGATGTTCTTAGAAGCTCTATTTATAATAGGAAAACTTAAATGGCAATGATTCCAAAGCAAAGGATGATACATTGACATGGAATAATATAGAGCTATTAAAAATTCAAATTACATGGACCATGCTGAAAAAAATAGGACTTGAGATAGATTAAACATAGTACTATGACAATTGAGTAAAAGTATCTATATGTACATTAACCAAGATTAGGAGAAAATTAGGAGATATATAAATAGTTTAATATTTTATTAGGATCTTTTCCTTTAATTGCATATATATATGCATATATAAATATATATATATATATATATATATATATATAAAATCTCTGTCTGTCTACTCCTTTCCATTCTTGTTGCCCAGGTTCTTGTTTTCTCTCCCCGACCATTGTAATACCCTTCTAAGTGGCCTCCCTGTCTCTAGTCTCTTCCCTTCCAAACCATCCTTCCAGAGTAATTTTCCTAATGCACTGCTCTGATTATGACATCTCAGAAGCCTTCTTCATTTGCTCCCCATTACCTGAGTGGATGGACAAGGGAATCAAAGACACTTTGAAAAATCTTAAAATATACATCTATCCTACTTCCTGGCTAAATTGGACCTACTCACTCTTTCCTGAACATACTCTATGCTTTCAACTATTTGTCTTAAATGTAGCATTTTCATTATTGTAATAGGCAAGTTTTTTAGTCAACTTGATGACCTTATCATGTGGTGAGACTTTTAGTGGGACTTTTGAAAGTGTCTCCCTATATATGATTAGGATATGTTCGATGGCACCTTGTTGAG